TCACGAGTTGGCACGGCGTCTAGCCGTTTTTAATTTTTCCTTTTTCGCGGGCTCGAACCCGCGACCTCTGTACTACCTGCCTGATATGGACGCGTTGTTATCTACTGTACGATTAGATTAGATAGGACGGCAGTGCACGGCACAGCTCGGGCCCCGCTGACGCAGCCGCTCTGACTCACCGGCCCCCGGGGCCGCGTCGGCATGCTGCGCACAGACCAGCTGCGCACGGACCAACGCGCACAGCCTGCCCTAATCTCCCCATGTATATAAGCCGGCCTCTGCTGCCCTAGGGACCTCAGTTTCGACCTCTTGTCCCTAGGTCAGTAAGCCCTCCTTTGTATTCTTTCTTACTTTACTAACTAATACATTTTCTTGTCCCTAGCCTTAGGTTTGAGCCTCGCTCACCATCGCTTCGGTGAGAACCAGTCGGACGCCCCTTGCTTTTAGGTATTCCCCTGTCGCTTGACCTCAAGTCGCGACACCAATGGCACGAGAGTGCCTAGAAGAGTCCATGAGATTCAAGAATGTAGAGGAGGCGAGACGCATCAAGGTGGATGTTTCCGGTGGTGGGTTGCGACGCTGGGGTGGGCCAGTGAGCGTGTACATCGAGGGCGCGGATTGGAAAGATGGGCGCGGACCGATTCCACATCTGGCGACGTTCGCGTCGAGGTTCGCAGGGCGATGGTCCCGCGTCAAGGATCTGTGGATCTACAACGCGGTGTGGCGGGCGCGGGATCTCGATCTGGACGCCGTCGTGCGCGATCTGGCCGCCTTTGCGATCACCGAACTCCACCTCTACGACGTCATCCTCCCGTCGATCCTGACGTTTGGCCGCCTGCTCTGCGCTCTCCCGCGCCTCAAAAGGCTCATTCTCCATCATGTCCAATTCACCCAGCATCCCCTTAATGCAAGCGCTTTCTCTCGCTTCCATCTTCTGCCGCACATGCAGCTGGAAACACTCGACCTCGACCATGGGCGCGACGACTCAGAGCTGAGACCCTCCTTTGTTGAATTGGTCGAACTCATGGCTGCCGTCAGTAACAGGAGATGCCTAGCCCCTCCCGCCAATTTTGCGCAGGCGTCCCTATGGAGAGCCGTTCGAAGATTGATACTCGGCTATGTCACGTTTCCCTCGGTCACGACCTTTGTCCGCCTCCTGTGCGCCTTCCCTGCACTCGAAGACCTGCGATTACACAAACCATACGCGTTCGTGAAACACGGCTTTGATCTCAGAAGTGTTCCTGTGCACCCTGGATTACCATCACATCTAGCAGATGTCGAGCTGACATTCGACTTCCACTGTTACTCGGACTCTTGTTCTGTGATTGACCTTGTCGACCTTTTCATTGCCACCGGTCTCAGCGAAAACCTTCGACGCATTACTATCCATATGTCCTCGTCATCCCGGATAACAACAGTATGCGACGCAGCCCTTAATAGGCTCGTCAAGCATTCACAATCACTCCAGCATCTTTCATTCATGCCACCCCTATTGTTCAGTGTATCTCCGGAGGCCAATGAATGGGTGCATGTAGATCACAGTGCAGGTCCGTCTCCTAAAATGTTTCTTTTTTCACGTTTACAATCCATGTGTATAGCTCCATACTTCGATGTGTCTAGTGATACGTGCCTTGAACGCCTTGATCTCACAGTCGACGTCGATCACGAGGATATATCACATCTGTGTGCTCGTGTGATCGAGATCCTGTCGCAGGTCACATCCGCGCATATAGCAAGAATTCAAATTTTTTTCAGGCCTCTTTATCACCCCGACGCAGAGCTCGACGTAGATCTGGGACAGCTGATGGATGGGCTCCCACAGCTTGATGCCGTCTTATCTAGGCCGATCTTCGATAGTCTCACCGACGTTATCATATTCATTGGAACGCTGGATAGATGCAATGCACGAGATGAAGATCTAGCACAGGACCTACGATTGTGTTTGCAAACGGTCAACGCACGCGGTATTCTAGGGTGTGTATCCGTCCATCTTGTACGCTCCGCTATTTGAAAAACAATTATTCATTTGCAGCTTTATGTTGAATAATGTCAAGTAAGCTGTGTGCTGAGTTCATCGCCTTTCCACCTTGCTGACACAGCTTATCCAGGAGTGGACTGCACCAGGACATGGAGACGGGTGAATGGAGATCTCATAAGATCGAGCGGGTTTCCGCACAGGATGCTGGGGTAACCAATGCAGGGGCTGGTGCCGACGACGACAGGCGTACCAAAAACGCTACCACCATTACAATCCCGCATGACGACTCAGACGTGGTGTCTGGAACATTGCAGCCCTTCTGGGTGCCATCAGCCGTATATGCCGATGCTCAGACACCTTCCTTGTTGAATTATACGGATGCACAAGTACCCGCTGAATTGGCGTGCGACGATGACCTTGTACTGCAAAATGCAACGGCCGGTTTGGGAGCGTCCGTGCACAAATTTGCTCCGGACGATCATGGTACGTGTGCAAGTGAGTGCATGTTGGCGAGGGAGCACTGACGCTGGTCTACATACATCAAGGTATGGGTGACAAGTTGTCTGGGGAGCCAGGGACGCTCATATCAAAACGAATCACACCGAGCGTGTTGACTGAAGCACATCTTGCTTGACACCCGCCAAGCCAGAGCCGTTGCGCGCATAGCTCATCCCGGAGCTGGTAGGCTTACCGACATCTGGCTAGAAGTCACTGTCTCGTTGTATTCATGTCCACTCCCAGGTTCCATCTTCTCTTCTTGCTGAATCCGTCTCGAATCATCACAAATCACGTATCCTCTGCTGCACTCCCCGCTGCTATAGCCTCGTCTCTACCTTCCTCGACCTCCTTCGTATACGATAGGTTGACTTCTCTACGACGCGCTGCTCACGACTTCTCACCATATACGGAGCGCGAGCGCGACGACTCACCACGTCGGAGCCGTTACGCGCGTCGCTCACACTGGGCTCATCGAGCTCAGCGATGTCCCCGCCTATAGCAAAATCAGATTATTGGATCCTTTTACATTCATGTTCGCTGTTCCCACAAGCCCCCATACTATATATTCGCCGAATCCGTCTCAGATCTGCACATCTCGCTTTTCCTACCACACCTGCAGCCACTTTAGCCTTGTCTCTACTTCTCTCTGCCAACGCAGTGTTGTCCATGCAGCGATTGTACTCCGGATACGATCATCGCACAGACGTTGGTGCACAGCCTCGCTCCGGCGATTAACGAGGCCCTAGTATGGGAGGTATGGGCGCGACGCCAGCCTCCAAGGATCACAGCCCTGTGAATGGTGAGGTTGTTCGTAGCTCGTGATTCCTTCAGAAAGACGTTGTAGGACGTGCAGCAAACCTACAAATGGAGATAGAGGTTAAGTCCCTTGCGTGGGTGTCCCACGTGGCCGAGTGTGAGACTGTCCCTCGGGACCCGGGCTGAATAGCGGTGCTGCATCTCACACGTCAGCACGTCAAAAGCTGTCTCTGCTGATATCGATCAGGCCTTCTGATAAAGCGGAAGCAGTATCTCAACTGAGACGGTGCATGTCTTGCGCGAATCACTGCTGCTTTGCCGAGAGCATTGTTGTAAGACCAGTAGGGGCGTTGACGGTGGCATTGGGGGATGTTGACAAAGTGAGGAAAGCTTAGATTGGCCAGCGTCGGCGAACAACAGAAGAAACTTGAAGAGGGTCTGGACGATTGAACCTGCGTGAGTCGCACAGGTCGAATTGGAAGGTGATGCATGGAAGCTATGTCATACTAAGGATTGTCAAAAATAGCGAATGTATCAACCTGTACCTAGCAAAGTGATGTATCAGTAGCTTGAATGAATCATCCTAACAACGGACAATGATGTGTAGATCATCATCTATAGTTAGAGATGATTGATAGATGAGTATGATGCAAAGGCCTGCATGTATATAAGTAGTTTCAAGAGATGAATGCATACCTTGTCTCGACTGTGGCTCGCCAAACCACGGCAGACATCCCATTGATACTGCGATATTCAGGTGAGCTCTTTCAAACAGCGCAATCATGACGCATACAGACATCTAATGAACAAGATCACTGACACATTGTGAAGCTCTGCATACCATGGTGCGGCCGTTCCCGACTGAGATATGGTTAGACATCTTCGAAGGCCTGGCCGAGGAAGGTGAGTACGACACGTTGGAACGATGCAGGGTGGTGTGCAGGGAGTTCTTTCCGATGGCGAGGGAGTGCCTAAGAGAGTCCATGAGATTCAAGAATGTAGAGGTGTCACAGTTTCCCTAATTTTACCTAATTTTTCCGCTATTTCTGCGGACATATCAAAGGGTATAGGGACTTATCCATACTTATCCGTCCGCATATGGGTACATCTACATATCTAAGGGGTTATCCGCTTAAATAAGCGACACATGATCTTGTTCTGGACACATCAGGCTGGACTCTGATGCCAGACCTTTTCTAGATAGAAACCAGACTCCTTCTGGACCATGACATCATTCTGACATCATAGGTAGGAGCTAGGCTCAGGCACTAGGCCATAGGCCGGTCAATTCTGGACCCTAGGCCCAGGGCAGGGCTGGGCCAGACTATGACATCATATATGACATCATCGAGCACATGATACTTAGTAATCCTTACCCAGCTAGGTACCAGGGGTCCATTACCGGTCCCTGGGGGGTTTTCCCTCATGTATATAAGGCAGCATCCTGGGGCACCCTGTCCCCCAGTTCTATTCACTTCGTTGTTGCGCTTAACAGCATTACCTCCCCATACTTAAGTGCTATTATCTCCCCCCCTCCAATATCAAGCTATAAGGTGGGTTTGTAGGTTTTGTGATAAGAGGAGGTGGAGCGCATCAAGGTGGATGTTTCCGATGGTAGGTCACTGCGACGCTGGGGTGGGCCACAGAGGGTGTGCATTTTGGGTGGAAACCAGGAAGATGGGCGCCGGCCGATTCCGCATCTGGCGACGTTCGCATCGAGGCTCGCAGGGAGATGGCCCCGCGTCAAGGAGCTGTCGATCACCGATGCGGTGTGGCGGGCGCGGGATCTTGATCTGGATGCCGTCGTGCGCGATCTGGCCGCATCTACGATCACCAAGCTCCGCATCATCAACATCATCTTGCCATCGATCTTGACGTTTGGCCGCCTGCTCTGCGCTCTCCCACACCTCAAAAAGCTTACGCTCTGCGATGTGCAATTCAGTCAGCATCCCCTTGTCGCAGGCTCTATCTCTCGACTTCATCTTTTGCCGCGCACGCAGCTGAAGACACTCTACCTCACCGATGGGCGCGACGACTCAGAGCTGAGACCCTGCCTTGTCGAGTTGGTCGACCTCATGGCTGCTGTCAGTAATAGGAGATGTCTAGTCCCTTCCCCTAATCTTGCGCAGGTGTCTCCTTGGAATGCTGTTCGAAGTTTGACACTCGACCACGTCACGTTTCCCTCGGTCATTACCTTTGCTCACCTCCTGTGCGCTCTCCCTGCACTCAAAAGCCTCAAACTAGAAGATCTATACGCATTCGTGAAACACGGCTTCGACCTCACAAATGTTCCTGTACTCCCTGGATTACCATCACATCTAGCAGATGTCCACCTGGGGAACAACTTACGTTCGGACACTTGTTCTGTGGCTGACCTTGTTGACTTCTTCATTGCGACTGGTCTCAGCGAAAACCTTCGGCGCATTACTGCCTGTCTGTCCTCGTCACCCCGGGTCACAACAGTGTGCGACGCAGCCCTTAACAGGCTCGTCAAACATTCACAATCACTCCGCCATCTTTCATTGCACCAATCCTCATTCGGGCATGTACCTTCAGACACCGATGAATGGCGCGTAGATCACAGTGCAGGTTCGTCTCCTAATATGTTTTTTTTCCACGTTACCAATACATATGTATAGCCCCATACTTCGATGTGTCTAGTAACACGTACCTCGAACGTCTTGATCTCACGGTCGACGTCGATCACGAACATATACCACATTTGTGCGCTCCTGTGATCGAGATCCTGTCACAGGTCACATCCGCACATATATCAAGGATTCAAGTCAATTTCTGGCCCTGTTATCTCCTTGGTGTAAAGTTCGACGTAGATCTGGGAGAGCTGATGGACGGCCTCCCACAGCTTGATGTCATGTTCTCTCGGCCGATCTTCAATAATCTCACCGACGTTATCATACACATTAGAACACTGGACGGACGGAATGTACGAGATAAAGAATCAGCGCATGGCCTACAATTGTGTTTGCCAACGCTCAATGCACGCGGTATTCTAAGGTGCGAATCCTTTCATCAAGTACGCTCCGCTATTCGAATAACAATGTGTTCATTCACAGAATTGCGTTGAATCGTATCCAGTAAGCCGTGTGCTGAGTACATCACCTTTCCATCTCGCTGACTCAGCTTATCCAGTATGGGACTGGACTGGGACGAAGAGATGGGTGAATGGAGATCTCATAGGATCGAGAGGGTCTCTGCACAGGATGCTGTAGTAACCGATGCAGGGGCTGGTGCCAACAACGACAGACGTACCAAAAACGCTACCACCGTTACAATCCCGCATGACGACTCAGACGTGGTGTCTGGAACGTCGCAGCCCGTCTGGGTTCCGCCAGTCGTGTATGCCGATGCTCAGACACCTTCCTCGTCGAATTCAACGGATGCACAAGTACCTGCTGATTCGGCGTGCGACGATGGACTTATACTGCAAAATGCAGCGGCCGGTTCGGTATACCCGTGGATAAATTTGCGCCAGACAATCACGGTACGTCTGCCAGTGGGTCCATGTCGGCGAAGGAGTAGTGACGCTGATCTGCGTACATCAAGGTATGGGTGACAAGTTTTCTGCGGAGTCAGCGACGCTCGAATCACACTGAGTGTGCTGGCTGAAGTACATCCTGCTTAACGCTCGGCAAGCCACAGTCGTTGCGTGCATAGCTCATCCCGGAGCTGCTAGATTTAACGACGTCCGGCTAGAACTCCCGGTCGACTTGTAATCATGTGCCCCCGGACTCTCCTCCCTTCTCGTCTCGTCGTTTTGTCCTCGCACCTCATTATCCGGGTCAGCAGCAAGCCAGTCATATAATGACGTCGTGAGACCCGCGACGGCGGTCTGCACAGCTGTGGGCCCCAAGTCGCCGCTGATCTGTGTCGGCCTCCCAATCGAGGACCATCCTATCTTCATGGTCAGGCGAATAGTGGGCCATGTCAATGGATGCAGCTTCTGTGACGTCGTGGAGCAACTGGTATAGGGGGCCGATGACATGGGGAAGGTTGCTGGCCGACGGCGCGGGCGGAAGGTCAGGATCAGGGGTCTGTAGGCGAAAGAGTACGGTCTGTCGATGCGTGGTGGAAGCTTGATGACGCCTGGCATAGTGCAGGCGTAACCAGCAGCCATCACGGCAGGTGCTACAGGTCCACAGTCCAGCATTGTTGCCCGTGCCGGGAGTCCACCCTGGCAAATGGTACTATTAGTACTGATAAAGTAGTGGAAATGAAGTATGGTACATCTTGAATCTAGCTGACTCGGCTCAGATTGAGGAGCGACTGTAGATTGTGCTGGGGCCATGCTGATGACGACTGGAGCCTTCTTGACGAGAGAGGGGGACAGCGAGAGGGAGGATGGAGGAGGCAGGGAGAGGTGAGCGTGTCCCTGTCTATGGGCGGAGTAAGACTCAGTGTCGACCCCATCCTGGCTGGCATTGGGTTCAACCCGACTCCTGTCTCAGGGCGGCGCTGGGTGATGGGCGGATGGGAGGGGAGCCAAGGTCGACTTCGGTTAAACTCGATCCGCGGGTTGCAGTTCTTCCCGGTGCATGTGAACTCAGGGTTATCTCAATATAATCTCTGGTCGTGTGGACAATGCACTGACTGGCTCATTCGACACATGCACATCCGCTCTGCACGGTTCCATGCCTCCTGCAGTCTCAGGCTACTGCCTCCACCTTCATCGATATTCAAAACTGACGTCTTTTGACGCTCTTGCGTGTCGGATGTACCATCAGAACTCGATCGAGAACCCAAATGTGCGGTCCAGCTACTTGGTTGAACAGTGTCGTCCTATAACGCGCCAGTCTCGGTGATGCCTCAATGTTTCGAACGAGACTGAGCAACTAGGTACATACAATCTTTGTATGTGGAATACACACATTACAGACCAGGACATAGAAGTCCTCGTTGTATATCAGTGTCACTTCGCAGCAAGGCGTATCGTGCGATGCTCTCGCGATCATCTTAGGTACGCGCTTTTGTTCGCTGCGCACACGCCCGGTTTCATGACCATCGCGCCAACGCCCGTCATCACTGCCGATGACGTTCCCGCCATAGGATATACCCTTCGAGTAGCATTTGTACCTTTCACATTGTCATTTGCGCCTCAAAGTGCCGGCCAAGCTATTGCCCATGTCCGATATGACTCTCTTATCCGACGCGTGCTTAATTCAATGGTGCATGTCTCAAATACATGCATTAACTTGTTGCTCCTGCACAACGAGACGGCACGACGACACCCTCGAGATCGCTGGGCGCTGTATAAATAAGGACTGAACGAAGCAAGTCGTGAATGAAGCGATCTCGAAATGGTGCCAGTATGAGCACGTACAAAGAATAGAGCAAGGAGCCATAGGGTACAGAGAGCAAATGAGGTGAAGGCATTTATAGCATATTCCCGGTGATAGCCTGTGCCCGTAGACACTACCATACCGCTAATGAGGTTTTGACGACTCGTGCTACGGGAAACGTGTGACAGCCGAAGCCACCATGGATAAATTGATGATACATCTCTGAGATAGCGCTAGTTGTGGGCGCGACACACGTTGGAGTAAATGTGCATTGTGCTGGTTCAAGGTTGATTCGGGAAGAGTGAGAAAGGCGGCCAAAGACTGGAACAGCCAGAGAGCTCGAAGGATATGCGAGTCGAGAGAGATATTGTTGGCCAAGCCCTCTCTCAATTTGGGCCGCCCCTAGGCGTACGATCCTGAGCCCATAGGTGACTCGACATCTGTACCTTGATGAGTATATGTCAATTGCATTCCTCCCTCATCGGCTAGCACGTACTGGCAGACGTACCATCCTCTAGCGCGGAAGTTCCCAAATGTCTCCGAGCCAGCAATTCGATCATCGCGTACCAGCTCGACAGCTACTTGCGAGTCTGTTCAAAGCAACGAGTAAGGTGTCTGTGCATCAGCCGATAACGCCGAGATGACCAGCAATGCCGCAGGAACGGAGTCGTCGTAAGGGGTCGCACGATTGTCTGCGTCATTTGTGCGGCTCTCGTTCGTCCTCAACCCCGACCACTTCGTCAGTTATCACGACGTCCTGTATGGCACCTCTCTCAACTCCATAACGTTTCCAAGCACTGGCCTTAGAATCCCAATGCACTCCGATCCTGGACAAGCTAGTGTTAGCGAGCCAGAAAGATAATGAAGTCAGCGCACGGCATACCTGGTGTCGTTTAACAGTATGCTGTGAATAAACACATAACAAGATGAATGGAAGGTTGCCCCAATGCATGGAACACGCACCCCAGAACCCCGCGTTCATCAAGCGTCGGTAAGCGCAATATAAGGCCCTTCGCCCATTCCTCATCTCGGACATTTGGCCTGTCAAGTGTCCTGACGTCTATAGCAACGTGGATGAGGTTGCCGAAGACCGGCAGAGAGAGGACAGCATCGAGTTGCGGGAGCTCCTCGATCAGTGTTCCCAAGTCTACGTCAATTGAGGCGTGGGGAAAGTCATAAGGGTGCAACTGCACTGTAATCCTGGATATGTGCGTGGACGTCACTTGTGATAGGACCTCAATCACAGGAGTACACAAGCATGAATCGTTTGCATCAGTGACTTTGACTGTGAGGTCCAATTGTTCGAGGCACCCGTTATCCGAAAGATTGAGATATGGGGCTTTATACATAGATTGTAAACACTTTGGCGGGATCATTGTACTATGAGACGCACCTGCACTCTGGTCTGTACGGAGCAACGCATCGCTTTCTTCCAGAGGAGGCCAGGATATGTATGGGTCGAGGCTAAGGCGACGTAATGATTGTCCAGAATATTTGACGAGCCTGTTGAGGCAGACATCCGACTGTGTCATCATCTGGAAAGACGGAGTCGAGGAAATTGTAATGTCTCGGAGTTGGGTACTAGTCCCAGTAGCAATGAAGAAGTCGACAAGATCAGCCACGGAGCGAGGGTCAGAATGCAAACTGAAGCCGAGCATCAGCTCGACAACCACCAAGCCTGATGGTAGCACAGGCATGCTTCGGAGGCGGACGCCGTGTTTCGCAAACGTACATGGCCCCTGAAGGATGAGCGTTTCGAGAGCGGGGAGGGCGCACAGGAGGCGAGAAAAGGTCGCAACTGAGGGAAAGATGACACTCGAGAGATGCAGTGTTCGGACGGCGCTCCACAGACACGCCTGCGTAGGACGAGAATGAGGAATCAAGTGTTTTCGGCCACTGACGGCAGCAATGAATTCGGACAATTCCACGAAGGAGGGACTCAGTCTAGGAAACTTGGAGTCGAACGTCCTGCCCAAGAAGAGGATCTCCAGCTGTGCGTGCGGCAGAAGACGGAACTGGGAGATAGTAGAAGCATCGAAAAGCTGGTGAGTGAATTGCACATGCCAGAGAGCGAGACGCTTGAGGCGGGGGAGGGCGCACACCAGCCGGCCAAGCGTCAAAATCGTCGGGAAAACGACGTAATCGAGGCTGAGACGGGAAATGGAGAAGCGAAACAGATCGCGGAAGACGGCGTCGGCATCGAGATCCGCCGCCCGCCACAGCGCGTTGGAGATAGTCAGCGCATCAACAGAGGGCCATCTTCCTCCATGCCTCGACGCAAACGTCGCCAGATGCGGAATGGGTCCGCGGTCGTCTTCACTTGAGTCCTCGCCATGGATTGTCACTTGTCGTGGTCCTCTCCAGCGTCGCACCTCACTGGCATCGCCTGAAAAGTTCATCTTGATGCGCTCGACGTCTTTTGGACTTTTGAACGTCATGTTGTATGCTAGGCACTCATCCGCCATCAGTTGAAACCCTCTGCACACTACTCTGCATCCTTCCAGCGTGTCATACTCGCCTTCCTTGGCGAGGCCGTGGAAGATGCCCAACCATATCTCCGTCGGGAAGGGTAGCACCATCTTATGCGGGGCACTACAATGCGTCGGTCCTATCTGGTAAGATATCTGTGTGCATTTTGAGCGCGCCATCCGACGGAACTCACCGGAGGGTTGTTGTGCAGGTCTGCTGAGATCTTCCACACCGCGGTGGAGGTAGATGAAATGCACACTAGTTGATTGTACGCGTTTGCTTTGTGCAGTCGGTTAACATGCTTGCCTACGAGTAGCGCTGTGTCGCGGCATCCACCACTGGCGACTCCTGCCGCGAATTTCTGCTCCACCTTGCCCAAAGTATAATTTGCGAGCGGAGGTCTTATGTCTATCGCTGTTAGTTCTGCTATAGCCAGCGCAAGCTCCGGATCCGGGATATACATGAGCTAATGCATCATCCTGCCAGGCCGTACAGGGGCCATTATGCATAATGAAGGGTGTTCGAAAATACTGGAGTCAACATTCTGTATGACCAGGACCACAGGGATGACGATCGAAGGAGAAATGCACAATTAAGCTGACAACTCTGTGGATTCATGTCGGGCGACTGTAGCATATGGGGCTTTCCTCTCTTTCTCAACCTCAACCATGTCGCCTTCCAGACAATCCTGCCCTTCGGCCGCACGTTCGGACTCCTGCACCCGGCCCGGCTCGTCTTCGACGTTCGGGGCATAGCAGTGTGCCGCCTCCTACCAGCCTAAAATTACTGATCATAGGCGAGCACGAAGCTGCGACGTTTCTACCGAATGCAAGGCATAACGCCCTTCGCAATACTGCTCTATCTTAGTACCGCCATCGGCGTGCATCACCAATGCGACGCACCCAGTCATGGTTTCCGTGGAGCATAATGCAGGTGCCGCAGCTCCTTCCTTCTGTTTTCACGGTAGCTGCCTCCTTGAACATGAAGTTGGCTCACTTTCCCCGCGCTTCCCGCCTTCAATAACGTCAGCCGCATGGCGTTGTTTCCGAGTCGTGATCTTGACATCTTGCGATTTCATAAAAATTGCCCTTCCAAGCTACGAATCACGATCGTGTTTTGCGAAATCACTGTGTCCTACTGTACTCTCAGCGCATCGCTTGCGCTCATAGCCTCTCGGCATATTGTTTCATAAGACCAATGCCACACAGTATTGCGGCAAATTGTGCATTACGCTCTAATTCGGTATGTAATCTGACAATCGAGACACCGCAATCAAAGCACAAGCGACACTCGTGAGATGCGTCACATACATCAGTTGATACACGTAAAACTGCCGTGCAGCTCGTCGCAGTACTGCTCTCCCACGTCGCAGGACCTAAACTCCCTATGGCAGACCGCAACTCCGGCGCAGTCGTACAGCTGCTGTGTGCAGTAGGAGAAGTCGTTAGGTCTGTCGAGCGTCAAGTACGTCTCGTAGACGACATCCTCGCACGCGCCAAAGTTGTCCCCGGCAGAGTCGACAAACTGGAGGGCGATGTTGTTCCCGCAGTCGTCGTCAACCTGTGAGAGCGTATGCGATGAGCGAGCACGCGTAACCACAACACTATAAGTACCTGACGGGCTTTGACTTTGGCAACGCCGCTGGATGGCTACGTCAGCGAACGGTCGGCTGGTCGTGCACTGGCAACACTCACTCGACAACAGAGGGATGGCCCACAACGCTGGTGGCAGTCGCAAGCACTGCAGCAAGCGCGATATATGTGAACGGACAGAGTTGCATAACGGCTGTATCGAGGCTGATAGAGATCGACGTTTCTGAGCTGAAGTATGGCCAGATGGTGCTGTGCGGTATTTATACCGACGAGGGGGAGCGGATCATGTACAGTGTCGTGAAACGGGAGCAGTATTCCTGCAACCAGATCTGTGGTACGTGTCAACTTGCCGGATAATATGCGCCCGAGCAACGCAAGCAGCTCACGGGAAGCGAGACTGAGAGAATCATTGCGATAGCTAAGCTCGTGCCGACAGGCGACGCCGATTTTCGCTTGTTCTCGGAGCAATTAATTATTTTCTGCTAAGCACAGGAGCATGGGTTGCCAGAAGGAACGCGGGAACATTCTCAGAAGATAGCCTTCCGCGGATGAGAGCGCTGAACCGAAACGACGATGTCAGCGAATGCGAGAATTTCGGATCCCTAGCGGTCTTCAAACCGAAAAGGAGCCCGCCTCAATGGACCTTAACCTGTCCAGCAAAATTTCCCGAAGTATTTCCCTATTGAGGGAAATATATTGGCGTTCCTTGTGCACGCGCAAATTCTAGTACATAGCGGTGCACCTCGATCTCCAAATCGTATTCGGCTCCGTCAGGCTCCGTCATGGAAGCCTGTTGGCTTTCTTGTCATTATGTGGGTGAATCCGACATCGTGGTGTACACATCGTTTGATGACACCCGGGCGTGAGCTGGGCTGCTTTCCCCGGATTGCGGCGCTAGTACACGAGTGGATAGTCCACGCGGGCTTCCTTTGTCCAGACCACTCATGGACATACTCAAAAAGCTCGTGAAACTGGTTTCTGCCAGGCTTTGTGAGAGGGAGGGATGGCGCGCGAGGTTGGATACTCACCGACTAGTAGGCGCTGGCCACAGTTCGATACCACCCGTGGCTCCTGCATATCTCTTTGTGAGTTGAGCTCTCTCCTCATAGCAAGCTGACCATCCGCGGATCATGAAAGATGGAGGTCGCCAGAGTGGCTACCATCTTCGACCACAAACATGTGTCCGCGCGATCAGCGGAGTTCAATTATCACCGTCTTGCTCGTCCGCGCTCAACCTTTGAAGAGGCTTTTGGTCGATTATTGGTATAGGACCTAAGCAAACAACAACACATGAGGGCAGAGACCTAGAGGTTCAACGGCATTCCATAACTTATCATGTGCTCACGTTCTTGTCTGGACAATACGGGACCAGATGGCACGATCTTTGTGTGTGTACATATATTCTAACCCTAAATAAGCTATCCAGTATCAGTGTAACGGTAGGCGATGGGTCCACACTCGCGGCTGACGTCCGTGACAATAGACAACCTAGCCAAGTCAAGGTGATCGTGAACGGGGTTCAGACTTGCAAATCCACTGACACTGTCCACCATGATCTCAAAGTACAAGTATTAAAATGAGGATTAGCAAGTGGGAACGTGCGTGTCTCATGGACCAGCGATCACGATCACGAGCGCCACCTTGCGTAGGCGCCGGCCATTAGGTCCCTTTGTTCCTACACATTCGGTGAGTATCGCGCCTCTAGTCCTGCCTTGTACGCACACCTGCATTCAGGTAACGCTTGACCACATATACCTTGTACTCACTACTCTCCATATAGTGCAGCTCACAATGGCCCTTTTTGTTGGATCACTCAACTTCAGGCCCGCCACCAGAGTCAAAGCAGCCACTTGTTCCTACATCAGCCTTCCGGATGTAGACGATGTATTCGTGACTGAGGATGCGTGCTGTATGGACTGGAGAACAAAAAATGCTGTAGGAACAGACAGTCTTACTGTGAGTGGAGCTCGACCGTGACGCCACAATATTGTCGACACTTACCAAAAATCCAGTCTGCACCACACAGCGACGAAGAGCACATCCCCGACTTGTCTAGTCTGAACCTCGAAAGCCCGCGCGGAGGCCCGCATCTCACTCCGAAGTCGACATCGTTGGAGCTCAAGAGCGAGCTCACATTTGGCAATCGAGCATTGATTCAAGAATATTCTGGAGAGACGGGTACTCAACCTGTGGTGCGTTCTTGTATAGTTGATGCAGAGAGGGTCGCAGGAGTGTTCATGTGCGTGCAGGCCCAAGCCCAAAGTGTAGCCTCACGGAATGCTCGCCTTGGTGCTCTTCCGGACGAGGACGACCAAAAGTGGAGCGCGTTGCTCGAACCCATTGACATGTGGCTTGCGCCTCTCAAAATGTGGTTTTAGGGCGTTTATCAGAGACAAGACATGTAGGATATGGACGAGATGTCATGGATAGTAAAGCCTTGCTTCTGGATCAGACAAGCGAAGTACAATGCACTTTCAATTTTGTCACGAGTCATTGAAAAATAATGACCATGAGTCAGTAACGGGGGTGCGTAAGATTGCAGGCGAATCATAAGCGGCATGCAGACAAAGCATTAATGAAGCTAAGAAAAGTATTTTGTGACGAACAAGGTAACCAACATAATCTTTTCTGCGGAGGCGTGGACACCATAGGAGAGCACTGTGGTTTCGGGTGAGTCGTTGAGTGAATGCAAGCAAGGCAGCTCTGTCAGAGCACCGGGAGACGTTTGTGTAGACTTGCCAAAGATTGGAAGCGCAAGGGAGTAGAGCAATCTGAGGCCGCAAGTAACGTCGCGAGTGCATGACCATCAAGACCGTGGATGTCTTCATGACCGACAGTAGCTTGAGCGCCATACACGAGATTAGGTGAACGGAGAGGTTCCCCTCAGCCTGTCCGCCGCTACCTGTTGCTTCCATGAGCGCAGTGGAGAAAAGGGACAGCGCTTCGATCAACATGCACGACACCCACGGCACCTAACAGTCGCTCATCGAGTCATCCTTTGACGGTCGACCACCACCATCTCGCACAGCCCTAAGTACTTCTGCCTTGCCTCCACCTGAATCCTGGCTACTTCGATGGCTCTCTGACTTCCTGGAATTTGTGAAGATCGCTATACAGGATCCTCGTTCGTCTGCTCAAATCAGGACACCGTTCTCGACTGGCTCAGCTATCCGCCATCTTTTCTGTTCCTCACCAGCTACTATGTATCAGCCTTACGCACACTTTGTCGCCTCTGGCTCGCGGATGCCTGGCTAATATTTCTTTCTCGATGATAATGCGCAGAGCTAGATTTTGACAGACGGCTCTGAAGTACCTCCGTCGCCCGCCTCATTCACCAGCTCGGAACCGGGAGGTCAAGAGGTTCAAGCGACATGTTCGTTTCCCCATCAATCTCTAGACCGAGGAAGTTGGTGTGCTGGTCCTCCCACACGAGATGGAGAAGATAGTCGCTCGGGATGGTGACCTTGTCTCGTTCCTATATGTGACCATCAACTCCTTAAGACCATAGTTGCGAGGCGGATTTGGGCATACACTAGGCTGATTGGTCCCCGTGGCTTCTCTGACACTCCCTATAAGGCACAGGTCTCCCGGTATCTCATCCTCTTGCTCCAGCTTCTGCGGAATCAACCTCGGTTGTGGAGGAGTGACGATGATGATGGGGGAGGCATACGGAGTGCGATCGGGGTCATCGTTCTGGTGGACGGGCTGCAAAATAGGTGAGCGTCCAGGTTTTTACGGCGTCATGACTACGACGTGACTTACCACTTGGTCGTCGATTGCCGTATTGATTTGGTTGCTCCAGTTCATGTAATGCATGTTTTGGGATTCGACGGTGTCGACATCATCGAATTGCGACAGCTCAAGCTCAAGATAGACTAAGGCAGAAGTCTTTCTCCTGGGTGACGGTACAGGGAGGGCGATGTAATGCCATTCAAGGTGAGACATATTAGTGATTGGCGAGATATCTGCTGTGATCATAATAGATGCAGTTGAAGTTGTGGTCACAGCTCGCAAATGCGTGGTTGACTGACGCTGCAAGTTGTGACAGGGGCGACACGCAAGTTGAAGTTGCAGCAGCGCCTATGTGGGGTTGTGTGCGCGTCACTAATCCCCGAGACTCCGAAGGCGCGGAGACAGAATGATTATACTTCTGGTCTCCGCAAGCAGTCCAATCTGAGAACCATCCTCGGCGATCTTTCAGATGGCTGTAGACCAAACTATGCCATGTAAATCTGTTTGTCTTTTGAAACCTCTTGTACTCTGACAGTAGACGATAACATACAACTATTACATGTGTCCTGAACTTGCAATTTCTGTAGGCCCGTTGTGCCCTGCGGCGACGTGAACGCGTATATTTTCCACTGTCCATGTTATATGATGGTCGAGCCTGCGAGAGGAATCTTGTCTTCAGAGACGAGTCTGCTTCCATATACACGACCTTCTCAGGACTGTCGCGGAGAACATTGCCACGCCTGAAGCAATGTCTGCACTTCGTATAGTTAGGCATTTCATCCACTTTTACATCGATCGAGGTCGCATACAAGATGTCTATACTGCTCTGCATTTTCCATTATTCTTGTCTGCTCAATCAGACCTTATACAAGCGCGGGATCTCATCTCGCGAGGAAATCCGGTCGAAAGATCAAAGTTTCAGTTGTGTTTTTGCAGTATAGAGAGGCTGGTCTGAGCGTGCAGTCTTACAGATTCTCGGCGTCGTAATAACAGAGACACTCGTTGCAGTGTATGAATGCACGTCCATCTCGCAGTTGTGCATGGAATGAGCTTGGAGTGAGAAACGCATACAGGAGAGTGCTGGAAAGTGGGATGAACGTTAGCCGCTGAGCGCAAGTAGACGCTTTCCATTCAAGCGAAGATGGTACATGATCGTATACCATGTGTTCGTCGTATATCTCTCACTGAGGTACAGCGCACAGCATTCGTGTTCCCGCCGTGCGACATGCATGGAGACACCCAGCCTCAATCGCAGCAGCTGATTCCACGTCGCCTCAGGGCTCTCTAGATATGCAGTGACGTCATGATCATCATAGCGAGCCTCCCCGTATATAGTGTAGGCAGCATCGACATCAAGCCGGCGTAAACCACATTGCAGTTCTGGCAATGGCTATCAGCGACATAAGCCTCATTGAAAACTGAAAGCACCAACTTCAAGATGCCTTGAGCATACGACAATGGCATGTGGGCTTTCATCATCTCGTCCCACACGTGCGGATCCACGTAGTTCGCATACTGAGGGACGATTACGGCATAAAAGCATGCCTGCGCAAGATTGACAAAGGGCGGCAAGACGAAGAGCGCGTCTAGGGGCGCACAGCACTCCCGGACGAGCCTCTCCAAAACGGCATGCACCTGCTCGGCGTTGCTGGCTTGCTCGATGTCGAACTGCACGATGAAGCTGTACAACGCGTAGGACGCCATACGGGAGAAGAATTCTGGGCTGAGGCTGTAGCGGTCCTTCTGATTGCTGACGTTGAGGTGGACGTCGATGTGAGCAAGTCTGGTCAGTTTGGCGACGTTCGGGAGTGGATCTGCGGATAGTTGTTCCTTCTGCGTGTCGTGAGAACAAAAAGGCGACTCACCGCCTAAGTATGCATGCATGGCAAGCCCATAGAACGACGAGCCTGTGGTATCCACCAGAGCCTGTATGTCCATTATGTGAACGTGCTGATCGCGGAGAGCTCGATCCATTTGCAAGTTTAGCGTATGTAGGCCAGTGCTTAGGCCACTGGCTATGAGGAATGATGCGACGCCATCGAAGGAACACCCATCGATCCGCACAGTCTGCAGGGCGGGTCGGGGAATCTCCTGCGGGAAGGCACTAGGGTGCAGTTGACGCTGCACAAACGTAAGCGCGTCGCAAGTGAGAACTTTGAGGCCGGAGAGCGCGCAAACGAGACGTCCAAAGGTGAGAACGGACGGGAAAACGACATTGCTGAGATGGAGGTCTTGGATCGAGGTGAACGCCGATATATGAAGGAAAACGTCACCATGCACGTCGCCGGTGCGCCACTCTGCGTTCGAGATACCGAGCGAGTCCATGCGCGGCCACTTGCGTGCCAGCATCGCTGCGAAGGCGCCGACGTGAGGAATGGGTTTGCGGCCCGCCCCCCGGATGCCACCTCTCATCCAGACGCGCTCAGGCCCTTTCCAGTCGCGGGCCTTCAGTTTACTGAGGTATGCGATCTCTTCGCGATTATGGAGGTAAACGGCTTCTGGGAAGCAATCCTTGCACCTTCTTCGAAGCCGCTGGCAAACTGTGGAGCAGACTCGGATGGTATTGTAGTCCCAGTCGTCTTCGAGACGGTCGATAACCAAGTCCCAAACGTCGAATGGAAGAACCGGGGCTGTCGGGAGCGGGACCTCAGCAGCTGAGGCCGCTTGCCTAGTCTGCTCATCTTGGTGCTTGACTTGCAAAAACTGCGGCCAGCAACTAGACAGAGAGATGACACGCCTAAAGACAGACATGGTGCCTGCACCAAATAGTGACCGTATGCTTTGCAGCCAGGCAATGCATCTTCTGAGTAAAATAAGCGGCATGCTGTTGAGAAGTCAATGAGTACTGCCTTCTAACACATAGCATGGCTGCTTACCAGCATCAACGTTTGCGGTGCGACCATAGCCTATGTGGGTAGCATGCATATATGATGTTCAATAGCCGAAGGGCAGTGTTCATCAAACTTTGCTCAAGAATTCGTAATTCGGATATAGCGTGAGGCCGTTTTTGCAAAATAGTTGCGAGTGCCTTGAGACAGCCGGATAATAGACTCAGTACATAGGGGATCTCAGCAGGTATAGCAACCTGTTTGCATCCGTCATTCACGTAGATGAAGCATGAAATTCAACATAAGATATCATTGATCAGTTTTAGAAGACTCCATAGTTGATGGTTTGAGAAGAGAAGCGTACAAGTAGAATTTGCGCTCGAGCTCTAGACGATCACAAAGTAAATGGCAAGAGTCGTCTCACATCAAGAATTGTTTTACAAATGAACGAGATCATGATGTATCCCAATGGAATATGACTTGAACGTTAGGCTATCCGAAGTCTGAGCAGGTTTGAGGGAGGTGTTCACGCTACTGAGTTATCAGTGGACTGTGTGTGTAACGTTATAAGGAAAATCCCCGGCTTCGATTCGCGCCACCGACGTAGTACATCTATGTACAGTCCAGCGCTAGTCACTTGACCTCGATTTTGAGATGGCTATTGCTTAGTGCTTGTGTATTCGCGTTCGCGTAGTTTCTGGCTCATACTCAAGAATCTTCTAGAGGTCTAAACCTAGTGTCATGGGCCGGTTTGAGTCGACCATCCAACGGTTGGGCTAAACGCAGTGATTTCGAGCATGGCTTCTCCTGATGCGCAACCACCTCTCGCTGAGCGCGGAACATCTGCCTACTTTCCTTCTCTCCTCACCCGCATCGCTACAGTTCACCCTGGACTCCCATTGGACTCAGTCGTCCTCCAGTCTGTACTACTTTGTTTGATTGCGCGTGTCGACGCACCCGCCCTCTCAACGCACACCACGGCAGGTCTGGGATGGGAGGATTCGGCGCCCGCTCGTGGCGAAGCATGGACCTGTGCTAATCTTATTCTGAGAACCAGAGAGGAGGATGTGGCGCTGTTGGTGCACCTCGTCAGCTTGGTGCGCTAGTTTCATGTCTCTGCACACAAAACAAGTTGACGTCGCGGCTCAGATGGTGACCACAGTTTTTGGCATTTCTACTCACAAGCACAAAATCCCCACCCAGAAAGTGGCCTCATGCAAGAACAGACCGCGCCCTGGGCGCATGGGCACGGGTGAGTCTCCCGATACGTTCCTTCGCTCCCTCTTCTTCCGGCGCCCGTCCTCGTCCGTGCGTCGCAGCGCCGACATGAGTGCTCGCGGAGCAACCAGACCACCTCACTCTCCCGCCGCCGCCCACCGCTCTCTCTCTCAGACGCCGCGTCCGTCTCCGTTGCGTCTCTCGAGGTCAATGGAGCGGGAGAGCACCGACGACAACAGCACAGACCATTTTATTGACGGCGTGTCTCTCGCGTCGTCTAGACGCCCCCTCATCTCCGCCTCCTCGCCCGCGTCCACGCTACGCTCACGCCGCTTTCAAGCGGATCGCCTGCTGTTCCTGGACGAGATGTCTGTGCCATCCCCGGTCTTGTCGGACCGGGAGGTCGTCCCGGAGGCCGGTACTGGCGAGAATGACACTGACGATGTCCAGCCACTGCCGGTGCTCCCCAAAGCTGTCGTGGTATCTGGGCTTGAGCATGCATCGCTTCCCGCCCAACGGGCCTTGTGCCTAGCACTTGCCGAGAGACGCCTCATATTCGAGGAAGAAATGGCAAGCGCAAATAGCTGTTTGAACGAGGAAGGTACCTGGAACCTTCCTGACGACTTCATTATGATATATGTGTGCAAAGCAGACGGCCACGACCGACCTGCACTGCTAGGCGCACTGGTCAGTAATAGTTAGTTCGCTCCTGAGTTGCCACACTAAATTCATACATCACAGCTAGACAAATTTGCTATGAGCACAGACGTTGTCATATCTCCTGCAGTCCGCCACGCATACGCAGCCTATCGCGGAACGCCAAGCTCAACCCCACTCGCTTCCCCATTCGCGACTCCGCACTCGCTACCCACACCTTCCGATGTTACATCTAGTGGTCCCCTCCGCTCGCCACCCTCCCGGTTCTTCGCGCTTCCCTCCATGTCCACGTCCAAGCCGATATCGCCGCCTGTTCCGCCAGCCGAGCTCGCACTCCTCCGCGCCTCATCCGCACGCACTGTCATGCACCCATTCCTAAGCGCATATCTGCGCAACTTATTTTACGCTGCGCGCCAGCATCCGCTACTCGATGGTACGCTCCTCACGAGGCGCACACATCGCGACGCAGACGCCTTAGTGCGCGCGTTCCGTGTAATTGCCGGCGACTCGGTGGGGGCGGACCTCCTGCGTGCGGGGTTCGCCGGCGGCTTGCCTGGGGAGGCCTCAGAGCATGCAAGCACCACGAGTTTGAGTACGAGAGAACCCGCGGAGTGGGAGAAAGGCGTGACAGGAATCGATTGGGCGCGGCGCGGCGACGGGGCTAGTGACAGAGAAGCGATATGTGGGAATGGAGCTACCGATGAGCCTATGCCGGTCAATCTGCCATTCCGTATGCCCGCCTCTGAAGATGAAGTGGACCCAGATGACAAGACATCGATGCTCGGGGACACCAACGAAGTCGCCGTGTGGGATGTATCGGAGGTAGATGTGGCGAGGGTGTTCCCTCGAATTGTCTCGCATCATCTCAGGGTGCGTGGGGGGCCTGATGAGGAGATCCTAGGGAGCATAAACTGGCCTGCGGTCGAGCATTTGCCTGACGGGGGACCAAACCCTCGACTTGATGGTAGCGTTTACGAGCGGAAAACGGTGAAGGAGGTCTTAGTGCAGATTCTTGGCGATGTCTGAAATGACGACGGAGTGCCACTTCTAGTATAAGCCATGTAGATAGTAGATCCTGTGATACGCGTCAAAGGGGGTTTTCAATTAGTCAAAGACGTATACGGCTGGCATCAGGTTCACCAGCTGTGAGCAACACAGGAGTACTTTGTACTCTAGGTGGCTGTATCGTCCTCCAGTCTCTCGTTTCCTCTGAACACAACATGCCCCTTCCTCTGGAATAGTGGTAGTAATCGTGGTTTCGGCCGTTTCTTCTCCTTTGTTCTGGGCTTGCGGATCACTCCTTTCAGTCCCGCGGCGGGTACCGTTGGGGCGGGGGTATCCACTTGCATCGCGTCTCCCGTCGATTGCTCTTCCTCAGGACCGGGTACGATAGGTGCTGGCAAAGTTGGGGTAGATGGCTGTATGTCTAGTTGTGCGTCGGGATCAAGCACAGGAGGGGCAGGAATGCGCCGAGACGTCGAGCATGATTTGCATATATAGCAGACTACATGCCCGTGTACAGGAGATGCTGTTCGGGACAGCTCGATAAATGCTGCAACAAGGCACGGGACCGAAACTATCACTCACTTCGTATGCGCACGTCCGCCGTAGTCCCAGATACCATGACAGTGTTGCATTTCTTGCAGATCGTGCGTTTGACACTCGGATCCCTATTCCTGGATGTCAGTAACTTGCGAGGCGTGTACAAAAGATACGTACATTCGGACCGTGGCCTTCTGTCCAATGATCTTCATAGACTTGACGTAGCTCCGGGAGAGGTCAGAGGTAGTCGCAGGATGCCTTTGTTGTCGTCGCATCTCAGTTTTACGCTCTTTACAAGTTAATGGTTCTCCCATATAGTTCGTGATAGGTTCATCGGTTGGGTGGGGCGCGATGCTGTTCAAGTAGGTGCTAGCTTGATAGAGGAAGTTCAGGCGTTGTAAAATATCTCTGTTTGCGACCCCATTGATCGTGACTGTAGAGTCTTGGCCTTTGTTTTTCTTCGCCATAGCTTGATCTATGTTAGCAGATGGGTATACAATAGCATAAAGGAGCCAAACGCGAGAGGCAAGATTAGGGCGCCTATATAATTGCCGATCGAGGAACTCAACGCCTCCCACGCTGCCGATCGCGATTCGCTCATTCCGTCCTGCTCTTTCACATAACAAGTGTGGAGTTGCTTGAGACCTAACATGTTCAGGTGTATATCCATATTTTCTGCAAAAATGCACGCAGTCGGCATTGGACGACAGCAGGTTCGCCCGGCGCTGATCGGGCCTCTGGGACTTGTATAAACACTGAGCCCGATTTGTTGTGAGTTTGCACTTGGAAGACTACGTATACACCTAAGAATGACAGTAGTGACTTATGATACATTCCTCCATTGACGTTCGTATCGTCACGCATGAATGGAGAATCGAGACCAGTGCAGAGCTATGCTACATCAAATTCCATCTCCTCCGCTTGAGGCGTTGCGATGTGCCGTCGAGTGACCATCGCTTGTGGCCAGAGTCCCTTATCCAGCATCATTGCATGGAACGTGCTCCAGTGGGAGAGGATCCATTCTCGAACCGAAGTCTCGCCACCCTCCCATGACGTGTAAATGCACCAGATAATCAGGATACCAACCAGGCCCCAACTAACTCCACTGACAATGATTGATGGCTCGTCAGCTGTCTCGAAGCACTCGAAGGCGAATGCGACGAGGAAAGTCACCATGCTGTGGACGATATGTCAAGCAACCCGAACAAAGGCAGCACTAATGTGTAACTCACGCCCACATGAGGAGAGCGTACGGTAGGCTGTACATGATTGCCAGTGTCTCCAAACCGAGGGTTGGATGCCGCCGGCTAGTCAGGTAATTGAGCTGTGCACAAGAAATCAGGCAACGGCGTAACATCTGCGCGCGACATTGACATACGGCATCCTGCGCCGTGTCCTTTGGCTTGAGGCGGTATTGCCGGATCAATAGCAGGCCAATAACCGTACTGCCGATGCTGGCTATTGTGGATACGAAACTCGCAATTTGTGCGGGAGTCCGATGTCTTGTTCCTGTTCCGGGGTCTACATCGTTGATAGTCATGAAGGATATGTTTGCATTCAGCAGAACAGTAGACTAGAATATATTATTCCAACAAGTGATGAACGACGGATCTAGCGTAGACTCACGAAGAGGACATATTCCTGCCAGTCTGTCTGTAGCTTTGACATGAATTGGCTCCAGGGTATGAGCGTAATAATATTGTCGATCCAGATGTTCTCCAGCGACTTGAGATGGACATCTGGCGCATTGAACAATATCGGTGCAAGAATGGAAATCAACGGCGTTCGATGTTCATGGGCGTCGCTGAAAACACTCTGGTCGCGAGATAAACGAGCCGCTTTCTGTCCATGATAATGCAGGAATCGTTGATGCGCTGGAGGTAGTGTGGGCAAGGGGTCTTTTGCGTGGAGGTAAAACGTACCAAATATGTGCATGAAACGACCTGCAAATAACACTTAGTAATTGTGGACAACAGAGCCATTGAAAACTCGAATTGCTCACCGATCACACAAGCAATGTGCTGATTGCTTCCGAGTTCTGAGTGTTGATATAAGAAGTCCAGCGGCACCGCATTTCATAGACACCTACCTTCGGCGTTCTTAACTATAGCCATCATTTTCTGTAGTTCATCAGTATTATAAGGTATCGTGGAAGTTGGGGATGTCAGCTGGTCTGCTTGGGGCTCAGCATCTGGCCGCTGCCACACAATGAGATCTGGTTACGCACCAGCCGTGGAATGCACTATGATGCTCTGAAGCTCATGGACAAGCTCCTTGGAAGGCTCGTGCCTGAATGGGAACATGTCCCAATGAAGCCTTGGGTATGATTAATGACTGTGATATCGGACTCCTGTACGAGGTCAAGGTTAGCAAATATACAATGGGCGGAACTATGACACGTACGTGAAAGTAGGCATATGTACCAGTACATCTCTTCAATCGCATACCCTTGGCGATCAGTCAGTACTCAACATGTATCGCATGGCAATCGCAGAAGCTTTAGACGTACTTATGTGCGATGCAGAATTTAGACCCTGTAATTCGTCCCAAGGGGACTCGTCGTAGACCTCATACTCTTGCAACCAGAAGAGTGTGCGAGTATCACTGTCAACGAAGTAGTAGCACCAGTGATATTTGGTCAGTCTATCTGGTTTCGTGTTGTCTTCCAGCTCCAACACGAGCTCCATGCTGGGCCCCATCTGAAACTCGAGACCATTCGACAGATGTTGGAGCAGTGCTATGAAATCGTCGATTTCAGCCATAATTTCTGGGTCCATTATGTACGCGTCGGTGTAGATCCGCTGAGTGAGTAGTGAGACATGAGATATGAATCTGACTCAATCTGTGTACCCTTTTTGCATGATAGAAGTAGCGGGCGCCCTCTGGGTGCGTCAAGGCTGTCCACCCATCCGGCACGTCATCGCTTGTGAACATAAGTGACATGAATGACGTCCCTTGCGAAGGCACTCACAACGGGTACGATAGCTGTATAGGCTTCACTACGTAATTGGAGTCTAGGTTCTCTCTGGCGCCTGAGATTGAGACTAAGTAGTATGGAAGTAATGAGATGTCATACATCTTCAGGCCTTTGTGGTATCGTTTGACTTGCAAAATCGGGTATGTCGTCTGGATCCTCCTTGGCTCCACAGGAGCATGAGACGGTTTGTCCCCTGCCGGTATTGCCTGATTGAGTCCACTATGTGTAGTAGACTTATGTTCGGGTGGAAACGATGCAATCGACAGCCGGGACCCACGGTACGAGCCCGCAGGCGAGTCTCGCGCTCGAGACCTAACACGCGACCTCGAGCGCGCACGAGCGCGGCTGCTAGTTGGTCTTGACACGTCTCTCAATACACCTCGGTCTCTCCGATGCAGCGAAGAGGCCCGAGACGACGGTCTGGAAGACAGCGCCAGGTGGTCGTAGCGAGGTTCATGATAGTGGTTTCCATGCTCGCTCAGCGTCGCAAGCCCGATGTCGATAGAAGACTGGGACGCATTCTGCACTGAGATTGAGTACGGCTCATAATTCCCATTACAATCGACAGAATCCGGGTATGCAGTAGAGATTGGCCGGGATGCTGGGCGGCTTGGAACATCCCCTGTGCTGGGTAGCCGGGGAGAACGGTCGTAGTGTTCGACGTGGAGACCTAGATGCGAGATAACGGGCTCTTTACTGCAACATATCGCTCCACGTTCACCTCCTTCGCCCCATTTCGCTCTTTCAACTCTAGGCCCAAAGTCTACGCCACAGTGAACGTCTTTATCGGATTGTTTGCGATCGTCACCTTTGCGCTTGCGACTGCTCTCCCAGCCCAGTCTACGAATATAGAGTTTGACGAGTAGCCATAGCCATCGCAAGCGTTCGTGTATGGCACAGATAGGACCGCACGAAGACAGCAGAAGTCGAAATAGCTGCGAGCCCACTGAAGGGCGATCTGTCGATGGCATATCTCTGAGAAGGCGTGGCAGTCCACAAAGCAAGGATTTTAGATACAATGACGGTAGACGGCTATTAGTAAAAAGTGCAGCACATGTGGATGAATGAGTGGAGGCAACACATGGTAGTGTGAGACACGATAGTCAAGGGACGGATTTAAACTTCGGTGGAATCTTTAGGCAGGTATGGGTCCTAGCAGCTTCTTTCAAATTCGCTGTGTATTAGATATTCGAAGTCTTCTGTTGATGATGATAAAATCATATTCTTTCGCCACTAGCCTATTGACAATGCAAAGAAACGACCTTTTCACAACTTGTAAAAGTTGTGCTGGAAATTCTTTCATTGCCATATATGGCAATCGTGACCACGGCTTTGACGGATAAACGATCCGAGTTCCTTTCTTGTGTAATGAACAATCTGCAAGGTACAGACTCGTTGTCTGATCATCGGTTGCATATTAGGTCTCTGTGAGCTACATAGCGAACACAAACTCTGGAGCGAAAGAAAGCAAGACTGGTAGAACCGAAACAATCAGGATGGCTCAACAGCGTCTAAGGCTTACAAATTTGACAACTGATTCGTCTCCGCTTTCATCTACTTGGTACTCACGTCTCATAGACGCCTCACAAGGAATGCAAGATAATCACATGTCGAGGAATGTTTATTTCAGTAAGGCCGGTATCGCTGACCAACAGAAAACCATACTTGTAGCATGATCAATCAAGATACGTACGCAATGTTTCGTAACACGATGTGAGTCTTACATCGTTCCGGCCTTCCCTTCGATCATACGGCCTGCTGAGTAAGATTTCCGATTGCGGTCCTCTCGATGACCAAGATCCTATACAGAGATCGATCATACATACATCGTTCCGAGTTAGAGTTCGAGTATCTTGTGGATATGCTGCAAAAGGCGCTAAAGGCGGAACCTGGGTATATAACGGGACCTGAGTGCAGTCGCAATCTTGCATCTCAGAACTCATTTTATCTCTACAAACCTTGTGTTGGCGCATATTCACCCTTTGCACAATGTCTTTACAGCTCGCTCCCAGTGCCCAGTATAATGTTGCCATCGTGGGTGCGACAGGTGGTTTAGGTTGGTCTATTGTTGCGCCTCTCTCCGATTCTCCCACGACCCGTTGACACTTATTGTTAAATAGGCAAGGAGGTAGCGAAGGCGTTTCTTACCCACTACCGGCCTTACTTCGCCAGCATTGTCGCCGTCGTGCGCGATGCCTCGACCGTCGCTGCTCGAGCACTGGCCGAACAAGGGGCAGAGCTCCGTCAGGTCAACAGCGCTGAACCTGTTGTCTCATTTGCCGAGGCATTCAAGGGTGTGGATGCCGTTGTCAATATCGCGAACGCTGCGGCTTCCGTGGACTATCACAACGCTATATTCGAAGCCGCGCTGAACAGTGGTGTGAAGGTGTACTTCCCGTCAGAGTTTGGCTCGTAAGTGCTTTCTTTGTGCCGTGGAGGCTACTTTCATGACCTCTTCGTCTATCAGTGATCTTCGCTGGAATGACTTCCCGGGTTGGGACGATGTTAGCTGGGTGCAGAAGCGAGAGCATCTCAGCTATGTTCGTCAGCTCTCCGGAGGGAAAGTTAAGATCGTAGCGGTGTCTACCGGTATGTTCCTAGAAGGTTCTCTCGGCGTGAGTGGCAATGTCTTGCACTAATGCCGCTCTACTGACATCATCATGAGGACTTGCAGCCGTGGCGTGAGTACTGTTGTCGGATGAACAGGTAGCTTACGAGTGCTAACAATCGTGTCTACAGTGGGATTCGATACGGCAAACATGACGTATACTGTGGTTGGCTCTCCTGACACTAAGATTGCGCTCACGGCCAAGCTCGATATCGGCCGCGCTCTCGCAGAGCTCTCGCTGCTCTCCCTCTCCCCAGAGTCTGCTTCCCGTGTCCCCGACCACGTACGCATTGCCGGTAACAATAAAAGCTATCGCGAGGTGCGCGACATCGTGCAGAACGTTCGGAAGGTACTTGGTGTACCGTCAGACGGCGAGATCGTGCTCAAGACCGAGGACTACGAGAAATTCAAGGCCCTAGTACGCGAGGAACAGCTCAAATCTCCCTCTCCACATCCGCTTCGTCACCTCATGTAAGCGTCTCCTTCGTCTACGTTAGCCCACGGTTCACGATGACCTGCTCGACAGGCTCCTGAGCGCCGAGGGAAAGATGGACTTCTCTACCAACGATAACGACCTGGTCAACCCGGGACAGAAGGTATGGAAGTGGAAGTCTGTCACAGACTATATCCAGGAGGTTGGAGGGAGACCCTTCTGCTAAGTGTGTTAGCATCTTGTAATACGGCCCGACTATCCTCCTTGTCAGAAGTTTGTGCAACAATTGATTTATCACGATATCGCTGATGTAAATTAACATGCTCGCGTTAGCTGAACCAGCCTTTTGGTCTATGGACTTACTGTTGTACGTGGAGAAGTGGATGAATGGTAGTGCGGGAATTTCGATCAGCATCACATGACGCTTGATCTGTGGGTCCCTGTGGGTCCTCCCTGATTCAGCGGCGATTGAAAACGGAGCCTCCTACTCGCATTAGTTATACGTCTAAGGATCTTTATGTAGTATCTCAATCGTATCACCATGCTCTGGCAGATCTTGCATTCAGTGACTCGAAGGGGCTCAACTACCTTGTTGCTTCTCGCACTCTGTCTGCCAGACGCTAGCTCTCGAAGGGCCATGTTGCCGAGTCATCAATATGTTCCTCCGCTGGAACCTTAGAATACAACAACATCGTATCCATGCGACGCTTTTATGTCACCCTTTATAACTCCCACTCCTTCTCTCCCGGAGGACCATAATTATCCACACCGCTCTTACTGACATCCTTATTGTCGTCCTCGCGGCAGCTATGAGTTTCAAAGGGCTCTTAGCTGGCATCTCCAAGACCACCAAACGCCTCTCATTGAAGATCCTCACCCGGTCCAAGCGCAGAAATCTCTACCAAAGTCTCCTCTTTGAATGTGATGCTCTTCAACGAGAGGCCGAAGTTTTGATCGAGCAATGTCGTCTCAAGCTGACTCAGCCCGAATTTAACGAATGGAACACTGTTCTCGATGTGTAAGCAAAAGCTGCTTCTTACTCTCAGCGCATGCTCCATACTCAAGATCTGTCAAGGTTGAAGGCAGAAAGAAAGAAACTGATTCCTTTCTCCGGATATGGATCGAGGTCGTCAGCCGAACTTGCTGGCATCTCTACGGCAGAGAGTTTCAAGTGCGATGTCACTACTTTCAATCAAAATTCACATGTGTGTACATGCCCAGGTGCTGATTGCGCATGCTTCTAACCTACGAGTTCCAGGAGCTTGCACGTCGTTGTGAGAGTCGAAGAGGTCGTCATATCGAGATGTCTGGTGAGGATATTGGTATCGAGGGTGAACAAGAACGTGAGTTTTGACCCGGAGATGGCTAGTATTCCTTTCCTTTGGTTGAAAATGTAAACAGTACAGCAGGTGGAGGATAATTCCGACTTTCACATTTCCAATCTGGCCGTATCAGAGAAGGAGAAATTACGTTGTGAGTCCCATTGCTTTGAATATATGCATAAACTGAGGTATATACCTGCCAGCGCGAAGCGCCCCGGTCAAGACTTCGGTCGCCTTTGACCTCAAGGACCAAGAAAGACGATGTGAGGCAGTTCTGGTATGCCAATGTCCAGTCTTCGCTGAATCATTCATCCGCAGCGCGCACAGACCCAGTTGATATGAAGAAGACTCATCTACAGGCTACACGTATGATTGTTCACACTCCCGAGAATGCGCTAGGCTTGCACTTCAACGGAGGGCCCGATCGTTTGCAGCACAGTGCAGTCTACTCATCAAATCGAACAATCAGTCTCAGTGAGTCCTTGCGTGTATACGCGGGTATACAGAATCTTTTCTGACGACCATTACCTCTTCCCATGTACTATCATAGAATCTGTGCTGAGTAGTTTGTTAATGCCAATTAGGCGGCTTAGTGGCCAGTCTGTCATAGGCGACGGTACCAATCCGCGTATAAAACGATTATCTGGTGGCTGACTTCTAGTCGTAGAATACAGCGAAGATCAGGTAGAGCTCAATGCTGAGGATACCTTGTTCCCTTTACTGTTAGGACAGGCTATCGACGAGTGAAAGCGAAGGCTTTGTGATGTCTAGTATTGCGATCATACTAATCACCCTCCAGAATTGTAAGAACCAGTTGGGAATGAGTACTTGTGTGCGTTGTGTTCTCGCATCTCAATTTGCGCTTGTATATCTGCGATCAAACTACCTTCGAGTACTATGTGTATCACGGCCAACAAGAGAGGCCTCTGTCCTGTCGCATACACAGATTGATTGGTCTAGTCTGCCTGTATCAACGCGATCATGTGTCACACAAAGCCCTTGTCCTGTGCGAATGCGTCCGTGGAAGATAACACTCCGGTCTCACGGCTGTTGATCCGGAGATGCCTGCTCCATATATAACAAACACTGCGATTGGATGCATGACATGACCATGTTGCTATGCGATGACGAAGTCTTTTATGGATCAGGTATCCGCGGATACTTGTTGTTCAATCATGTTCACACCTTGAAGACAACACTTGTTGTCTCGACCATCACTATGGCATTCGGGTGTGCGTCGTAAGTTGTTTGCCCCTACAATTCCCAAAGCTGAGGACATACCTTGACATATGTGACAAGCTTGTCAATCATCCTCTATGAACTGAGTGCTAAAAAAAGTTCCACATTCTCAATGCCATCATTGAAATCCTGGTCCCTCCTCTGTACAATTATACTGCACACATCCCTCTATATCCGATGCTTGCAGACATACCAGCATTGTTCACCGCTTCTACTCTGGTCGTCAGGCTTAGACCAAGGAGCTCGTTGAAAATAGATTACCAGAGCCGCCTTTATGAAGGCGACGCCAACCTAAGTGAAGCCTCCGTACATTACGCTGAGATTCAAGACACTATCAACAATCAGCGAGAAAGAATTGGATGGAGAGCACAGTTCGATAGGTGCGTCGCATTTGTTTCCTGGATGACGTTCGCAATCAAATATACGTGCAGGCTGCGCATAGAGCGAGGCCAGCTCGCGATGGACGTTTTCACTTACAGGTCCGCCAGGGCCCAAGCTGATGCACTCGCTCGTGCAGAGCGTTATAGGACCAATGCAAAGGAGCTGAATAGCACTGTCACAGTGAGATATCCTGCCGATAATCGATTGTCGACTCAACAGACGCTCTCACAGAGGAGGCGTACCACCTTGCTCTCGCGTCCACAGCCGGTAAATCCACTCCCGTGGCGAGTTCCACGAGCCACATATTCAACCACCATGACGGGCCCCGTATCTTGTCTGTGTACACGAATAATTCCCTGGACGTTTGGGCTCACATGGAGAAACCAGACACAAATGCCGTTCACAGGGTACCTACATCCAAGCTCACAAACTCTATCATCCCTGAATGCGATGGTTACACAGGTACGTTCATTAACAAATGCTCTTTCAAGGACGATATACGGATACATGACTCACAGCAGTTATTAACTATAGCCCGAAGCCGAGTACTTCGGTGGCCCTCACTACGCAGATGTTCCAGTCGACGCTCATGCTTCCAGGCGTCACGCGTACCACGCTCTAGTATGAAATGATGTCCTGTGTCCTAAACTCATCGTTCCAACGTCGTCTATCTAGACCCCAAAATGACATCGTACGCACCTTCACTAACAGAATCACCAGAGCCGTTAACATATCCCGGATGTGCGTGCTCAGTTCACTTGCTAAGTGGTGTCTCGCTAAGCTGTCCTCACGATTGAACTTCTAGTTCTAATTCAACGGAGTTGGAGATAATTTTTGTATCCAAGTCTTTACCAAGTTCCGTTTTTGTCTGTTGAGTTCTGCAGTATCCTTGGCTGCATATTGCGTTATGAATGAGGAAAATGGAATAAGTTGAATTGCTTTACCTTCTGGCTTTCCGATTGTCCTTCCACGACAACCAATGTCCCCGACAAAACATCGTGACGCTATCCCAAATGTCAGTATGAAATAATGTACCGCTCTGTATCTTGTCAGGTCACTCATAAACAACTGACTGACTTTGTATCCTTTTTTGAAGACGATATCCCAAGAGCAGTCGGCGCTTTGACTGCGGCCGCGGCGGCCAACCCGATGAACTTCTGTATCTTGACGATACCCCGGCACGCACCGTCGAACCTCGACGCTTCGCTCTGCGAGACACATCTTTCGACCGACACGCAGAATGCCGGTAAGTCGCGTCTGTGAAGGTGGGAACGCGCATACCAACTGAGATTTACTCAGGGTACAATTTCACTGTCGATGAAGGCATCGCTATGGTCCAAATGAATGTGAAGTGTTTTATTCTCATAATGTGGATATTGACTCACCACCGCCGTCATTATCTAGGGAGGCCCCCAGGCTCCGACGGGCGGATGCACAAGGTCTTGCTCGTTATTTGGATTAACCTCCCTTCGCACAGGTCCCCGGAACATAATAGGGTATGACAATGTGTGACTCGCGACTTCCCCGGAAATGCTGAAGTATTCACCTCCCCACGCGGAAAGTCCAGCGGGGAGAAAAAATGAAGGAAAATATGGATGATGCTATCAAGGAGGCCTTCGGCGACCGCATTGAGAAGATGTATGTTATGGATAGTCTGGCGACGGACCCCAAGATGCTATAGCACCACACTAGTGACCACCGTCGCAGACAAGGCAAGCATTGCCCTCAGTTGCTGCGTTGTTTAGTACATTGACATAGAGATTTGACCGACCTCCGGCAAGAAGGCCGACTTACCTCGTTCGGGAGTATAATGGGACAATGTTTGATCAACTTCTTTCTCAACAGTGGCAAGCCCACACGTCCTTCGTTTGTCCAGACCGCCGCCCGCAGATACACAAAGCTTGTGGAATACGTCTTCTGGAAGAATAAAAGGAGGACGACATTCGACCAAAGTCACCCACCACTCACGTATGCGCCAGCCACGATTTGATGCCATCCGCCTCCTGCATATTGATGTGTCAGTTGAGCTCTTTACATAGCAGGCCGTCCAGACCTCCTGATAACTGCACTACACCATCCTGAGACGTTGGAGCTCACATACTTCATAAGGACACCCATCATTAACCACAGCGATTTGTCCGCATTTGTGGCTGGCTTCGCCCACTCGTGGCCCACTTGCTCCCGCTCGAGATATGGAGAGGTCATCAATAAAATAATGGGATCATGACCTAAGCACACAAGGATCTCTCAAAGCAGAGTTCCAGAAGGTCAGCCGTGATCAATTGCATACTATAACTTGATGTGTGCTTACCTCTCCGCCAGAAAAGTGCCTGTTGCGGTCCCAGTCGCAATGAAACTTTTTCGACCTCAGGTTATGGAGGCATTTCTATGTCTTTTCAATGACTGCTCTCCCGCCCCCATGCTCGGCCGATTTGCATTGGCTGACAAGCTAGGGCTGAGGTCTCTCTACAAGACCAAAAATCCCCTTGATGTGAATATACTCTCCGGACAAATCCTCAGAATCAGCACCTCCCCATAAATTGAAGGTGCGTACAGCCACGGCTCGCATCATATGATCTGGATACTCACATCACAAGAAGGGAGCGCGAAACTCAGGAACGAAGAAAACAGAAGAGCAGGGCTCCCAATGAAAAGCGGAGTGTCCATGCAGCACGACAGCTTCCACCTCGTCAACAGGATGGACGCTCAGGTACCAACACAGCATGTGTAACGCATGCGGCTTACATCTGTCTGGGCCACACACCTGTAGAATCAACAGACCACGTCAAACCTAACCACATCTCATTCGCAATCTTTGCCTCAGGCTGTAGCTGCACGTCGCCGCCCCGTACAAAAAGAACCACCGCCGGCAGCCTGTAGCCTCCAAATTACCTGATTTCATCGAAGATGTCCTTGTAACATCTACACTCAAAGGCGACAGGGACGTGCTCTTTCACCTCAGCTCAGCTGCCCGCCATATGAAGCGATGAGTATAGCGGCATGGCCTGATACGCACGCACTGAACTCCCAATACTGCGAGCGTCCAGTAGGACGTCAGACATCGGGTTGTCTGAACGTCGTACGATAGTCGTCGTCGTCGACTAGCTGCAATTTTCCGTTGTTACTTGCATTTTTGTCACAAAGTAAAACGTGTCGATTGGAGTACGAGAAGGGAGATTCATAATAGCGCGGGCCTACACTGAAGAGTCCGGCGAGCGCTAATAGCGACCATTCGGATCGAGATTCAGCTGTATGTGCTATCGCGCCACAAAGTCAACCTCGTGTTTCGCTTTCGCAACCTCCATGCAAACATATCGTGATAGCACTGCTGTCCTCCGATTCCAATATCGCTGCCCCCTCACAGCACTGTAGTGCGGATGCATGACATGAGTAAACCTGCTCCTGGTAAGCACTGACGTACAACTTCCATAGAGGCTACGCACACGCTATTTACCAGTGAGTGTACGTTCCTTGCGGCACTTAACAAATACTGGATCAGGTTGAACAAGATAGATCAGATGCAAATAATTCATGAGAAGATATAGATATGAGCTTCGGTATCTGCCAGGGCCCAGCGATTGCACTGCACAGCTAGACGGCAGACAAATTATGTCGTTCCTGGACGGTTCAGGGCCTATGAGAAACATGGAGTCTCAGTGTACTTCACGTTGTCTTTGTCTCTGCTCCTTACACAAGTGGGCAGTCTAAAGGGTGTACGCTGCCGCACTGGTCACACAGGTTGTTCGGTACCGAGCGGAATAGTCACTTCCTTGTCATATTTTATGACCATGGGCGGCCATAGTGCCTTCTGAGCTATCCTATTCCCTCAGCAGAGGAGCACGATAGGTTGACGACAGTACCCGATATGGGCAGATCCTGTACGTCGTGATTTTGTCTTTGCGTATAACAACCTCTCTACTTATTTTTATCGAACCTCTTGTTCTGTTGCAGGAAACAACCTGTGCCTTGTCTTAGTCAACAATGAAGCACTTTCAATTAAGATTCCACTGATTCGCCGCAAAATGCTCCGCCCATGATTCCATAGTTCCCTATGAAACCAGGGCTCGCCCAATTTCCTTGGAAAATTTCACCTACGGACATTTTCAAATTTACCAATCGCACCCCATGTGGCCCACAGGATGTCTGATGAAGGTCATCTGATTGCTCCAAAGACGACCCTATCAGCACAGAGAAGGAGAATCTACTTCTAAAAATTCGTATACTATGGCTTTGTGGGTCCTCATGGATGCCTCATGTTGCCACTGCTGACTCGGATACCTCGAATACATGATAGTCTCACCATTTCAGCAATCTATATAAACCCATCAGGGTCGCATTCTCCCCTCCCTCCAGCTGTCAGGTACTACGATGGCGCAGCCAGCACACTCCACCCACGAGACGTATAACAGTGAGGACGCGGATGTCGTCATTCGCAGCGCCGACGGCATCATCTTCCGCCTACACAAAACGATACTCAAGCTCACATCCCCCATATTCAAGGACACATTCTCGATCCCCTGTCCCAGCGCAGCCGATGATGGCGAGGAACGCATAGACGACCTCCCTGTGGTGCCCATCACCGAGAGCAGTGTAACATTCCAAGCCCTCCTACGCTTCGTATACCCTGGCGTCCGCCAGTTCGACTCACTCCCTACGGAATATCTGACTCCCCTGATCAAGGCAGCGCGCAAGTACGAGATGCTCGATGTGGCAGAGCATCTTGAAGGCATCCTGACAGCGTCCATCCGATCGACACCACTACATGCGTTTGCCATCGCCTGCCATCTTGATCTCCCCGAGATCGCTCGTGCCGCTGCTAGACAGTGTGTCCATGGCAAGCTCTGGCCGCCATCACCTAGTGTGCCCAAAGAGCTACAGCTCCTGCCTGCATCCACGCTGTATCGCCTTCTGTATTACTACGAGCAGTGTTGTTACACAGCAGTCACCATCGCTACCGACACCGCGGGCACGCTGATTGCCATTCCACCGCCGGAGGGTACTACGACCCAGGTTGAAGCTTGGGGCGAGGTCATCACGAAACCCAGAGTTTGGGCTTGGATAGAATGCAACAACTGCAGTCGGGACGGAGCTGTTCCTCGTGAGAAGCCGAGGAAAAGCAAGAGCGTTCGTCAGCCTCAGAGCACTCAGAGCACGACCCTGTGGTGGGCAGAATATATGGAGCGGGCCGTGGACGTATTAGCCATCACTCCTTCCGGCTCCGTGGTACAGACAAGCGAGATCTTGGGTCCTGCATTCCAGTCAGCGGGTGGTTGCAAGATTTGCGGCCCCAGAGTCTACGAGGACTTGTCTGACTTCAGTCGGCGATTGGGCGTGATGATTGACCAGGCAATCGACAAAGTGCGTTATACATACCTCCCGCCTTGCTCATTGCGGCTGACTCTATGCTTCCTGCAGATTGAGTTCCGTCTGGATGACATCATGTAAACTGTATTCGTCATCGTGTCGCAACCTCCGACGTGTGCATTCTTGCAGCTCTTCATATGTTCTTGGTTTCATGATCCTGTACCGAAACCCAGATCATGCTTCGAGTGTCAGCTTGTCTATTGAGAACACAGATTATCGTCTCAACGACAGATATCGCACTTGTGCTCTGGCTCCTTGCGTCATAGCGCTCAACACACCAACTGAATCATGTCAATAGGAATATGCAAGCAAACCAATAATTACATCCTGACGAGAGATTCCGTCCATCAAGTACCGACGACCGAAGAATGCTTACATTGGTTCGGCCTTGCTCCTACGCAACTCCCGCTCCACTTCATCGCCCTCAGCAGCGTATGCGCGAACTTGCTGCGTAGCCGGTTGAGAGAAGTGCTCGCGCAGACGATGTTCGACTTGGCGATACATCTGTTGTAAGCATGATCAGCGCGGGATGCTCAGCATGATCGTCGCTGTGCTACGCACCTCGTTACCCAGAGTTCTTGTAACCTGGAACAGGGGTCCGACCATCCCTAACTGTATGGTAAGATACCTTAGAGAGTAAATCAGTGTGAGCACTGTCAATCAAGGAGGCGCAACATACGCAGCAGCAAGCATAAAGAGGAGCATTGTGAAGTACAGCGGGTTGAAGAGCACGACCATCGCCTCGTTCCACCCAAGCACGACGAGTACCATATATATCCAGTAAGGTATTTGCGCCACGCTGGACACCGTGCTACGCTTCGCCTCGACGTAGTACGCGTCCGCATCGCGCCGGAAGCGTGACATAAGGTCGAGGATCTTCGTCTCCGTGAAAATAATTAGCGTGGACGGGAAATCAAACTCGTCCGATCCTGTCAGGGAGTCTGACGTCTCTGACGGGAGGGTATACTCAAGAGAGGGATCGAGAGGCTGGATTCTGGAGTAAACAGGGATGAGTTCGAGAGTCTGCGAAACGAGATCAGCCAGAACCTATAGGCAGTCCAAGACAACACACCTGGTCCCTCGCTTTCTTGAACGCCCCATCAATGTCATCTGCTGGCCGCCACACCCGAGGGACACCATGCTCGTCGTACCGGAAGCGCTCCTCGAAATGCGCACGGAGCTTGGTTAAGAAGGCCACATCAGTGGTCTGTTCGTCGACCTTCCCACGAAGAGTCAGCCAAGCTCGCTTCTTGAGCGTAGCAAGGGAAGTTGCGTTCTCCTCATCAGTGCAGTCAAAGCCTGAATTGGGTAGCCACGAATCAACGACCATGACTATATCACGGAGGACAAGTGCGCACTCTTCGCCTTGGCCAGATATGACGACTCGGCCTTCTCCAGGGTTTGGCGGAACACAGTCAGAACCCTGTCCCACATGTCGGGCTCAGGCTTGCTCAGTGCGATCTCAAGAGGTTCCGAAATCTGCTTCTTGAAGTTCCGCTGAAAATGAAAGGATTCACTCAGGCGAGCAACATGCAGCATTCGCGCCAATACATACCTCAATAACGTTGACCATCTTCTTGGTCTCATCCCGTCTACACTGGTCTGCGAGGCTTCGCACCTCCTCCTTGAGCAGGTTCAGCTCATCGTCGTAGCTCCAGTCTGTGTCTTCCACCAGCGCCTCCTGGGCGCCTTGGAGGAATCGCGTCTTGCACCGGTCCCGCGCTGTGGCGACGATGTCCGCGAAGTTGTACCCATCACCGCGCATGCCGTCCAGCATCTCGCTCTTGAACGCGACGAGAGACGACTTGTGCAGGTTCTTCAATTGTCCAAGGAAAAGGGGGGACAACGTCGAGTCGAGCACTGCGACAAGGTCTGCACGTTTCCGCTTGTACACACCTTGGTGATAACGCGACGCGTCGCGGTCATAGCGGACTGAGGATCAACGTGCATCAGCTATGGTACGCGGGGCAATATCAGCACAAGCAATACCTAGAGCGCCTGATCGCCAGCTGCGCATCATGCTCCCGAGCCCTTCGATGACCTTGCCGGACTCAATAGGTCGTCGCTGAGGTTTTGCCTGTTCGTTGAACTCCGTCACGGCCACCGTCGAGATCTCATCGCAGCGGAACTGGGCCAGCAGTTCTTGTTGTGTCGGAAGGTCCAGGTCCTTGTTCGTTTGAACTTGCTCCTGCATAGAATGTGAACAAATAAAGCTCATACATCATGAGCAACTGGACAAACCCAGACGCCCTCCATGTAGAACGCAACACCGTCCGCGGGAATCCGCTTGTGGTAGGCGGGTTTGAACACGTAGTCTTCCCGCGACTTGTCCGCGAATCGCTTGCGGAGCTCTTGCACCTCGGATTCGAACTTGTCCGCGGCGAGCACCTTGTGCGGCAGTGCCGCAAACGACAGGTCGAAGTAGTCCGATAGCTTGCGGTCCTGCAGCTCTGACGGCTTCGACAGTGTCTCCCAGATCTTCTGCATGTCTGCGGTGAGTGTCGCTTTGAGGTTCTCGAGGGGTGTCGTGCCAATGTGGTCACGGATAACGAAGAGCAACATTGTGCGCTGGTTGCGGCTAGCACCATGGTGAGCGGACATCAATCTCATCGACACTTGACATACCCGTCGGCAGTCTTCTTGCCGAATAGACCGAGGTTAACCTCGAATACAGTTTTCAAGAGGCCCATGTTCGCCCCCTGGTACAGACCAACTTGATGCTCCCAGAGGTTCACAATGAGGACTTCCGATGACGCGAGAGAGAAGAGAGCGGATTTGCGTTCAAAGTCCTACGAGTAGTTTGATTCCCGAGACGTGTAGCATTCCCACAGCAACATACCTGGTCCTCTCCGCGTTCTCGACCGTCAGTGCCCTCTACGTCCATAACCATGACGTTCATGCCCTTTCCTCGGCACATCCAAATGCCTAGAGGGCGTTAGCCGAGAACGCTCTCACGCGTGGACATTGGCGCACCCTTCGTTGTTTGCTGCCGTCTCGTCTCGTCCATGACGTCGAAGTTGGTGCCGAATAGTCGATTAAGCAATGTACCTGTTTGGACTGCCTTCAGCATACAAGATCAAGACAATATGAGACTCAATGCTTACTTTTTCCCGTCGACTGCGACCCGAAGACGGCAACCATGTCATAGTCGAACCCGGCATTGTGCAGGCCCCATTGCTCAATTTGAGGTGTCAAGTCGGGTCTTGGAGACGTGACCTGTCAGATTTTCACAGAGCCAACGTGTACGCGGAACTCACGTAAATCTCTTCTCGTCGTCCACGATCTGGACGCGTTCGTAGCTCACTGCTTTGCCCGCCGCGTCTCCATTGTGATGGTGTCCGTTCATCGTGTCCCCGTGTGGACGAAGTCAAAAGTGGTTGGTGTGATAGTTCCGAATGCAATATCTTATACAAGGGCGTGAAAGAGGGTCGTGGTCGGCGAGAAAGGTGAGGCAATGGTGCGTCTGGCGGGAGGAGAACTTGCTGAACAGCACGTAACCGACTGCCTCCTGCCATTTGAGGGAGCGGCAACGCCCGAGAAGGCACACCGCAATTGCATGCCATCATGCACACCTGACCTCCAGATCCCAAGTTTCCCTGTCAAAGCTGCCTCTAATCTCGCGATGCCGAACTTGCTTCGGTTGCTTTTGACTTCCACCTCGTCAGTGGAAGCGCCGCGACATACTAGCAGCACCTTCACATTCGCGCGAATATCTGACTAGCGAAGGCTCACTTGGGATATTCTGGTGTCCAGCGGTGTCTGATATTGTCTGCTCACGTTGGAAGTTATGGATACCCACTTTGCTCACTCGAGGCTCTTGTGGCGGCCGGCCAATCCGGCGCGAACGTCTCTGGACGCGTTCCGGCGCATGGTGAACAGGAAACACGGTCTGAACCTTAGTATGTCTGTGTTTGCTCATGACATTAAGCCGACTTGTAAAGACCACCTGTGCCACGCAATGTAGGGGACTATCATGACTTGCACAGATATTCGGTAGAAGACTATGAGTTCTGGCTAGACGTTTGGGAGTTTGTAGGCATCCTGCACTCCGTGCCTCCTACCAAGGTGACGTCCTTTCCATTATCTCCGCGCCATGTGCCCGCTAATTGATCGTCCTGAAGATCTTAGAAGACGGCCGTATGAAAGAGCTGCCCACATGGTTCCCTGGCGCGCGGCTGAACTACGCGGAGAACCTGTTGTATCGAAATGACGACGGCATTGCGTGCACCGCCGCTAGAGAGACAGGAGCTATCTCACATTATACGTTCCGGCAGCTCCGTGAGCTGGTCAGAATCACGGTTGCCGCGCTCAGGATGAACGGTGTGGGCAAGGGAGATAGAGTTGCCGGTAACACTCGCCCGTCTGAATGTTCATTGCCATTCATTGACCTCCGAGGTAGCCATTGTCACGAACCACATTGATGCCGTAGTGTTGGCTCTGGCCTCCGCAAGTATCGGTGCCATCTTCTCTAGCACTGCTACCGACATGGGCACCCAGGTCGGCCTGCTCTGTGCTTTCCACGCAGTCGATCTGGCTCACATAGGCAACGTGCTGTACAGGGCATCCTCGATAGATACCAGCAGATTCAGCCCAAGATCGTCTTCTCAGAAACGGAGGTTACTTGGCTGGGAAAGACGATAGATCTCATACCGAAAGTCGCAGAGGTGGCCAACGGACTGGCTTCATACGGGCTGCAGCGCGTTGTCCTATTGCCTAGTGCGAAGACCGGCACGGAGCTTTCTCCTTCTACGGCTGCAGGTGTTCCCAAGAGGTATGATCTCCTGCTGTTGTTAAGGCGCAGAGATGCACTGACTTGCGTCCTTGGTCAGTATCTCTCTGTCCGCATTTCTATCCTCCGGAGACAACCGTGAACTCCAATTTGAGCAGCTCCCATTCAACCACCCGCTGTACATTCTGTACTCCTCAGGTACCACCGGCCCTCCCAAATGCATCATTCACACAGCAGGTGTACGTTGAATGTATAGCTCCCTACTTCTTTGCATTCATACCCCTCTTCCAGGGCGTCCTCCTGCAGGCAAAGAAAGACATGCGCCTTTCAATGAGCATGAGCAGCGATGATACATACTTCCAATACACCACAGTATGTCCCCAACTAATCCAGTCGCCGACACGCGATTGACTTACTTGATAGACGGGCTGGATGATGTGGCCGTACATGCTACAAGGCCTAGCCTGCGGTGCTCGCATCATAGCGTATGATGGCTCGCCGTTCTACCCCAACGTCCACCACTTCTTGAAGTTCTTGTCAGCAGAAGGGTGCGTCATCCATGTTCACATATCGGTGTACGCCTCGGAGATGACGATCCTGCGCAAGGGTTACGATATTCGGCACGAGCGCGCGTTTCCTTAGCGAGGTGCAGGGACAAGGCGTTGAGCCGTGTATGTGATATGCTTGCTCGTGTCAGGTGCAGCGTCTCACAAGGCCACCAGCTAAGGTCGCGTCGTTCGACGCCTTACGTGCGATCTCTTCGACCGGCTCTGTGTTGACACCACCCATGTTCGAGTGGACCCAGACAGCATTTACCCCGGACCTCCAGATCCTGTCAGTTTCTGGAGGAACGGATATCTGCGGTGCATGTGAGCGACAGCATCCATTCACCAATGATACGTACTAAAGACACCCAGTCGTTGGTGGCATTTCTACACTGCCTGTATATGCGGGAGGTCGGTATAGGGTCTGCTTCATGCGTCAGACTAGATTGATGTCCACATACGTTCGCTTTCAGAGATTCAAGGGAAACTTCTGGGAATGAAAGTCGAGATCTTCGATCCGGACGGGAAGAACGTCGAGGACACGGGCATGCCCGGCGAGCTGGTGTGCACCCGCCCGCATCCTTCCCTCCCGCTCGGTTTCTGGGGCGATGATTCAGGAGAGAAAGTGCGGAAAGCGTACTTCGATCGATACCCTGGTATACCGAACCAGCCCTTCGCGTTGTGCCAGCACTCACTGAGCTGCGTGCAGGTGTATGGCATCACGCCGACTTCATCGTCAAAAATCCGGAGACACAGGGTTTGATGATCCTGGGACGCAGGTATGCCGGTTTTATGTTCACGTCGTGACATACTAATGTTTTGGCAGCGACGGCGTGCTCAATCCGAGTGGCGTGCGCTTCGGCTCCGCCGAGATCTATTCCGTGCTGGAGGGCTTCTCGGACGCCATTGACGACTCATTGTGCATCGGGCAGCGCCGCCCGCAGGACCGCGACGAGCGTGTCCTCCTGTTCCTCAAGATGCGTCCCGGACATGCCTTCACCAATGACCTCACGGACCAGATCAGGTCCTCGATTCGCAAGGCCTTGAGCCCTCGACATGTCCCTGCCTACATATTCTCCGTCGAAGACATACCGGTGAGTCTCCTACCACTCAGCAGTCGTGAATGCGTCTTGATACATGGCTGTCTCGTCCCGTAGTATACGGTCAACGGCAAGAAAATAGAGATCGCGGTCAAGCAGATTGTATCTGGCTCCAATCTCAAACCCAGCGGTACTGTCGCCAATCCGGAGTCCCTCACGCATTATTACAAGTTCAGGGAGCTCGAGAAGCTTGTTGGGAGCAGGGCAAAACTTTGATACTTGCTCCAAGTCATCTTCAAAATGCATAGACCAATAAAAAATGACGGAGACGATCTACCTTCACCGGAGATGCTACATAAGCTAGTTTTCTGGCAAGTGTCAGGAACACATTTAAGTTGGGAAGGAAAATAATTGTTGACACCATTGTCTCGGCTACCTGGAGAAGTCAGCCGCTCGCACATACCTTGCTCAATCTTTTCGCAAAATCTGCTGATAAGGTCTACGAGATATCCTTTGTGTGAACTACTCAGTGCCACCATATACTAGATATGGATTTATTGTCACCCATGTCCATAAGTGACCAGCAATGCAGACCGTAGTGTTACAGACATGAGCTCGAAATACCTGTGCCTTCTATAGGCGGGTAGCTAGGTGGCTGAGATCATGACCAAATATAGTATCGACTGTCTCGCAGTCACCGCGTTGCGTGGTTCAGAGACACTATGCGGAGTGCAAAAGATGGAGGAATCAAAAGATCGCCCGCACCAATCCCCTTATGAGTCGGCCCAGGTTCGAACTGAGGACCTTCTGTGTGTTAGACAGATGCGATAACCAACTACGCCACCGACCCAATGAAGCGGACGGTAAAGTCAACTGAGTCATAGATAACTACAAGCAAATCCGTCATCATCCTGCACCGACCTCTTATCGGTCTTGCTTCCGTATCCAAAGACTACTTACTCGCCATCGTACAAGAGTGCTCCAGGACCTCATGTACGACTGATGCACTACTTGATTCACCTCTGGTATCAGCAGGGTTATCATGATCCGCGTGGTCTCCGCAAACCCTCTGGCAGTCAGTGCGGGTGCCATTGACACGGCGCGTATTCGTGCGCTTCGCCTTCGAGGAACTACGATCCGCGCGAGCAGCGATTGGCACCAGAATCACGGCGTATCGAGCTTCGACGACAAACCACGAGATAGTCAATTACCACAACAAATAGACCTCCTTGAGCGATATCGGGGACTCATTTCATCGGGTAAGATCCGTTATGACGAAGAACAGATCAGAGTAATCATGCAGGTATGTTGAGTAGCAATTTATGGAAAATGCGTCGCTCACTCATGGTTCCCGCATCGAAGCTTAGAAGATTACAAAGGGAACTCGGTGGTTACGCCCCTCCAGCTTTGTCAACTCAATATTTTGATCCTAGAGAATCCAAAGGCAATGACGGCTGCAAACCATGGTGGTTGCACGAATCAAATCCGGAACATTCCGCCGCTGAGGATCATCGAGCCCTTGTACGCATCCGGACACATGCCGAGGAAATAGCAGACCTGACTACGCCAAAGGCAAGCCTGCGTTGCGCCGGTCGAGCGTGCCTAACACCGGCTTAGGGTCTTCTGTTAACTGGTCCGCCTGGCTCTGGCAAAAGCTTTCTCATAGACTTGTGGTACTCTGCCATACCGACACCTTTCAAGGCTCGTAAACATTACAATGAGCTCGTACTAGAGATATACCGTGCAGTCTGGGAGGAAACTCGGCACCGCATGGCAGCGACACATTCCACAAGGTCTGTTGCGTCTGACTCGCCGTCCCTCTCTTGGAACAAGTCCATTCTGGAGCGCTGGCGAGCACTGTTACGCTCCGGGTCTTTGCCATTGAGATGGACACGCCAAGCAAATAGCCGTATCTCTTTTGGCGGGACAGTACAACCGACGATAGCATTTGCGGTCGCACAGCGGCTCATTCTTCGGCACTGGCTTCTTGTCTTCGACGAGGTACAGCTCCTAGACGTGTCCAGTGCTACGCTTCTTGCAGATGTGCTCTCCTGGTTCTGGCGCATGGGCGGCGTGATTGTGGGCAGCTCCAACAAGGTCCCCGACGACCTCTACAAGAATGGCGTTCAAAGAGAACGGCTAGAACCCTTCGTTGAAGCACTGAAGGCGAGATGCCCTGTATACATTATGCGAAGCGAGCATGATTGGCGCGCCACTCGAGCGACGATGACCAAAGTCAAGACATGGTACGTGAATGGGCAGGAGAGAGAGTTCGACACGAAGGTGCGAGCTTTCGCCGATGTCGAATGCTGTGCGTGATATTCGTCATCTTGCGAATGATCCGCTAACTTGGTCCGGTTCTCAGCGCCGCGGTCAATGCAAGTCATAGTATTCGGTCGCTCGCTTCGTGTTCCTTGGGCAATCGGCTCTGTTTGTAAATTTTCTTTTGCGGAACTCTGCGACGAGGTAACTAGTGCAGGTTCCCGTAATGTGGATGATGACTCACTTGTCGATCCAGTCATTAGGGCCAGCGGACTACATCACTTTGGCATCGACGTTCCGCACTGTAGCCATTACTTCTATTCCCATTCTGAGGATGTCAGCCAAGAATCAGGCACGGCGGTTCATTTCGCTTATCGATGCATTGTACGAGGCACGCTGCAGGATTGTATGTCTTGCGGAAGCAAAACCAGAACAACTCTTCTTTCCAGACGCGCCGTCTGCGACGGAGGAAGAGGCATATCATGAACAACAATCATCGGATGTCATGATGGCGGAGGCAGTAGCGGAGACCCAAGACGTCTATCGCCCAAACGTCTCGTCGTATGACGCGCCCAATATGGCAGAAGCACCCAAGGCGCCCTCATCTCCGCTCGCGCTCGACAAGCTATCTATCTTCTCCGGTGAGCATATACCTATTCAGTCCGGGCGTGAGGCTAATAAGCGTCTAGGCAAGGATGAACAGTTCGCGTTCAAGCGGGCCCTATCTCGTCTCCTCGAGATGACAAGCGACAGCTATACCGAGCAGGAACAATGGGCCCCTCTTCCCCCGAGCTCGCGCAAATGGGAAGCTCCTTCCCCGCAATCGCAGGCCGACCAACGTCCCGATCAGCGTCCCTTACAATGGGCGCCTTCGCTCCGTCCCGCTGACCTGGACACTGCCGACTCCGTGCACGGAGCAACCCGCGAGAGTTCTGCCTCGGCGGACTCGGAGGGTCGCCCTGAGGCGCCGAGGCTGAGCCCGGCTCACGTGTGGGGGGTCAGGGAAGATTGGGGAGACAGGGCAAAGGATTGGGGCCGCGGGGCCAGCGCATATGAGAACCCGTCGTCCACCCCCGCACGCGGCGGCCACAGACGGGAGTGAGCTCAATAATCCAGCGGCGGCGTGTCCAAGATCCGTCGGTTGATCCCCGGTGGTTAGGCTTTTGCCCTGCGTCATGGGTTGTCAAGGTTTGCCTTCGCATGATGCTGCGGGCTCCGGGAGGCGGGAGAAGAGCGGCCGCTGGCCTGTCATGTACATGTCCGTGTCCCTGTGTCGACGGATGGGTGCGAAAGGGGTACGTACGGGGAAAGCCACATGTATGAGTCCGAGTCGGCGCCACGAATTCTATATCTCCCCGCTGCTGCCTTCTCCTGTGTCACCGGATACAGTGGGTGGTTCATCTTTTTTCTCACCTGCCATTTCTGGCGGGCGTGAGGCAATACCCCGCGTCAGCAGACGATGCGCGCTCAGACCCCCGCGAAGCGCCAGCCCGCCAGTCGTTTACAGCTCCGTTCCGGGCAAAGACTCTATTTATTTGTGTCGGCATGCACTGCTTTTGGGACAATCTAGGAAGCGACGGGGGATATGCAGAGAGAATTACGAGAATGAACACGGAACACAAAAGGGGAATAAATAACCGACAGGCAAGAACATGACCAACAGCGCCGCGTACAGGATCAGGGCAACGCGGGGAACCATCTATCCAGCGAAGCGCAACACGTCAAGGAAGAAAGCCAGGTAAAATTTGTTGGAGATACGTGTTACCATACCGGGTGATTGCAGTTGCATTGCTAGCAGAAGAACACACAAAGGAAAGGAAAACAAGAAATAAAAAGAGGGTCGTAGCAGGAATATGCGGGTCGAGGTATACACAGCAGCGGGGGAGCCAGGAATGTTCAGGCACATACGATACAGAGTGGGCATGGCGGCCAGGAAGCGGCGAGGCGCGGAGCAATAGGATGTAAGTTACGGCAGACTTGGCAAATACGGGGTGACTCGGCGCAGACGGATTGTTGGTGGATGCAGCATTTGGAAAACGGGACATGAGCGTGGCTGACGTTCCCGCGGCGGTCAGCAGGCGCAGCGCAGCGCAGGGGGTCAGGGCACGACGGGCGACGATGCGATGCGCTGGGTTCGCCGATGCGGCGCGAGCGGGATAGCGGCGACAGATGATACACGGAATATATATGCTGTACGTATGTATATCGTCCGGTGCGGGCACCGCGTGGTACATGGCGAGGCGAGCGCCGACATTAGTATGTAATGAGGATTGCGATTGTCTGCGGCACGCCGGCGTGGGAGGAGGGAGGAAATGAAGTGAGGTGCGGTACGATGCAGCGGGTGAAAGGGCGGAGTGTCCGGGCAAGCCACGGTATCGATGCTGCCGCACGCGCCTGATGAGCGAAGATGCGTACACGATCGATGTCGATGTCGAGTCAGTACCAGAGCAGAGGACGGGAAGCACAAGTGCCAAGACCATGGAGCGGGAGAGACGGTTGGAAACAGACGGGAAGACGCATGGATGCAATGTGGAGGGGGATAATGTACGGGTTATTACAGCTAAAGCCGGTATATTGTGTGATGGTGCATGAGGTCGTCAGGTAAAGATTATGCGCTCTTCCGTCCGTTGATGGTCAGCCGCACCATACCGCGCTGCTCGACAGTATCGCGATGTCTTCTGCGGTGGTATGCTGTGCTATCATCGCCTGCAAAACATAGATATTCCATTTGATGTTTGATATGTTGACGTCGGCGATACCTGTCGGCACACTTCCTGTGTGGGTGACGGAAATACGAGATGTTGCGAAAACAGTGGTGTTGGGCTAGGACAGACGACGACGGACGGAGGGGCGCACTGGGCGCACTCGCATGCCCTAGTCGCGGATGCCCCAGAGTGAAGCCGGCGTGCCTCGACGAGGCACAATCACTCTGAGGAATTCGCCGTCGAATTCCGCGCGCACTTGTGCCAAGTCAGCGTCATACCCGAACGATATACGTCGTTCGAAATGACCTGCACGAGGCGCAACGGAAAAACAAAGAGCAAAAAATGAGATGACAAAGATCAAAGGAAAATGTACTAAGGACGCACCACCGTTCGGTTCCCATGAATCTGCAACAACGTGCAATATCCGTCTTTTTCGGGTTGAAAGCGTTCTTGATGATTCAGAGTCAGTCACGGCGGATCAAAGAGACGATCGATAATACGCACATTGCGTCTCTCCTGAACCCTGGCAGTCTCACAAGCAGCCGATACTCCCTCGGGTTTGTCTCGACGGCGATGTAGCTATCGTGAGGTGCAGGGTCGTGAGCCAAGAATGGCTCGTGCGGTGCCCGGTCCCGTGTCTCCTCGCTGAGGGGCGGCGGGGGTGGCGTGAGCACGACTGGCGGCGCCGGAGGGGGCAAGGGCCCGAGCTCCGGTGACGGTACGGCGTGCGGTAGCGGATACATCATCGAGGGATACGCGCGCTCGAGAATCCGGGCCATCGGCGGCGACACGGAGCGGTCGTCAGGCCAATCTGAATCATGCTCCGCCGCCGACGATCGATATCGCGACGGACCGGCAAAATATGACAGCGACGGCGCCTGCTGCTGCGGCAACGACGCGCGGCCAACCGGATCCCGGTCCTCCATGATCGCGCCATTCGATGGGGCCACAGATGGGAGCGTGTGGAAAGGCGTGTGGAAGGGCAGTGGCAGGCTGGCAGTCGAACTCCGGTCAGGCATTGGGGCGGCGCGCACGGGCGTTGGTGAATGTATTCGTGCAGGTGGCTGCCGCGAGCCGTAGGTGTCCGGTGACGAGTACGGGCGGGAGAAAGGGTGCACGGGTGATGCCGGCACTTTAGTACCCGCCAGCTGGTGCTGCGAGGTCGATGCCATGAGACCGGCGTCAATGTGGTAGTGAGCGGTGCTCGTCGAGGCGACCGCGGAGGAGCTGGCGGCCGCGCTGCTACCCGTGTCCATCGGGGTGTCGACGCGGGATAATGTCGGGCCTGTCGGAGGTGATGACTGCGATGACGCGGTGGGAAGGCTATCGCTGGATGACGCGGACGAGCCTGCGGATCCCGCGTGATCGCCGCCTGCGGGTCCGGGCGAGCGCTCAAAGTCGTACGCGCCGAAGACGCTGTGGGCGCCGTCGCCGTCGGGCATCACGTTGACCTGGGGGTGTGAGTGCGAGTGGGCGTGCGCATGAGCATGCGCGTGTGCACTGGCGGTGCTGGAGTAGGAGAGGTGGTGGGAGTGGGGCATGAACGGCAGGGGGACCTCGCGAGGGGAGTCGAATGAGGCGTGCCGCTTGGAGAAGGACGAGTTGCGGTGAGGAAGGGCGGGGCGGGAAGACGCAGAGGGGGCGGGCTGGGGTTGTGTGCGATGGCGGGGACCGGCTGCTGGAGACGGTCAGTGAGACATGCTCGTGGCGGGAGGAGGAGAGAAGGAGAGGAGAAAGAAAGGAAGGGGGAGAAGCGAGCTCGCGAGGCTGAGGTGAGCCGAAGCCGTCGAGCGGCCGTGGGTGCATGTGTGCGACAAACAAACGCAAAAACAAACGTGCAGGCGACGAGACGACCAACTTTCATCACGCGCCCGCGTGCTCGTTGGCGTCTCGCACCGGTCCTCCGGGGGCCTCCCGGCGCTGCACCTCCGGCCATCTCCTGCCAATCTGCACACCCCCGGCCTCCGTACCGTCTGATAAGCCCGGTAGAGCCAAAAAGCCAATCGCCCGTGGCCCTTCGCATCCATGAGCTCCCCACGCACGGCTTCCCTGCCTCGCACGCTCTGCGCACTCTGCTCGCTGCTGTTCGCTCTACTACTCTGCGGCCAACCGCGCAGCATGGAAGTAGTGCGGTCGCCGCGCTAGCCAGGCAAAACAATACGCGCGCCGGCGTCGTCTTCGCGACGGCTCACCCGCTCCGGCCTCGGCCATGGCCGGCCCCACATGAGACGTCGGGAGGCACCGAACTAGGTGATCGCGCCCTCGCCATTTTTCTTGGCGCAGCTGCACTGCCGCTCCGTCCGACCCGCATATACTCGGGAGCGGGCTTGCACATGCTGCAGCCTGCCAAACGGCCATGGACAACTGACTATAGATGGACGGGACGATGCTTACCATGTTGCAGCTGCGTGCCAGCGTCCTTACCCTTGCCCTTCCCACCCTCGTGCTCCCGCATCCTGTTGTCAAACATCTCCATGTTGTAATATTCTCCCGGTTCTATTTGTTGCGGCTCAATGCCAACGCTCGGATTGCGTGGGGCGTGCGCCTTGACGTGTGCGATCTGGGGGTGATGGCTCCAAAAGTCCTTCTGCTCCTGCAGAGTGAGCTGCTCGAAGGGAATGGTCAAGCCCGCGGCCGGGTCGGACGTTGAAGTGCGCAGCAACGGTCGTGACGATGCCGGGCTAGTGTTCAGTCCGGAGGAGAATGCCTGCGACGACGAGGATGGGGAAGAATCGTCCTGTGAGGACAGTGATGGTGGGCTTTGTAAAGGCATGAGTGTAGTGGTGACCAGAGAGCGCTGTAGACATCGAATGTGGGGCAGTCCGGACTCCGCTAGCGTCTGTTGGCGCACTATGTAATATTCCCTCCGCGCCCCCCGCCGGCAGTCACATGATCTCTGCTCCCGGCTCGCCGCCCGCCCCCTCCCATTTCGGGAAATCAGCGGTGCCACCGGGGCTTCTGCGCCACAATGACGTCAGCCGCAGCCAATGGCCACGCAGCGCTTGCCAAGGCGTCTGGCTGTGCGATCTGAGATGTGTGGTTCGCTTCCCAAGAGCTGCTGCTCCTCGACATGTGTCTTGCACACCGCCATAGCCGAACGCGCTCACTCGAGCCCCGGCGCGGCCACCCCATTCCCTGCACACGCGTCCCCTTCGTTTTCCGTCCGCCGTTTCATTTTATTTTATTGTAGACGCAGCCACCATCGGCGAAATGTTACACGCAATACGATTAGGACACTCGGCGCACGCCGCAGTGACGACTGACTGCAATGTACTGATGCCGATACCGGCGGAGACGGCATCGGTACAAGTACGACAAGGGGCCCCACATGCGACTGCAACCGTCTCCACACCCTCAAGAGGCCACGCCACCATGGGCATGCCCTGTCAGCACGTTGACGTTGATATAAAATACCACTAGCTTATCGAGGGGGCGTTGCTACACTAACGGTCCTTGACAGTCATTGCACCTGCTCTATATGGGTCCTAGGGCTTGGCTCTGCGAAATGACCTCATAGCCCGAACACCGTGAGTGATCGGAGCCAGAGGAACACCAGAATTCCTGTTCCGCGGAGCATGCGCACTTGGAGGATAGCGAGTAGGCGTATACTACAATGACCCACGCATCCCGTGGGCTGCCAGACGCGGGTCATGGCACTGACTATCTTGGAATGAAGCGCGCGTGGACACAGCGTCGGTGGCACGAAGCGATGCACACGGTGGCCCCAGCGGCTCTATCGGACAGGAGCTCGCAGCTCATCGTGACAGCCCCAGGAACGCCGTGCGACGCTTGAGTTCCGAGGCCATGACGCGGTGGCACGGCCTTACGCAACCGTGTACCCGTGGGCAGGGCGACAGCATCAGGGTGAGGTGAGCAGGATGCTCGGTTCTGCAGCGAACGATGGGCGAACAACCGGGGCGCAGGGCGTTGATCCCGGCATGCAAAGGGGCGGCGGGAGAAGACGCAAGGTGAGCGTGAGCAAGGCGGACTAACGATGGATGCCTGATATAAGATGTCGTGATTAAGAACTGGGGTGCCGTTGCGAGTGGTTCGGTGCAAGTATGCGTCGGCGGCTCGGCACGTCATGCGAACCCGGGTTGCTGTGTTAAAACGCGTTCCGTGTGTGAGCGTCTGCATCTCGCTGTGTGCGCGTGCCCTACCGGAGGACATGACGGCGCACGAAGCTGATCATTGTCAGACAGAGCTCTGGAAAATGAAGATGTCACAATCCACAGGCATGCATCGACGCCCTGAAGCACTCCGATCACGATGTGGGGTCTCCATCGTCTCACCCGAGCGAAAATCTTACGCAGACATCGATCCTTTACCGAAGTACGAAGAGCAGTCCGATCTCGATTGCAACGGCTCCGGACGATCATGGATGAAGCGTTTCCTGTCGCATCCCTCAAAGTTGTGGGACGTTGCAATGCTTGTCAGATGAGACTCTACGGGCCCTGCGGAGGTTTGTTGAATCGATGTCTACTCTACACTTAGCTAATTTCAGTGCGTGGTTTATACCCTTGCAGTGTTAAAGGGATGTCCTAAGGCTCATACACCTAGCAGAGTCATCTGCTAGACTGTAGGTGCGTCTTAATTGTCATAATCGCATTCTTCCTAAGTTGCGCGCGAGTGTTAGCTTTCTGACTTATCTCCACCATCACAATCGTATTGAAAGATGTGCGCAAGAGCTGTTGTTGCGGCAATGCAGGAACCGAGGCGCCTGTTGGCCTCAGAACGATCGCATCTCATCCGTGGAGCGAGTCCGAGAGACGCCTGGCGTCATGACAACCGAATCAACACTTGTCGTTAAATCTGTTGATACTAACTTAGCCTCTCATAATATGTAGGAGCAGCGACGCTCTAGCAAAGGCGGGTTTTAGAAGCCTGGACTGCACTTCGTCCAGGCGCATCGTGGGAAGTTTCTACAATGAAAACAGTTTGCATCAATGAATCAGAACCCTCGCTACAGCTGACTTCATATGCTGCGTGTATTTCATTATAGGTCTTAGAAATGGAGAGCGGGCTATGCATCATATCGGGGTCTCTTTCAAATAATGGTCACCGATGTGGACTCACTTGACACGGAGCAGCAACTGTAAAGTTCGGGCCCATCCGTCATCTCTTCAGTTACAAGCACTGCTCTATCCATGGCGGAGCAGTATCATTGGAGTTCACATCTCGGTATGTACAGGGAGCGTAGTACTAGAACCAAATTTCCCGTGTCGTGGAAGCCCAGTCTCTTGCCTCAGAACGAGCGTCTTACAATGTCCGGATATATTCATTCGCCAGAGCCGACGGTCCAGTCCTGGGTACAATTTAAGTATGTGTCATTAGCCAATCCACGTTATGCTTGCAAATAATCGATTAGAATCCGTAAGCATCTGGCAAAACTACGTATCCTTTGCAGCCTGCGGTGAGAGTCAGTGGGTGTTTATGCGGTGGCGAGGCGATAACCAGCTCTTCAGCACTTCAGGCCTACGAATTAGCATTGATGTCGGCAGAGGATATGCGCTTTGTGCGGGTTCGGAACAACTCGATCTCCGCATTACTGTATCTTCTCAATCGATTGGCGGCTGTCGCCTATGCTGTGAGTACAGGCAACGAAGTTCTTCCTGCTGTTACTACATTGGATGTATGTATCCCACATGCAATAATTCTCTGTGGTAGAATCTACAACTTATTTTGCAGACGTGAGGCAGTTCGTCATACCTGCAGTCTTTGTCTCATACCAGAGCCGTGCAGTTGTACAACAATCAACTATGCTATTGGGATCGCGTATGCTCTAAGCCTGGCCGTGACAGCATGTGAGTCATTCATTACCTGTCCCTTAGCCCAACACACCATACATTCTGAACAGTGGTATCTGTGATACGTGTCTATGCTGTGAGCCAGCGCAATTGGTGTTTGGTGAGTGTGGCCTCATTCCTGGGTCTTGTACCCATCAGTACAAACCTGGTGAGTGTTTTCAATACGGCACAGATATTCCTCACGCAGTGAACCCCCAGTATGCAACAATAACACCCAAGGTCACAGTTAATCCGCAACTCGGATGCGTAGCTGTTGTTGCTAGTGTAAGTAATCGCCTATGGGACTAGTAAGCACCCTTGTGTACCATGCCATTCACATCTTATTCAATGATCAATTTTCACAGCGGTGAGATAAGCTGGTAATGGCGATATCTTCGTATTGATTGCTCGTCTCTGTTAAGGTGCAATTCTCACTTCCGTTTGTATAATCATTCTGGATACCCTCGTTGTTGCTGCGACATGGTATTATACGAGGCTTTATGGACCCTTACAAGCAGAGCTGGGACACAGTATATGGACCTCCAGACCGAGCCTGAGGACAGTTATGTTCCGTGATGGTGAGTATTGTACATGCGTGTGTGTATGTGTGTGTGTGTGTGTTTCATGAAGATATCACAACTGATGTCATTCTAAATACAGGTACATCGTATTTCTGGCGAGTGGAATCTGCGGACTCTGCGGACTACATAACTGATTGTAGCTCCAGCACTATCACGTTGCTCAATTCTATCAACATCGTTGTATACACTCTTTTGGGCGATGTGCGTTCTCATCCGTAAAATGTCCCGCGATCGTATGTTAATATAGTACACAGTCCCAATATCTGCTCACATCACTCGTGGTCGTGTGCGTACTGTGGCATCCGACATAGGTCTCTGTGATCATTAACACTGTCTTCGCATTCTACAGTTTATCTTCAATTCTCATATCACGTTTTCTAATTCACATTCGGCAAGCTGCAGATCGTGCGGCGCGCGGTTTCAGTAGCCAGTCAAGTTTATCCTTCACAAACTCACAGCCCGATTCGAGTCTCTCGACGGCGGAATTTGCCGCTGACATGGCTCACAACACTGTACAGGACGACGACCCTGATTCAGCCTTTGATCTCGACGACGACAATAACGACATACAAGAGGAAAGGGATGAGGAAGATGGAATTGAGGATGAAGAGAGCGGAATAGAACTCCAAGAGCTCTCGCCAACAGCTAGGAGCTCGACGTGATCTCCTCTGCTTCCTTCGAGAGGTATGCACCACGAGACCGCGCAAGTCCGCCGGGCAAGATGGGAAACACTCGGTGCGGGCTGATTCTATCGAGACTAGAGCCAGCAAATGCAGAGGGATGAATTCTATGTAGCTACGAAAACACAGGCTTCCTGTGTATGAATTGGGGGAAAGTGGTGGTAAGGGTGTGTGTGTTCGAACCAACGAACCGAGGGGGACGCGTGAGCGTAACCCAGCGGTCTCTGAACAATGTGACAGTCCGCTGACTTGAAACAATTGAGTTCATACATCTGTCACTTTCCGAGACTGGTCAACATGTGCCATGGTAAGCCCGAGCTTACACTCCGTTATCTTCTGTTTTTCTTCCCCGTTTGGCTTCCTTTTCTCTCATATTTTTACTGTATCTCCCTTGGAAAGAGGCCGTACATATAATACCCATTCCCAGAGGGGCCGCCAGCAGTTTTCTGGTGGAAATGTGTTGCCATTTCCGAATGTCATATATTTTGGGACTTACTATTCTCAGCTGGAGTTGAGAGGTTCTCGACAATCTCAAAATACTGCATCTCAAGGCTTACTGCTCCACTCGGACCCAATCAGCATTAACAGACGGATCGATTCGTTCCTGAAAATATCCCGTCCTCAGTGAATTTGAGCATTGAATTGGGAGTGACTACGTGCGAAATACGGACTAGACCTTGTGGAAGCACGGGCGATTGTCATCGCACCAGAAGGTCGTGGACAGGAGATCAGAGTCCTGTAAGAGCCGTCATAGTGGCAAACCAACATTGCATCATGAACCAAGGGGAGCTATCAACCACAAATGTCATCCCACGCTCACATTATCGCCTTTCAAAGATTACAAACTCCCACGTGAATACCTTCTTCGGCTTCTAGCGCCGCCGCTCAACCTGAGATCATTGTTGCATCATCTGTCTCTACGATATACAGCAGCCGTGGGCGGAATCTGCTACATAAAGCCGTGTACTTCACTTCTTCCAGGTACATCCTAGGAAGTCTCTACAATGAAAATCGTTCTCATCGACGGATGATACTGCTGAGATACGTTTCAACGAGGGAACCGCCCGAGGGTCCTCGCCATATCCGACTTCTGTAGGCAAGTCCTGATGCATCATAGTTCAGGAAAATGTGAAACACTTTGAAAATCACTCCTATTCAGGTTTAAATTATCGACGCGGACTCGGGCATGTAGCGTAACTGCCGCGTCTATCTGCCACCTCTCACTGTCTGACCCATTTGAATACAATCGGACATGCGGTAATACCTCAGTAGGCACAAGGAGCTTAGTACTTAAGGCGAATCGTCCAGTGTCATGGAGGCTCGGTCGTCTGCCTCAGAGCGTCCTTTGATGTCCGGACAGTATCAACACATAAAGCCGGTTGTCCAATTATGGCTGGAATGGAAGTACGTGTAATAGCCATTTCACGCCGTTATGCAAGCAAGTGACGGTTAGAATGGACTAGCACCTTGGAGGAGTACATAGGCGTTGCAGCCCGTGGTAAGAGTTGGCTGGTGTTTATGCAGTGCTAGAGCGCTAATCAGCTCTTAGCACTCCTGGCGTACGAGATAGCATTGACGTTGGCAGAGGATGTGCAACTTCTATGCCGACGGACTCGGTCGCTCTCCACACTACTGCACGTCCTGAATCGATTGACGTCAGTCGCCAATATCATTGCTTATAGGGAGCCTTTGCCTCCAAACACTACGGTATATCGCATGCTATAGTCTCGCTTACTAGGATTAATAGGTTGCCTTACAGACGTGAGGTAGTCAATAGCGCCTTGAGGTCCCTGTCTCATTCCAAAGCTGTGTAGTTGTGCAGCGATCAACATTGCTAGCGGGATTACATATACAGTAAGCGTGGCCGTAACGGTCGGTGAGTCGTTCTGGTATACTTGTCACTTAGCCCAAATTTGATTCGTCATGCATTCTAAATAGTGGTCACTGTCTTACGTGTGTATGCTGTGAGCGGGCGCAACCGGTGCTTGATAATAATCGCCTCAATCGTGGGTCTTGTGCCCATCAGTGCAGGCATAGTGAGTGTTGTAAAAATGACATAGGCGTCACTTAAGCAGTGGGCACAAAGTGTACGGTGATATTATCCAAGACCGCGGTTGATCCACAACTCGGATGCTACGTCGTTGTCATTGGTATATCTAACAAAATGTGGAATTCGTGATAATCAATGTTCACCTTACTATTTACTCCCCCCCACAACTCATTCCCATAGCGGTAAGACAAGCTGGACATGATGATATCCCTATATTAAATCGCTGTCTCTATTCGAGGTGCAATTCTTACTTCTGTTTGCTTGATTATCTTGGATCTGCTCGTTGTTGCTGCAACATGGTATTATATAAGGCCTTCCGAATCCCTACGAGCAGGGCTGGGACACGGTATGTTGACCGTCGAGCCAGGCCTTAGGACAACTATGTTTCGTGACGGTGCGTGACGTGCGTGTGGGTGTTTCTCATGCCGCCGCTGATGTCATTCTCTCCCCAGGTACACTGTACTTTTGGTGAGCGGAATAATACTCTCTCCGTACCGAACCACTGAAACTGCTTCAGTATTATCACGCTGCTCAATTCCATGAACATTGTTACATATATTCTCCTGGATGATGTACGTCCTCATACTGCCAACGTCCCGCGATCGTTTGCTGATATACCCAGTCCGACTATCCGCTCACACCGCTCGTGGTCGTGTGCGTACTTCTGCGTCATGTATAAGTTTTTGCAGCCGCCAACAATATGTCCCCCCTTACGCAGCTTATCCTCAATCCTGATATCACGGTTTCTTATCCACATTCGTCAAGCTGCAGATGGCGCCGAACGCACGCTCAGTGGCCAGTCGACTATAGCCTTCAGAAACTCACAGCCCAACTCGACGCAGCGATGGAGTTTCTCGATGGCGGAACTGGCCGCTGACGTAGATCACAAGGGCGACGGTCCTAATTCCACCTCCCTTACCGACAGCGCCGCCGCCGATGACGACGACTTCTTGGAAGAAGTAAGGGATGAGGAAGATAGAATCAAGAATGAAGAAAGCGGAATCGAACTTTCAAGGGGTCTCGCTGACAGCGAGGAGATAGATGTGATCTCCGCTGTTCCGTTCAGACGGCACGCACCACAATAATGTTTCTCTTCTACCTTGCCCCCTCGTTGGCTTCCTTTGTCTGGAATCTGGATGCACATCAGTACTACGATTGTCCACAGAATGCCCAAAGACATTCCTACGTCCTATCTGTCATTTACAGCCCGCGCAATCATAGACGGGGTGCATCTCTCGTCATTCTTTTACGGCGCACTGTCGTTCCGGCCGTTTCACTGTATATACTCCTACCTGTTCTCACTGCTATAGATTAGCCTTGAGTGCTGGACTCACTCACCGTGGCTCGCCTATAAGTCAAAGTATGTTGACCTTATACTTCGTTCAATATCCCGAACACTCTTCGGGGTATTGACGATGATTGTAGTGCTTGAGGATAAGTTTGGTTTGAAGTCGAGTCGATGCGGGGAATTTGTTTGATTATTGGCTGCAACTCTGTGTTCGCAAGGGAAGGACCTCAACAATCAGGAGTTTGTACACGGATCAAAAAACTATGGTAACAGCAGAGCAAGGGACACCAAGAATCGAGGGAAAGGATACAGCTAGACAGCATTGAGGAACAGTTCAGCAGGCTCAAGTATCAATCAACAGCAGGTAATGAATGCACATATAGAAGTCAATCATCGCAGGACGTACACAAATGACAACCGGGATCGAACTGCGTCAAGCCTGATAATAGTGTTATGTGCTAAGGCAGATAGCACCATGGAAGCAGAGGTCGTCGCAAAACTTTAGCACAAGGGTAATTCGAGTTGAATCTACCAGATAAATGTGGTTCATCATGTGTGATAGTTGACTACTGAACACGCCGCGCACCTTCGAGACAGCCTGCATGATGCGATCAGCAAGGATCCGACCGAACTGCATGAGGTCCTTGAAGGCCTCTGGGCCGCAGGTAGAGCAGCTGGCCGCTTTTCGCAGGGACGGTTCGAGTAACTCGGTCTCCCTGGGATCGAAGCCGAGAGGTCGATTATTGACCCGGTATAGTATCCGATCCATGTACTCCTTCCACCAATCTCGCGGAGTGAAGTTTCCGCTTGCACGTCCTACGGCACAGTGTATAACGGTATTGTTGCTTGCTGGGCAGGACGTGCAGCGAAACCATATCCATGCAGGAGTGGAATCTATTAGGTTACGGTTAAAGAGTTGCGTGTTCACACTGCGGTCCCCGACACCTGTGAGGACCCAATTGGATGCGGTGTTCATCTCTACGATAGAGGCAGCAACCTTAGCACAATCGCCGTGGAAGTTGAGAATCTTCCATATAGCAGGTCCTGATAGACGACCCAATTCAGGGGGCATCGTGCCGAGAGGCAAGATATTGTGGCGCAAGAAACTCTGCGCAACGTCTCGAACAAGGTCGTCCATACCAAAAGCCTCAGCGATACAAAGTACCCGCCACGGATCGCGGTTCATGCGACGTCTAAGTCTCCCCATAAGCTGAGGAGGGATCACATGGAGTTGATATTTGCGACAAGCGTCCAGCAAGCGCAAGATGTCGTCAAGAGGTAGATCATTTGGTGGGTACAAAGGATTCAGAAGGCGGAGGAAGTTCTCCAATTCTCGGCCGTTTTCCGTGACACGGACGACATGGATACCGTCGATAATGTCTTCCTCACCGTCCTCAGCTACTTGCAGCTGCACCAGCGCATCATCTTGCGGTACTGGCGGAAGCTGGAACATATCCTTGAAGACTGGTGATGCCTTCGCGAGGATCTTACGGTAAACGCAAAAGCGTTTTCCGTCAGAGGACTGCACGATCAAGTCTGCATCGCTGTCGTCGAATGGGTGTGTCGATTCAGATACATTGCGGTCGGTGGATGTCGTAGACATGGTAATACGAAAACAGATTGATGTGAGGTTGACGTAGCGAGAGTTGGGAATCAGGATCTTGCTTGGTCGTAGTCAGGACACGGGACATGTACGTCAGGTACTAGTAGTACTGACGCCTGAACACGCCGTGGCGTCTAAGGCTGCATTCGCCCGGCCTACATATCCAGACCCGCCATATTCGCCCCACCACCCTTTTTCGTGGTGGTGTAGTGCGGATACGGCGGATCCAGGTACGAGATTAGGCCTCTAAGTCATACTTACCCAAACTTACGCGGTAGCGGCCCGGGTGCGGGAATGAGACGGACAAGTATGAGAAGACTGATTTGTGCAAACGCATATGTCGGGTAAATGGCATATAGATATTCATCAAAATGATCAGAGTGGGGAACACAAGTAGCAATGTGATCATCCGTGATCTGTGGTGTCTTGTGATCATAAGTGTCGAATGTGTGTGTTACGATACTCTCTCATGGGCAGCTCGGACTCCATAGCTGACATCGCATGACGCCTTCAATCAGTCTGTGAGGTCAATCTCGACCTACCAACCAGGAATCACAATGAATCAGCATATCAACCCAGAGACTATGAAGCTTACTTTGCTGACAGCAACATCAACCATCTTTCCAAGCCGTCGACTGAACTCAGCTAATTGGTCGTATGCGAAGCGGCGACATGTAATACATCCATTTGCCGCTAGAAGGACAGGACTCATGAATTCGGTTGTCTGGATTGCCGACCCTGACGGGTTGCTAGCGAGGACGACAGCCGCACGATCCATATGATCCATCCACCACCAAGCTACGATCGTCTGGCCCGATTCCGATGATTTCCGCTTCTTTTGGATAGGCGAGTCTGCGCTCTCGGTGCATGAAGTGCATATTGCCCATATCCAACCTTTAGAATGTAATGGAGCCGGTGGTACTCCAATGGCAGCCATAACGCCCACAATGTCTGTAGCAACGGCGACAGCAGCTTTCATGCACCGATCATAGTACTGCAGAAGGCGATACAGCCCTGCAGAGGGTAAAAATCGCAGCTCCTGAGGTATATCGGGGGGAAAGAGCCACAGCTTGGTGGAGATGGAGTGCTTCGCGGCAGCACGAGCAATGTCGTAGAATGCAAGGTTGTACGCAATGCAAAATGTGCGCAACGGCGCTGTCGAGGCTGTTTTTGCAATGGCATCCTTCATAGAGTCGACCACATAGAACATTTCGTACTTGCGAGCCGCATCGGCCAGCGTGATCATAGCATCGGCGGAAAGTGCCGGACGTGGCCCTGGATATATGAAGAGAAGGAGGTTTTTGAGCGTTGTGCTGTTCTCCGAGATTATGACTACCGGAAGGCCGTCTATGTGTTCATCGTCAACAGCGCTCGGAGGAGTTGGGAGCGAGAAGATGTCCCGAAATATAGGGGACGCCTTAGCGAGCATGACCTTGTACAGACGGAAGAGGACGTTGTCAGATGTTCGGAGGATGATATCTGCATCTGTGTCACTGTACGGATGATCGTGGTGTTGCACAAATTCTGTCGCGGTATGTTGTGTGTGAAGAAGGGTGGAGGGCTCAGATCCTGACATTGCACTGCAATTTGAAGCCTGTGCGTCCGATATTGATGCCAGCCCTGTGTCTACACCCCTGCATACAGAGCAGTATGGAGCAGAGAATGTCGGTTATTCCTGGGCCCCCTCTTTGAAAGGACTCAGTGGATACCAGATGTGAACAGTACCGAAATACTGAGGATGCGACTCGCTGCGGAGGCACTCAGACGCTGCCGAGATTACATCTCGTGCAAATGGCCATTTAGACGCTCATGCGACAAGCACCTCGATAATTCCTCACGGCATCCCAATATAAGTATTTCACTCTTTAAGGCAATAATTTACGATATACCAAGTCGGCCCACATGTCCACGGAGACATCACGAATTTACAACTAAATGCGACATGACAACATGCACATGAAGCGTCTGTTCGATATTCTTGGCCTCACCCCTTCCGATTCGTCTCATCCCACAACCGTTCATGTCTGTTGCAGTCTCCAAGACAGGGAGATTGCGAGATCAGTTATGGTATTCAGCTCTACTAGGTGTGACTACTATCTAATCCAATTCGAAAATACGGAATGTGACTCAAATATCGCAATTTATCCTATGTAAACATCGTGGAGACGCTTGCTCGGATACGAACGATGTCTTGCCTCGACAGGCCCGCCTCTTCGCACAGAGAGCGGAAGATGGAATCCCTTTGATCGAACAAATTCATGGGCGTGTCGAACTCAGCGACTTTGCCAGCTTCCATCACAATGATCTTGTCGTAATAGACTTGACGAATGAATGTAGTTAGCAGCAGACTAGCAAGCCAGCATGATATTTCACACGCACCCACTGTGTTCAGACGATGCGCGATGCACATGAGCGTTGAGGATGCAAACTCCGTTTGGATGGTCTTCTGCAATTTAGCATCCATCTCAACATCTACATTGCTCGTTGCCTCATCCTGTTGACAGCATATGCATCATATTAACCGGCAGACCAAAGAACAAGCACATACCAGAACTATGACGCGGCTGTTCTTGACGATGGCTCGACAAAGCGCAAGCAGCTGCTTCTCGCCTGCGCTGTAGTTCGAACCTGACGCGATCGATGGTGAACTATCTGCAAATAGCATTACGAGGCATGCTTACCTTCATCGCTGACAGCCGCGTCAAGGCTGAACTTCGCTTCAGCTACAGAATCCTGTGAGCCATCTCGGGGTAAGAGCCAGACGCGCTGTAAGGCTGATATGAGTTCCGCGTCAGTGCGCGTCGCTTGGGGATCGCTGGGACGATGTCAGATTACCATGTAAATTACCAATGAGAGAAGACCTACAGATTTTCTCGTAATGTCCCTTTGAAGAGAAGAGCATCCTGGGGAACCAGGGCTAGTCCACCTCTTAGTGTGTCGAGGCCGATGTTGTGAGTGTTGTATCCATCGATCTCGATGGCACCGCCAGAGACGTTCACGATCCTTCAACATACGTGAATTCATACCGATACCAATGGGCAACTAACGCTGGCCTACCTGAATAGAGCTTGTAACAAGGAGCTCTTGCCTATTAGAAGCGAATATCAGATTGATCATATCTCAATATAATTGTCCCGGTTTGACGACGTACCGGCACCGGTCCGTCCTACGATACCAACCTGCGATTGTCAAGTCAGTATCCGCATTTCAAGACGACATCGTATGTATGTACCTTCTCGCCAGGCTGTATTGTGAATGAGACTCCCTTCAGCACGAGTGGCAGACCCTCACGATAGGCCAACTCTACGCCCTTGAAGTCAATTTGTCCCTTCTCGGGCCAAGAGGGAGAAGGATCGTTGGGCGTCTCTCGTTCGCCTTCGGAAGGCAGCTCCGTGTAGTGTAGTACGCGCTCGACGGCATTGAAATTCTGTTCATTCTGAGCATATGTCTGCACCAGAGTCGCTGTAACCAGGTTAGACAGAATGTTGCCGTAGAACGTGACGAACTACTCACAAAATATGGAGGTCACTAGTAGGCATAGTTCATAATGAGCAATGTGAATGGCCATTCAAGGATCACATTACTCACCGTTCAATGTATATGAAAGCACAACGCCGATCCTGCTGGGACTAACAGACAATCTAAATCCCGCGGCGAAGAGGGCAATGCCGAGAACGAGGATATTGCCAAGGGTGTTGAGGCGAAGAGCAAGCCATTGCTGGATCGCGATCGTCATGTAGTATGCTCTATTCTCCATGTCGAGACCAAACTCAGACTTCGTGACAAAGCGGCGCTGAATGTGGCATAAGCATAACAGCTACATCAATGGAAAGACTTGTTCTTACTTGGGCAGCATAGGCTCGCACAGTGCTAAGTCCGGTCAGAGACTCTAAGCTCTTCATCAGCGTCAGGCACTTAGCATCAATGATGTGAACTTGCCTGAGTACGCAGCATAAAGCGCTGAGCGCATGATTGAGTCCAGTCGCTTCGTCTCTACGGAAGTACGGCGGTAGAACAGTGCAGCGACATAGTAGAATACGAGCAACGGAATGAAAATAATGCCGAGGTAGGGGAAGGTATAGAAGACCAATGCAACGGTTCCTATGACCGAACTGAAGAAAGATCAGTTACAATGTCGTTTGTGGTGGATTTTTACGTTACCTGAAGGTTGACAAAAGCTAGTTTTTACCACGGCATTGCGTTTCAAACTCGTGTTCGGGCGCTGGAGCTATCGGAAACATACCTGATATGCAATCATAGACACGTTCGTGTCCAGCGTGTCCTGATCACTGGATAAACGGGACATTACTCGGCCTAAAGCAACGATTTCAATATATCAGTGGCATTATAACGTTTCTAGGGCGCACCCATCGGCGTCGTGTCGAAGAAGGACACGGGAGAATGGAGCACTGCGTTAAGCGCATCGAAGAACATGCGCGACCCGGCGAATAAGGTAGTAAGTCTGGAATGAAAGCATTCAACGAGAAGGAACGGCACATCGATGAGAGGGGACCCACGTAAGGCACAGACTGAGAGAGAACGAGAAGACCGCGCTTGCGACGCCCAATGCAGCATAGGTACCCATGTAACCGCCTTGAGTGAAGCCTGAGATGCTCTCTGACGTCCAGAACCCCAGGAACAAGTTGTTTGCGACTATAGGCGGTACGGGTTAGGATCTTCCTTAAGAGATGACAGATGACTCACCTGAAGCGCCTTGGTACAAGATCAATTCTAGGATAATGACGGCGATCCAGAATAGACCGCCCGCATAGCGAAAGTATCTCGCGTATGTCTTCAATGTCACTGCGCCTGTATTCCGTTCTTCCTTCTGCATAAGAGGTCGGGCATCTTTGGCGTCTGCCTTCGCCGGACCCATGGCCGGCTCATCTGCCCTAGCCACGGTAGCGACCTCCTTTTCCTTCTTCTCAAGGTTCCCGTAATCTTCCATCAAGCGAGAGAAGGTTGCGCCAGAGCTCATCAGGTCCTAGAAGATGGGTTGTTGATAAGTGATTGGCGATACAAATGTGGATGCTGAAAACCTACCGCGTAGGTGCCTTGCTCTACAATGAGACCATTATCCATGACGTATATGTAATCCGCTTTGTCCAGGACATGTAGTGCATGTGTAACGAGCACACGGGTCTTTCCAGCCAAAGGACCGTTGAGAAGACAATTGTCGAGGATAGCCTTGCCGACATGCGCGTCGACTGCGCTGAGAGAATCGTCCATCAGTACAATATCTGCACCCGAATATGCAGCTCTGGCAAGCGACACGCGAGCCTATTCGCCAACAATATAGCCGGTCACACAGGTATTAGGCAACATAACGAACCTTCTGGCCGCCTAGTAAAACGCATAACCGCAACAGTGAATCAAACGCTATACCATCGACACGGAGGAGACCTACCACTCAGGTTTATACCTTTTTCTCCTATCTCAGTATCCTGGCCGTTGGGTAGCATCTCGAGGTCTGACTGAAGACAACAAGCATCAACAATCGCCTGGAATCTAATCTCAACTTCAGTACAGGAACCATTGAGCCTGGAGAGTCACTGACTTCTTCTCGTTATCAGGCTGTCCGAATGTGATGTTCTCGCGAAGTGTGGCGTTCATGATCCAAGCTGATTGAGGTACGTAGGCAACAGATGATGAAAAGACCGTCTGAAACAATGTGTATCAGTAATGCTTGTAGGATCCAGTGTACACAGAACTTTAGATACACACACTGCCTCTGACTCTGCGCATCTCTCCGATCAAGGCTTGCAGTAGCGAGCTCTGTGGCGTCTGCGTCGATATTTGGGATAGCCGACACACGGTTGAACACCGACCTTGCCAGAGCCAATGCCTCCTACAATGACGACGAACGAGCCCTTAGGCACCTTCAGGCTGAGGTTGTTCAGCGCAAACGGCTTCTCATCGGACGTTTCGTCTGGGTCCACTTTTTTGTCGCCCACAGCGGTCATGGGCAGCACCGTGTTCTCATTGCCTCTTCGTCGCGTGAACAGACCTGTCAGCTTCTTGCCAGATCCATCCTTTTTCTGATCTTTGGCGCCCTCCTTGACACCAGATCCGCGCCCACGTCCTCCGCGCCCGAACTTACCGGCCTCAGGCTTCTTTACGGTCTCCCATGAGAAGTCACCTTCGACGTCGATGGCATGCTCGCTTATCGGTTCAATGCGATAGGGCTCCGCAAGCTCATCCGCCACGAGGAACTTGGAGATGCGGCCGAGGGCGACGTATGCGTCGGAGGACACACTGAAGACGAGCGGGAAATTCCGGAGCGGCGTCGTGAGGATCTGTCAGCGGCATGAGTGACGGGTAAGGTAGTAAGCAAGTAGACACCATTTACGTTGAAAAATTGTAGGGCGGTGAAAATGACGGCGACGTTCAGGTCGTGCCCGCTCAGTGCATAGGTGATCTGTCAACGCATCATATCAGTGGCAATTACAAGTGTATGTGCACTGCGATGCGTACGAAAGACAAGATCGCAGCGAGCACCGGTACTACAGCAACAAGGCTGATGAGACTAGCTCGAGCGATGCTGGTTTATGCGCTTAGATTCTATCCGAGAATGCGATAGGAGATGAACACACCCGAGTCTTCTGATATGGTTGAGCTCACGCTTCCGCACGCTCCAGACTTGATTGGCATAGAAGCTCTCCCACACGTAGTACTTGATCAGACGGATGCCCTGCAGGACCTGGAATTCAACACATATCAGTACGAATGTCTCTTAACACCGATGGGACGGAGGCCAACCTCGGTAACAAGTCGAACACGCTGATCGGTGACGACAACACCTTGTTTGCGCTGCCTAAACATGGTGCGCACGAAGAGCGACTGTAGGGGAAAGCCAACGGCCAATACCTGCCCACCCATGATTCCAATCAATTTGCATGTGTCGAAGCCATTGTTTGCGGATACTTACCGCGAGTCCGACCAGCGCAGAGTATCCCAACTATCGTACGGCGAGGATTTCGTTCAGTCAGATTGCAAGAACGACTGCACAATCTCGTTACAAATGGCGTACCTGCCCGATCAGCAGACCGATCCCTATCGCAATTTGTATGGGCGCAACCCACAGGCTGCATTGAAAAGACTATGAACAAGCGGAATTTCTGTGCACAAGCGAGTGACATACATATGCGCGTATGCAGTGACTCGCTCCAATCGCATGGCGTCCGTCGATATCATCGTGGTGATCTGGCCGACGCTGTGGTCCATCCGCGCACGCCCGCTCAGGCGGAGAGATTTGCGGAAGATGCAGCCGATAACCTAAAGAGCGGAGGTCAAAATCGTGCCACTTTTGTGCTGTCTGGCGGACAATGGTCACGTACACTCGTGCGCACTTGCAGACCGGTGGTCATCGTCACTAGATGTACAGCCAGAGTTAGTTGTTATTGGCACGCAGCCAACTTGCGCTTTATTATATACGCACTGAGCGAGTAATGGCTAGCGATCTATATACATCGCAACGATGTGAGCAATTCAGGATCATCCTGGTAGTAGTGCTGCACTCACCACACTTGAGGCCTCTGGTAACCGCATATAATCAGCCAAATGGAGATCGTCATTTGCAAAAAGACCTACCCTGCATTATAAAGAGCGCAAATGCCAGTCCGATGCCGTAGCCGATGCCTTTCGGAGCGCTCTCGCCAGATTGCTTGCGCTCCTCTGCGGACATATGACTCCATGTGTATGACGCCGTGAGCCAGGTCAGAAACAGCTTGTTGACGAGCGGCGACGTTGTAGTCAACGTATCTATCATTGATATTGAACAATGAACTCTGTGCCACCCCGTCGCTGTTTCGGATCCAAATGGAATCTACTCACTCGCGATGAGAGTCAAAATACCAGCAGACCACCAGCGCCAGAAGAACGTCTTGTGTAAAGCCTTGAGCAGCGAACCGTCGTATTTCTTCTTATTGACAGGGCCCGGCGCCGTATCCTGATTGTTCCCTGTGTGAGAAGGTACCTCAGGTGCTGCATTTCCCTCGAGCTTGGCATCTCTCTTCTCGGCGAAGGCCTGCTTTTCATCTCCCGGCGCCTCGGTAGTCGAGGAAGCGGAATCCTTGACGACTTCCCCGTGCTCCGGTGGCGAGCGCTCACGTAGGAAAGCCGGCCGCTGTTCGGGCGCGCACCTGTCGTAAAAGGCTCGCTCGACTTCGTCACTTAGATTGCCTGTAAGACGATCTGGAGGAAGCTGCCAGAGATCTTGTACAGCGGGAACGGGCGCTTCAGGATCAACGTCCTTTGTGGCGCATTTTGCGATGTCACATACCTTCTTTCTGTAAGGGGCGCGAGAAGCCCACCGTCATGAAGGGGTCGAGCCATGAGAAGATCAGTCTGGACCAGTACCTAAGGACATATGGCGGGTCATGAGTGCTTATTTCACACTTGAACACACAAATTTTACGACAGCATGGTGGGAAGTAGAGTACAGGAGAGAGTACAGGATCCTTCATTCATACTGCCGTCCTTCCAACTCCAGCCGGAAATGTGTACAGATGTACAGTATGTGCAAGGCGATTAGTATGAGTCAAGTCCACTCACGAAGATGTTTCCTCGGGCACTACGGTGTCTTCTCCAAAAGCGGGAGGCTTGGGCGACGGATGCAGAGGGTTGTACATGGCCCTCAGGCGTTGGTGACAAGTGTCGACGGTAGCGCGGCCCGACCGTCCTCTTTTCACTTATATACTGCGCACGGACTCCTCCCCTGGCACACCGTAGCCGCACCAGTCATGCTTGGTGTAGTTCGAGCCCCCAGATACGGGGTAGCTGCCGGCCGGCCACGTACGCCGCTTTGAAAGACACGCTGACTCATGCAAATCAATCGTCACGGAAGTGCCTCCTGAGAGACCAGTTGCAGGTCACCCTATTGACAAACTCTCAAACATTTTGGAAAGTATATTCACGGATGAGAGACTGATACTGCGTGTAGGCCCGAGATGCCAACATTATCGAAGGAACTCCCCGGACATATTGATAGCGGAGGTTGCTGAAGGCGGATCCTTATGAGCTTTGTAGAGGTACAAAGCACTTTAGCATAAAGTGTTGTGCATGGCTGAAGCTTACTTTACGTACCGGTTGCTAGATCGCAAATCCTCGTACCAAATGGAATGTGTCCAGCGTACCAGCGTAAGACCGCACTGTATACCTGTGTAGACTGAATTTGGGGTTAGGTCCAGCTGCATGGGCGCTTAACGCTGTCTGCGAGCGACCATCCTCTCCTCACCCAGCAAGGGAGTTCTTCTGTAGTCTGTTCGGTATCTTATGGCTTCAATACGATCTCCGGAACCGCACAGCGCTGCAGACCCATTTGAGCTACAACGTCTCGCTGAAGAGCTCGCTGAGCGCGAGGCAACATCACCACCGGTGGCCACGGCCTTCGATGAGGTCTCCAAGGCTGAACGTGACCTACCCATCTATGTACCCTTGTCTCATGAAAACCCATACCTACGCGCGGAGGCTTTCAATGTGGAGGAGTTCTTGCTCTCGAGGGCTTACACGTCCTTGCCGGACTTGCGCCTGGAGCTACGAGACTACCTGGCGACCCTGAAGGAAGAACTCGTCAGACTTATTAACGATGACTACGAAGCTTTCATCAGCCTCAGTACGGACTTAAGGGGAGAGGGTGCTCGGCTAGAGCGGATGAAGGCCCCTCTAAAGGATCTGAAGTACCAGGTGCTTGTATGTACCCGTACCTCCACCGCGGTGTGTTTGTGCATTTAGACACCTCGTGAGCAGGGAACGCGGAAGATACTGCAAGATATCCAGGACAATACTGAACAGAAGTTGAAAGAGCGCTCAAAAATCCGCGAACAGAAGGTGAGTGACTATGCTGTATGGTTCGAGAAGTGCTATTTTACACTGCTTTACAGGCATTCTTGCACCTGCTGCTCAAGATATCGGAATCTATTACTCGTTTAGAATCACTCTTGCTTATTACCGTGCCCTCCGATGGAGACCGGATATCCTCCGAGGTGAATGCCCTCAGAGATATCCACCGCTCAGACGACCGTGGTCCCGATGACAGGTGCGCCTGGCCTATACCCTGCACAGCTCAGTAAGTAACACCCTATAGGACTCGTGCCAACCGCGCCAAACACCTTGCACGCGTCGCGTCCGAGTACACTCAGTTGCTCTATCACGTTTTCCGTGCTCGCGAGTACGGCAGCGCGTTCATTGACGAGTCACAATGGGTGGGGGCTACCGCTCCTCGTCGCTATAACATCTGATCTCGTCGCAGCGCGTTGACAGGATCAAATCCACACTGTCCTCAGACCTCGACCACCTATTCGCGAGTACGCTCGTGGCGCTTGCAGCGGGCCGCGAGCAGGGCCGCGAGACCAAAGCGAGTGAGCTCGAGCGTAGCAAGTGGGTCGCGGACGTGACCGAGTGCCTCCGCACGTACGACATGCTCGGGCTCTGGCGCGATGCAGAGGACGTGCTGCGCAAGGAGGTGGTGCGCGACTTTGTGAAGAAGGTGCGCGCTCCATCGCGACGCTCCCGCACCGGCTGACGCTAAGCGCAGACGATCCACCCAAATGCGCTCTCGACCCCGCACTCCCCCATCGTCCCACACACGCCGTTCGCGCCCAGTTCCGCTGCCTCGGGCGCACGCCCACACACGCCGCTGCCCACTGCGACGCATCCCCCGCGCACGCCGTACACACCCTTCACCGCTTTCGCGTCCAAGCAGAACCCGTTCGCGCTTAGCCTGCACCCGTCCGCGGGTGGGGCTGAGGCCGCGCCGCCAATACACATGCTCGACGACCGCGACGACTCACTCGCGGCGCTATACAACGCTGTACTGCGATTCGTCGACCGCGACCTGAAGCGTGTGATGGAAATTGCGGAAGGTGTGTGCGCGAAGAGCGGTGCGCGTGGACGGAGGGAGGCGGGAGAACAGGGCGCGGGCTTCGAGGTCATGGCGAATGTCGTGTGGGCGGAGGTTGGCCGTGCGATCATGGACGAGCTAGGCAGTGTGGTGTTTGCGGCGGGGAAACCTGACGAGTTTCGTAAGGTATGTGTGTGCCGATCTAGACGAGTTGGCCGCTATAGTTGACACACTTCAAATACAGCACCACGAGACGACGCAGGCGTTCACCCGCGCTTTAGAGTTCCTCGCACCTTCATTACACTCCATTGAGGTGATGCGTGCGCACCCCACATACACTGCCTTTGAGCGTCGATGGCAACTTCCTGTTTACTTTCAATTGCGGTGGAAGGAGATCGTCACTAAGGTGGAGGAGTCGTTAGCCACCACTCGCCTAGAACGACTGAGCAGCAAAGGTACGGAATCGCGATGAATGTTGAGCATTATTTCTTTCAGCTCACTAGTGTTCACCTTCTCTTCAGCTATAGCGCCCTTCGTGACTGCTCAAGCAGCCATAGTATGGGACGCAATCAACACATGCTGGAGTGCAGAAGTATACATACCCGAGCTTAGCCATCGCTTCTGGAAATTAACACTGCAGGTCGGTGATTGACCTCATGAGAAATACCCTTCCCTTGACGTTACTACTGTATAGCTCATTAGTCGATACAAAGCATGGCTTGACAACAGTCTGCCAGCATTCGAACCCCCATCCAAAGTTGCCGCAGCCGTCGCAGCTGAGAAGATGGGACTCGTGCGTGTACCGTCAGCCAAGGATGCTCCTATTTGCTAATCATGCGCAGACTCCAGGATCACCTGCAAATTTACCGCGCGCTGCAACGCCAAACCTGCCGACAGAAGCTGCATCGCCTGAGTCAACTGCGGTGGACGAGATCTCTCTGCAGCAGTTTTCCACCGCTATTATCGATATCAAGGCGATGGACGCGGAGGTCGTGAAGTTATGGCGAGAGGAATTGAGTGTGATGATGCCCGAGTCAATAGACGATGGGTCTGACGAAAATATTGGTCCCGAGGGTGCGTCGGCACCTCTATGTATGGAATATGGGTTGACGTCTCACTCCAGACACCCTCAGGCATACGCTGTCGAGACTTACCTCTTTAATTCCTCCCCTTTCCAGTCAGATCATAACCATTCTGTCCCGCCGTTCCTGCGAAGCCCTCCTATCCATGCGCTCCATTCCATCTCAATTTAGGGCAATGTCTTCGAGCAAACGAATACCAGCTGAACCAAGTTATTTCGTCTCCTTGATTTTCCGTCCTGTCAGGACGTTCTTCGGCGTTGGATCTGCAGACGGACCAGGGGCCCCGTTGAGAGACGAGCTCCTGCAATCTTACGCCGAAGAGATCTTCGAGATCGTTACCCAGAGGTGAGCTTCGGATGCGTACAATACGTGTGCTGCACTCAACTCATGCACGAATGGTGCAGATATATTCACTTCTTATCGGCCATGAAGAAGACGGAAGAATCCCTACGCAGACTGAAGAAGAACAAAAAGACCTCATACTCACTTTTTGGTTCAAGTTCGTCCAGGGATGACGACGGTCGTGCTGATGAAGAGAAGATCCGCGTTCAAATGGTTCTCGATGTAGAGGCGTTTGGTAAGGACGCTGAATCGCTTGGTGTGTCCGTGCAGCAAAGCGAGACCTTCAAAATCCTGCGAGAGATGGCAGGTAGCACCTTGACTGATGGTACGCGCACCGCCCTGACCATCCGTAACCTCCTATTTACACGTTGATTGACAGAATCATGACGCATGTAACAATAGCAGCAGAATACGATGATATGTAAAGCAATAGTCCCCGGAATAATACATGGAGGCGTTCAATACTATTGTACGCGGCGTGGATTATGACGACTCAGACGGTAGACATTTACTATGGTATATGGCACCTGTCCGCGATACAATAACTGCAGCACCAGCACTTATGTCTTGATCATTAGATTGTTTTTTCTTGACAAACGCTTCTCCACAACCTCCACACTTTCCCTGAGAAGGTGCCCATCCTCGTATTCGCTCCTGCGCCAGCTCTTGAATCGCAGCAAAGACGCTGTCGTCGACGAGATGTTTTGTTATGATCAGCATATCGCCATCTGAGCGGTATGCCTCCAGCATGCCAGTAAAGAGCATTCTGAACTCCGCATACAACGTGGGCTTTGAGACGGAGTTGGCTGAAGTTGCTGTGAGCAGGCGCTTGAACAGCCGTGGAAGAGAGACGGCCTTTGCAGAGCTGATAGTCATCAGCGATGCGAACGTCTCCTGCACAAGCAGGCGCAACGCGGATAGCGATTGCTGCTGCAATCCCTTCTGTTCATCGTGGCCTGTACCATCAATACCCTTGTCTTCGAGCGACAAGCAGCAACTGGCGACGCGCTGTACTGTGTCAATTTGGCTTCTGAGTAGCTGGTACCACATGTCTTCCAGTGGCACCTCTACATTGGAAGTTGCTTGTGAATGCTCAAGACAAACGCCAACTGCGTTTCGGCCCATCGCATCGATCTTGGACAATGTATCATTGATGAGTCCTCTATCTTCGGCTACAGGTCCAACAAGCATCTCAGCAAGTCGCGCGGAGAGCACATTGCTGAAACCCTCTGCCTTGGACAATGCCGCCAAAGGCTTGCCTGCATGCCCCAAGACCCAGATCACAGCATCGAATGAGCTATGCTCTTCACAAATAGCGGCCACGTCGTCCGCATCCAGGAAGTCTGGAGGTAGATATCGTAATGTAGGAATGACTGCTGTTGGCTCAAACTGACATTGAAGCGAGATGAACGCGAGGCGAAGCGGCGGGGGCACGTAAGGCGATGGTCCACCCTTGCGGAATGAGATATATCCATCTTCTTCCCCCCTTGGTGGTGAGCCAAGAAGGAAACGAAGATACGCGTGTTGGTCCCGTTCAGAGTGACGACCGAGTTCCTGCACAGCACGATCGTGCAGAGACGGGAAGTGCTTGTCCACAAGCGCAGCAGCGTCGACAATGTTGCTGTTCAGCAATGAGGGAAGAGAGTTGACGAATGTAGCCTCCAGATCCCGAGATAGGCTGCCTTTGTTCGCGGATCTTGCGGACTCTAGGGCGTCATCTATGCAGCGGAACAGTTCGGCCACGGGTAGGTTGGAGTCGTCCAGATATGTCAGGAGCAGAGGAGCCCACTTGCGCTCGTGATAGTACCACGATCTGAGAATGCGATAGAATCCGGCGCGCTCAAATATAGCCACGATTCGATCGCTCTCATGCGGATTGTAGGTGGAGAGCAAATACTCTGCAGCTAGCTGACGATCTTCCCGCGTTTCTGGGTCAGGGTCCTCCGCCAGATTGATCAGGATGCTATGAAGAGCGCTAGGTGGTATCTGGATGAACTGAGGGTATTTGGGGACATTCCGAGCAATGAAGATGTTGACGAACGTAGCCTCGGCAGGCGAGAGGTCTGGAGACGAGAGGATATCAAGCAGAATCTTGACGATGACCAAGCGGCTGACTCCTCGGGTTTCGTCGTTGAGATATGCATCTTCGAAGGCCAGGTCGAGGGTATGGAGGAATGCTTCCGGATCGAACCGAAGCAGAAGACGCGTATAAGGATATGTCGGCTCGACGCCATTGTCCTCATCTGCTGTCAAGATTAACTTGCCACCCTCTCCCAGAGGCCATACGCTGGAGCGACCAAGGAAGAGGAAAGTGTAGACGGCATCCTTCGCCTGGAACGCCTCGTCTTCCGGAAGAGATTCCGCAGAAGGATAGGACAATCCAGTCAAGGTATTGGCAAGATATGGATAGATCTTATAGGCATTAAGCACAACATGTTCGATGTTTTCGTCTCCCACGTATGCATCCGGTGACGATCGCTCTCTGCGTGATCTCCGATATTGCTGCACCTTCCGCACGAGGCCGAGCAACTCGACGACGGGCGACTTGAAGTCCTTCACGGCTCGAGTGAAGATGTAGATCAGCGCGTCATATAGCGCATGTCGTTGACATAGCTTGATGACCTGATTGACGTCTAAACATTCTGGGTCGATGTGCCATATTACACGCTCGACCAGCTCTGGGTGGCCGTCGTTGTCGTGGAGAGCTATGAGCCGTTGCGTAATCCAGGGCGGGACATGCCGTATAACACTATCCAAAACGAAGGGCTCGAGTTGTAATAAAAAGATACGCGCGATGCCATTGTCGTCGTAGAATTGGAAGAGCTCTTCGAACAGGAAGTCGTAGTCGTCCAATGTCGAGCACGCTCGGGCGCAAGTCTTCACAAGGCCCTCGAACAACAAGGTACGATCGACACCGCGACCATCCCGAGTGACGTGGGTTCCGTCAGTCATTCGTTCCTCCGAGAAGGCATAGCGTGCGGATGCGACCATCAGTTCACGCATTTTTTCTCCGACGACGACCTTCAGCTGCTCTGGACTTTCGGGGAGACTATTGCGGTTGCCTGGGCATTCCCCGGTGTAGTACGAGCGTGTCAATTCAATGGCACTGAGGAAGTCACCATCTTGGACGAAAGAGAGTATGCGATCCGCCCAGGTTAGAAGGGTGCCGACTCGTACTTCACTTTGTCCCTGATGAATTGAACATCAGCGGGATTCGTTGACAGACGCTTACAAACATACCAGTGTGAATATCTTGCCCTTGTAGATGCGCAGGCTATGAGCGATTTCCATGACGGCATCAGAATATGACACAGTGCCGTTCGTGGTGTGGCTCAGAATGGGCGACACCAGGGACCAGGCGTCATAAGGAACTTGTTCCACCAGTTTCGCGGTGCGTACATCATGTACCTCCAAAGATGCCGCCGTGAGGACGAGCACTTGCTGCGATGAAGGATTCTTTTAGCACGAGAAGCGGCTAGGATAAGACAGGAGCGAACGAACCCACATTGACGTTCAGCCACTGCAGAGCTAACACATTATCGCCAACATTCCATTGTCGCGTCTCCTCAAAGACGACCCGACCGACTTCGACTGAGTTTATCTTGCCTGTCCTAGCATTGCGAGTCTGCTGCTGAACCTTGTCTTCCGACAGCCGCATCAGGAAGAGCGTGTCACCCCACGAGTATATGAGCATCGGCATGGTCGAGGCGGGATGATCCGACCCGTTGACCTGATCCTTCTTGTTCGTGACCTCCGCACCAGCGTTGCTGCCGGGGATAACACTTGGGTACCATGCCAAGACGCCCTTGAACTTCGACCTGCCACCCTTCTCGTCGCCCTCACGATGCCGCCTATACCAAGTCCTCGGTGATGGCTTCAGTCCGACAATGACGAGCTTGATGGGGGTCAGCAGGGCGATGAGATTGTAGTGGTCGGTCGGGTGGGACGCAGTGCCGAGGGGTAAAGGGGCCATGGCGAGAATTGTGCTCGTCTTACGTGACTTCCTACGGCGGAAATGATGTGCGCCCGACACGGGAGCCAAGGTCCCTGGCATGAGCTCCTCATCTGGATACTTCCCCAGCAGGCGCAGAGTGTCGGATGCCTCCATGAAGAAGACCTTGCCAAGGCTGTGATAGAAAGCAAGCCCGCTATCGTCGGCAGACACAAGCGCTGTATGTCTGCCCGCGACGAAGCCAACACTGACAATCCGAGATCCGGCGAGATGGCCCTCCCGCCGCCCTGCAGCCACATCAGTGAGAGATGTGGGAACAACAAACCGTGAGGGCGTTTTGGGGTTATTCAGGTCGAACAGTCGAATGTGACCTGACGCATGTCCCGAGGCGACAAAGGTATGATCGAAGGACAATGCGAGCGCGGTCACAGCATCCACCGTCTTATCTAGAGAGTATGCTTTAGGCATGGTAATTCGCATCCAGGATATACATACCTGAAGTGTCCAAGCCACATATGCATGTCAGATTCTGCTTGAAGTCGAATACCAGGATCTTCCCTGTATTGGTGCCAATGCAGATGAGACCATTTGCAGCGAGCACGGTCGGCGACCCAACGTTCTCTGTGCCGAGAATCGATAGGGCTTTCTGAGGCTGCCTAGTATACAGGTGGTCGCCGATAATCCGCAGAGACGTCCACCGGAAAACCTCTCGTGTCTCCTGGTGTCGGGTTCCTCTGTCTTCGGGCTTTCCGGTGGCAATGCCCAGGTTTGAGGTAGATGACGTACGAGACAATGCGGAGAAGTGAGATGGAGTGGCAGAAGCACCGTCCTGGACATTGGAGAATACGGTTACCGCGCTACCTGATGACGGCATACGTGACGCCTGAGGAGTGGAGGACCGTAGGCGCGAGACAGTCGGATGTAGGAATGACCGCGAGAGACTGCTGATAGTATTGAGGCCATTTGAGTGGGTTGCGCCAGTGTGCCCATTAGCGAGGTCACCCGACGCAGACGTGCGCGGCGTAGAGGGCGTCGAAGGTGTACGCACGTAATGAATTGCCTGCTTATGCTCGAATATGTTATCATGTTAGGGACGGCGAAAACAACTCACCATCGCTTCATCTCCCAACATGGCAGCTAGCTTCTCCTTTGCTTCTACATCCTGAATTAGTGAACGCTCCACTTCGCGCTCGTCCAGCGCATCCTCCTCATGTTCAGGACCCAAGACGTCTCGTAATTGCTCTCGGTAGCCACCCGCGGGTTGTGCATCCACACCACTGTACAGAAAGCCCTCCTCCGGGCCTTCTTCATCGCTTGGATGGTCGTCGACGCCTTCGTCCGTATCGCTCATAAGCTCTTCGAAACGCGTTGAGTAGTCACCAGCATGGTCGTCCTGAGCCTCGTCTCCTTCGGTGTCCGAGATGTCGAGCGAAAGAGGAGGCTTCAGGGCACTGTCCGGATGGTGGTCCTGTGTGCCATTCATGGACGCGTCCGTCGTCGGAAAGTATGAGAGGCCCAGTGAGAGTTGAGAACGTCGTCAAACTGTCCGCAGCCGCTGTCTTCTTAATATTGACGTATGTTGTGCCTTTTTTGTACATAAGCACTCTATATGGCTATTCTATTTGTCAGAGGGCTATAATGATTCCCCATACGGCTATATAGAGAACCTTGCAAAATCTAAATCGACGAAATGCGCCTCGGGAACCAGAAATTGGACCTCGCGCTCCCTATCTCTTCCTTTGTGCCTACCTCTCAGGCTTTCGACCCAGTTGCAATCCTCGATACTACGCTTACACTGCTCTGAGCTATGGCCAACGCCGCCGTCGCGGTCATGGGACCCCCGCCGTCTCCAAAAGAACCTCGACGCTCCGGAAGACGTTCTGTGCCCTCGGGCTCAACCAGTAAATCACCAGCGGGATCACCGACGTCCGACTCTGCCCCAAAGGCCAAAGACACATCCCACAGACCATCGTCATCCTCGAACTCGACCTCGAGCAAGAACAGGCGCCACAAGCACGACGATCACGACGAGCCCCTCGACGACGTACGCAAGGGTGGCACCAACGGCAATGGGAACGGAAGCTCGCGTTCCAAGCGCAAGGGGAAGGAGAAGGAGAAGGAGAAGTCCTCGAACGGTGCAGGGGGCGCAGGTGATGATGGCGACGAAGGGCTGCCGCAGGTCGATGGGAGTGTGGCGGGGGACTTCGAGGACAACAACGAAGAGGAAGGCGGAATCACGCGATGCATCTGCGGGGAGTACTACGCTCCCTCAGAACGTATCTCTCAATCTCAACCTCAAAACACGGTCGACGACGATGAAGAACAGAAGGACCGTGGGGACTGGATGGCGCAGTGCGAAATGTGCACAACCTGGCAGCATGGCCAGTGTATGGGCTATGCAGCAGAGAAGGACATGCCCGAGCACTATTACTGCGAAGAGTGTCGCCCTGATTTACACGTCGAGTTGCTCAAGTGAGTACTCCCTTCATTTCCGGGATTTGACTCTCATCGCACGCGTGTGCTACAGGAAGCACGCGAAGAGGGCGCGTCAGTCATCTATCAATTCACACCATGCGCGGCATGCATCCCGGTCGTCTCGTTCACGCTCCCCTATCCTCCAGCCCAAGCCCACCAAGCGGCGCAACACCATGAACAGCAGAGATGCCGCCTATGACGAGAGCGTCCACTTATTGCTCGAGGTCACAGCTGCTGAGGCGGCCGCAGCGACGCAAGACGTTAAAACTTCATCCCCCATCTCAGCGACTGCTAATGGCGAGGCCAATGGGGACGGCGACGGAGAACCAGAGGCCGATATCCTGCCCAACAGCAAGAGGAAACGGAAACGCTCTGAAGATGACGCGTGAGTGCTCTAAATGTTTTCGCTACCTCTCATCTGAAACTTCTTGCATCCAGCGCGCCCGCTAAGAGGACAAGATCCGCGTCTATCGCCTCCGATCGAACAACTGCAATTAATGTCGCGTTGGGTCGCGACGCGACACCCATTAACACCGCCAATGGTAACTTGAAGGCTACCCCAGCACCGACGCCCACGGCGAAAGCAAGTAACAGTCGGAACAGGCGAGCGACAGCGCGTAAGACGCAGGTGCAAGATCTGGGTGCGGCCGAGGGAGAGGAAGGTATGTGCCGGGCGCTAATTTAATTGCGTGTGACGTAACTCACGTGATCGTCTACCTCAACCTGCAGCCGGCGGCACTGCACCTGCACGCAGACCAGCCAACAACCGCTCAAAAGGTAGAGACCTTTACGGCATAGCTTTGACTCGCTGCTCATTTGGAACTTCCAGCCAACACAGTGAACGATAACAACGGCCGTCGCACACAAGGCAGCGCAACGGGTGGGCACGGCGTAAACTCGAGCGGGCATGCGAATGCCGCAGCGGCTTCACGCGCCTACCACCAATCGCATGCGTACGCTGTGTCGCAGCAGCCCCTTTTCACCTCATGGAATCTGCCCGACTACCTTGCCCACCTTGAAGCAATGTTGCCAACCGACGTCCCGCGGCCATTGGAAGTACGCGGATCCGGAGTCGATTATACTGGCCATGAATCTCTAGAGCGGACCACTGAGAGAGGAGTGAAGGTGAAATGGCCTGCCAAACGGATGAGCGTCGGTGACATGAACAAGCGCGTTCGGGCGTTGGTGGAATGGGTTGGGAGGGAGCAAGCGAGTGCTCTAGAAAGAACAAGGCGACGAGAGGCCTTGGAGAACGCATTTAAGGAGGGCCTTAGCAATCAAGTTGACAGTGAAGACGTGACGATGGTCGACGAGGGGCCAGCGACGATTGAGTCTCCCTTGCAAGAACGGAGACCGAACGGCGTCGATAGCGTACCTTCGATGGCGCCGAAATCAGGCCCTTCGGACTCCGGAAAGACAACCATGAAGATGATGGAAGAATTGATGGAGGAGCTTATCAGTTTCCAGGAGCGATTTGGACCTGGCGCGAAAGCCAAGGAGCGAGAGCGGAGAGTTGCAGCATCATAATCACTATTTCCACTTCCCTTACCCTGGATCGCGATAACCATTGTGTGCATACGTTGTTGTATATCCCTGCACTTACTGACGCCTTTCTACTTCGAAATCTCTGTACGACTCACGTATTGTATAGCATCTAGTCTATCCGTTGTATCACTTCCATTGCCATCAAAATATCTGACCTCGTGGCCTAGCAGACTACATTGTCTTTTGACGGGATTCGTGGCATAGATCTCGGAGATCGACAGTACGTCCCGATCGCTTGCTTATGTTTGGCCCTACATAAGCTCATCAAATATAACGAATGAAACTCAGGCTATAGCTACATAATACAGATCGAGAAGTTGAGACGCAGTATATCAAAAAGCACCTAAATCAGCACACATAACCACTATCTTATCGTGGCAAGAGTCGTGATGGCTGGGACACAGTGTGCATTCAGTTGCCGCGCAGGTGCTGTGATAGATTGCATTCGCATTGACAGTGCGTTATCAGGCAGGCACATTCGGCTACCGGTGAGGCTGAGATGAAGGTTGGCCGCCCCACATTCTCTTGTACGGGATTCCCTCACTGGCAGCCTTCATGGTGCTTGTGATGTTCCGCAGGTCTTGGAATCTGATCAGATAACACGGGCTGCCTTTCGTGTCACTCAACGCCTTTTGACTTAGAACAGTCATGCCCTACAACAAGACAGCGTGAGTAGCGGATAAGAAGAAAGTGAAGAACGTACCGCAGCTATGAGCTTCTTTACAATATAATCGTTGTACGCGCAGATAAAGAGCTCAAGTACGGGAACTACTTGGTGCGTATAACCGAGCAATTCATCAAAGTCCCTAGCATACTTCGCCTGATACTCCAGCGGGACATGCTGAGGTATCATGTTATCGATACCCGCTGAGAACGGTTGATATTGTACTTAGTGGCACAGCGTCAGAGTGCCATGGGGACTCACGCCGTATCAGCTGTTTGAGCAATAACTCTTTGTACAACCTTGCCTGCTGAAGCTCGGCTTCGGTAGGGCGCCGACCAGGGTCGAGACCGACAAAAGGCTTGACCTTATGCTCGTCAATCATAGGCTTCATCCGTCCTACGACCTGAACCCTTTGCATCGGTGCTCCTGCCTGACCTAACGTTTTCTGGGCTGCCTGCGGAAGATGCACACCATCGTGCATCTCGACAGATTCGCTTACAATCCGCTGCTGGTCGGCATTATCCAAGCCCGCAGGGGTGGATGCCACATAAAGTCGGTTCATCTGACTTGTGAGCTGGTCTTGCGAATCTGGAGAGCCCTGAACGTCCAATTCCGGGTCAATTGGCGGATAGAGGACGCCCTAGGGCTGATGGTGTGGGTCGGGGGACGTCGGCGAGTGCATAATGTGATGATTGGAGTATGATTGCGGTAAGAACACGGGAGGATGGGATGCGCTCAAGCGAGAAAGCGTAGTGAGGGCAAGGATGAGTGCCGACGAGGAGGGGACGTGTGGAGCAGATTATAATAGAGGCAAGAGTGGCGGGGAAAGAAACCCGACAAGTTGGAACCATGCCTGCAGGCGGACCTTCGGCGAACCGCGACGAGAACAATGAGAACAATGCATGCAGACCTCCGACGGACAACTACGAGAATCCGTAGTGCTCGATTGTGTATCTCCGCCGAAGTCCACTGAGTAAGCCCTGTCGTCACAGATGGTGACCGAACGTGTCCGGAGGACCAATCCGTAAGATGCGACTGAAAAGAAGAACCACTCGACTCCTGTCTCAGATCCTTTCAGTACATCCGTGTCAGCACGTAGAATCATCGAAACCCCGCATTGACGACGATCAGACATAGCGTGTAGTCTAGGCGGACTTGGAGGCACAGACTGGCACAGAGAGTTCGGAACAGTCAAGCCGCGTGCGCACATTTTGGTCAGTCAAAATGTGAGGCCTGAAGACTCCATAATGATTACATTGGCCATCGCCTGGAAACAAGGCCCGAATGTGCATCAACCTGGAACGAGTGAACACAGGAAGGATTAGACCGGCATCAGTTGCGATAGAACAACATGTACGCCGTCGAATATAAAGATACCAGAAAGACGCAAGACATGCCAAGGTTCCACATGAAGTCAAGAATAATCATATTCTGCTACATTGCGACGCTAATACGTACTTATATCGGGGAGTAGGATATGAATACTGTTGTAGCCTACCTCTAAGCAACTTGACGCGAAAATGGCACTAGTGGTTTGAACCCGGAAAAATCGACCTGGCGAGCGCCTTGACACTGGGAGTGTTGCTCGTGTGGCTAAGTAAGTCTGCAGAGACGATGAGCTCGTAGTACCAGGTAATTTTTCTCCATTGTCGTCTGCTAAAGCCGTCATCATTGAAGGAAGTGAGCCGGGCCATTTACGAGCCATATCGGAAGCGCCTGTGTGTTTCGATCACAACATGATCGAGTCAGAGTGCCGGCGTTCCAAACTGGGAAAATATAGTCCTTGAATCCAGCGTGCATTCTGACTCACTCGTTCCCCGTACATGGCCGCTACCGCCATGCTTGAGTATGCGTCTCATGCGCCAGAACCTCTACCATATCCCAGGCTCTCAAAACATCATCTGTTGCCATCTGGAACCCCAGACTACTTGAGGCTGATCCTCACCTCGAAAGTCTATGAGGTCCTGAAAGAAACACCACTGTTTTACTGCCCTAATCTCAGCGCACGGTTCGGAAACCAGATATGGCTGAAGCGTGAGGATCTTCAGGAGGTCTTCAGCTTCAAGATCAGGGGCGCGTACAATTTCATGGCTAATATCAGCGAGGAAGAGCGGTGGAAGGGTGTGGTTACATGCAGCGCGGGTTAGTGTGCGTACTTGCTAGACTGCGCACAAAGTGGTCCCCATCTTAGATGCCTGCGCGCTCATCGCATGAACAGGAAATCATGCGCAAGGCGTAGCACTGTCAGGCTCGAAGCTCGGGATACCGTGCACGATAGTAATGCCTAAAGGCACCCCGGCCATCAAGGTTCGCAACGTATCCCGACTCGGCGCAAAAGTGGTACTGTATGGACAAGACTTTGACGAGGCAAAAGCCGAATGCGCCCGCCTGGCATCTGCGCATGGCCTCATCTTTGTGCCTCCTTACGACGACCCGCTCGTGGTTGCTGGCCAGGGCACGATTGGCATGGAAATCCTGAAGCAGATGTCCGACGCAGACACCCTCGATGCGATCTTCGCAGGGGTCGGCGGCGGCGGCCTGATATCTGGAATATTGGAGTACGTGAAGAGAATCGGCTCCCCGGACACAAAAGTCATTGGCGTCGAGACCGTCGATGGTGACGCGATGGCACGTAGCCTGGAGAAGGGCGAGAGAGTGACGCTGGAAGAGGTCGGACCATTCAGCGACGGCACGGCCGTGAAGATAGTCGGTGCAGAGCCGTTTAGGATCTGCAAGCAACTGCTCGACGAGATCGTGAAGACAGACAACGATGAGATCTGTGCTGCCATCAAGGATGTCTTCGAGGGTGAGTATGCCCTCGAATATCTATGTATGTGCACTCAATATGGTCTCGCAGAAACGCGCTCCATTACCGAGCCAGCGGGGGCATTAGCACTGGCAGGTCTCAAAAGATATATTCTCAACAATCAGCTGGTCGGCGCACAAAAGAAGTTCGTCGCGGTAGTGAGCGGTGCAAACATGAACTTCGACCGGCTACGCTTTGTCGCCGAGCGTGCTGAGCTCGGTGAGGGGCGCGAAGCGTTGCTCAGCGTCGAGATGCCCGAGAAACCGGGAAGGTATGCGGCGTTCTCAAGCGTACCGTATCCCGCGCTTACCACTGCCTCCCAGTTTCATCAAGTTGCACAACATCATCCACCCGCGCGCGACGACCGAGTTTATCTACCGCTACAGCAACCCGGAGCGGGCGCACATCTTCATCTCATTCAAGCTAGAGACCAACCTTCGCGAGAAGGAGGTCGGCGATGTACTTGCAGCGCTGGATAAACAGGATATGAAGGGGTTCGATATAAGCGACGACGAGATGGCCAAGACACATACGCGCTATATGATCGGCGGCTGTCAGAACGTGCCCAACGAGCGATTGTTCCGATTCGGTGAGCGGTTTGCACCGACTTAAGCGTCTCTGTCTGAGATGGTAATGGTGCCGCAGAGTTCCCCGAAAGACCAGGCGCACTGCGGAAGTTCTTGCTCGGCCTCCAATCTGACTGGAACATCTCGCTGTTCCACTACCGAAATCACGGCGCAGGTGCGTCGCTACTGCTTTTGTTTGACCTTGTTCGCTCAGCGACAACTTGCATCAGACCTTGGAAAAGTCCTCGCCGCCATCCAGGTGCCTCCAAGCGACGCGAAGGAATTCAATGGCTTTTTGAACAACCTGGGATATCCATACGTAGAAGAGACCGAGAACGAGGTGTACAAACGCTATTTGAGGTGCTAATACGTTTTGCCGCGTACATGCAAAACTCGTCTATGAATTGCCTCCGATGGTAGCCCTGTTGGATATTAAGATCTTGACTCGATTATCCCATCACGCGGCAACAAGTGTTTTACATGCTCAGGTCGGGAACACTGTTAGCATATCCAGCAGTGACAGAAACGTACGTATTGTTAGTAATACCGAAGTGATCCTCTGTAGGCCGAAGCCAAGTGCCCCAAAGCAAACACCTGAACGATCCGCTCCGAGGACCGAGCATCCTATCATGGGTTGGTAATGACAGATCGAATATGTATCCTTGCCACTCCCTTGGGCTTTGCGTGATTATCCGTTCAAATGTGAAACACGCGCGCTCGAGTGCAGCTTCCGCACAAACCTTGTACGCAGATACGAGGACACGGAGCAGAATTAGTTAGCAATCCGACAGCCGAGGTTCTCTGGCAGTATTCACTTAGTAGAAATGGGAATTGTACGTTGTGTCAGTCTGTGTTGTATCACAGATATAACCCGGTGTCTCCACAAGGCACCCTGAGAAAGTAGATGCGATGAAAGAGAAGCAAAGCTCCTGGGTCGCGAGCGGCTTGGAACTCGAGACCAGCGTGGCTATGCTCAAAGATCTCTTATGACATAAACATGGGTCGATGAACGAATAGGCAGATACCCATGCATTCCGGTGTTAGAGTATCACACAGCTTTGGTCTATCAGAATATCCCAATGTAGCGCTGACGGCAGCTCATGCGGTCCTTGAGGTGCCCAATAGCGGCCACATCACGTTCGTGATTATACAGGGTTATCTGTTCCATGAATGCGAGGAGTCCCACTGCGATTGAGCGATTATAGTATCTGCATCACAGCGGCTGTCAAGAGATGATGAAAACAACGTACAGGAGAAGCGAGTCTTGCGACCGGTATCTCAGTGCGAGTCTCCCTTCGCCTTCAGAACCATGTTGTCCACTACCACATACGTGGTAAAGGCCACGACGGCGACTCCAAAGCCAGGAAAGAGGTTGCTGAACATCGCACGCCGGGAGAAGACCGGGTGCCTGCGCCAAGCCTCCCTCTTCGCCCAAGGGTCGCGATACATTGGGGGAGTCGGCGGAGGGTTTGCCATCTACCAGAAGGGCGTCAGCGACGACAGAGACAATGAACAGAAGGAGCTGTACATGGACGTGAATTGAGCGAGCTGGAAATGGCTCGCATGGGCGGATAGGCGCGCGCCACAGCGTGGGTTTAGGGCAGGCCATCTGTCACTTCAACTTTTGGGGCCGAACGGAGCTATATACTCTCAGCCTTCTGTCCCAAGCTTGTTCTTGCTCGCTCCCCTCACTCTTCCTAGGGTTTGAAGTTAACTAGACGTGTAAATCATGGCTGTCGATGTTTCTATGTCCTCTGACGACGACAAGCCTCTCGTGTCCAAGTCGGGCCCGAGCATTCAGAATGGCCATTCTCAGAACGGCCACGTCGTGTCCAACGGCAACGGACACGCTGCTGACGATTCATCTTTGAGTGAGGACGATGATATGCCGCTTGTAAGCTTGTTCCTCGTGTTTCACACTGTTGTGTACCTAATTGTGGTATTCATGGCTTATAGTCCCAAGTCTCTCGTGTAAAATCCGAGCCCATGACTCCAGTGCGCGCCATCAAGCGCAAGAAGATCCAGTCTGATACCTCCTCTAGTGACGAGGAGACGCCTCTTGCATCTTCACCTGCCAAGCGCACCGCTTCGGGCGCCGTTCGCATGAATGGCGCACTCGAGGCAACAACGACCTCCAACGGGAAGCGCAAAGCCCCCATTAAACGTTCCGGCTCGGGTGACAAGGATTCTGAGGATGATGCTCCAATAGCGAAGGGCAAGCGCGTCGCGAATGGGAAGGCGCCGCGTAAGCCGCCCAAGAAGAAGGTCAAGGAGGACAACGATTACTCAGGCGGTGGCGAGGGCTCAGACGACGACAAGCCGATTGCAAGAAAGGCGCCATCGCGCGTCAAGCGCAAGTTGAAGGAAGAGAGTGACGCTGACGACGAGACCCCCTCAGATGATGACAAGCCCTTGAAGAGAGCACCCGCAAAGAAGACACCAGCGAAGCGAGCAAAGAAGGAGAAGAATGGTTCTGAGGCGCCATTGGACAAGAAAAACGGCAAGGCAAAGAGCGAGGGCAGCGAGGAGCCTGCGAAAAAAGGCAGAAAGAAGAAGGAGGAAGAGGATGCAGATGTCTTCCGCTGGTGGGAGCAGCAGGACCCCGATGGAGACGGTACGCAGAAATGGCAGACTCTGGAGCATAATGGTGTCTACTTCCCGCCGCCTTACGAGCCTCTCCCGCGTCACGTAAAGATGAAGTATAATGGTAAGCTCTAGACCTTACTATGGGAAACCGGGATTGACTGTGGCGAGCTACCGTAGGTAAACCGGTCGACCTGCCTTTGGAAACTGAGGAGGTCGCTGGCTTCTATGCCGCACTCCTCGAGACTGATCATGCGAAGGACAAGACATTCAATAAGAACTTCTTCGACGATTGGAAGAAAGTTCTCAAGAAATACCCTCCTGTGCGTGTCCATGTCTCTTTCACTTCAATCCGGTGCTCATTAGTTATTGCACTCCTAGCGTGATAGCACGAAGATTACTGAATTCAACCTATGCGATTTCAGGCCAATGTACGAGCACTTTGAAGCTGAGAAAGCGAAGAAGAAAGCAATGACCACGGCGGAGAAGAAGGAAGCTAAGGCGGCGAAAGATACGCTAGAGGCTCCATTCACCCATTGTGTACTCGACGGACGTAAAGAGAAGGTGGGCAACTTCCGAGTAGAACCTCCGGGCCTCTTTAGAGGTCGAGGAGACCATCCGAAGAAGGGTTCCCTGAAGGTAGTATATTGCGGTATGTCGAAATGGCACATGTTGATGTATGCGGGTCTATGCAGTACCGAGTGCGACCCGAGGACATCACGATCAATATTGGTGAGGGCGTACCCACACCAAAGCCGAATATGCCAGGGAAATGGAAGGAGGTCATACACGACAACACTGTGACTTGGCTCGCGACCTGGACTGAGAACGTCAACGGCAATCACAAGTACGTGTTCTTGGCCGCAGGCAGCTCGCTCAAGGGCCAGAGCGACATGCAGAAGTTCGAAAAGGCGCGCGAGCTCAAGGTCGGTCTCGCTTGTCTTCGCGGCAGTGCGCGGACTCATGCTCGCTTCAACAGAGCCATGTCGATCGCATTCGCCAAGACTATACTGCCGACCTCAAGAATAAGCTCATGGCCGACCGTCAACGAGCGACGGCAATGTACTTCATCGACCGATTGGCTCTTCGTGCTGGTAATGAGAAGGGCGAGGACGAAGCCGATACTGTGGGCTGTTGCTCGCTCCGGTGCGAACACGTTACGTTGCTACCACCAAACCAGCTCGTTTTCGACTTCCTTGGTAAAGATTCCATACGCTACTACAATCAGGTTACCGTCGACGATCAGGTCTACAAGAACATCAAGCTGTTCAAGTCCAGCAAGGAGGATGATGACGACCTATTTGATCGCGTCTCGGTAGGCTTCTCCCGCGTGGCGCTGAAAGATCCTACTCAGTATTGTTATCTCAGACTTCCTCCCTTAATAAGCACCTTGCGTCGTATATGAAGGGCCTAACCGCGAAAGTGTTCCGTACGTACAACGCTTCAATCACGTTCCAGCAGCAATTGGATATGGGCACGCCGGAGAAGGGGACCGTCCAGGAGAAGCTCAATGCGTACAATCACGCCAACCGTATGGTCGCTATTCTTTGTAACCATCAAAGGGCTGTTCCCAAGACGCATGAGCAGTCGATGGGAAAAATGCGCGACAAGGTGGGAGTTTTCGTAGTGACATAATCACCTTACTGACGCACTGTGATGTAGCTTCGCGGTCTCAAATACGAGCGAATGAAGCTTCGTCATACTCTGTTCGCCATCGACTCCAAGTACAAGAAGAAGAAGCAGTATGCAGAAGACGAGTCCGATCTGGACGACGACGCTATCGCCGAACACGAGGACCAGTTAAAGGTGAAGGAACTTGAGCGGGTGGAGAAGAAATTCAACAAGGACAACGAGAAGCTGGCTGAAGATGGCAAGGACCCTTTGGACGACTCCGTCCTCAAGGACAAGCGTAAAGAGGTCGAGGAAGACTTCAAAAGACTGAAGAAGGAACGTGGCACAGGCAAGGCCGTCCTGAAGCGTGAGCGACCCACGGAGAAGATTGAAGAGGCCATTGAGAAGCTAGACGAGAGGATCAAGACCTTCAAACTGCAAATGGAGGACCGCGAAGCGGGAAAGGAGGTCGCTCTAGGGACGAGGTAAGGTGTTGGGCTCGAAGTTTCACGCTTAATCGTAGGCTGATTTGCGGGTCACAGTAAAATTAACTATCTCGATCCAAGGTACGTCTCTGTTCCAGTGTAGCATCTACGTCTGCTCACTCCCGAGCAGAATCACTGCTGCGTGGTGCAAGACCCACGGCGTTCCCGTAGAGAAGATTTTCTCCAAAACGCTTCTGACGAAATGTAGGTACTGTCGTCGCTGCTTGACTCTTGGTGCTGACGGTGCTTCGCAGTCCCATGGGCTATGGAAGTAGATCTGGACTGGAAGTTCTGAACACCTAAGGGATCTCAAGGAGTATATTCACACATCGCATTGTCATTCAGCACATCTTTATTTTGGGACGACCACGGACGTGTTCTATATACTAGTCACCCGCGCATTGTTCTGCAGCATATTGCATCGTTTGCATGTGATCCCGTTGTATCTGTTATTCTTGTTATCGTATGCCAATGCTCAGGCACATTCCATAGACATTTGTGTGTTTCCTGCGGTCCGTTCCACTTAAGAGTTCATCCCGTCGTGACGACTGTGAGAGCAGGCCTATCCATATTCACGTGCACCGCGTACTCCTACGCGCGTGCAGTGTCGATGTCATACGTTCTCTCGTCCTTTCCTGCCAGCTCATCCTTTACTTCCACGGCCGCCATGACCTCCAGGATTCAAACTAACCCCCCGACGTGGACGTCGCGTACAGCGTTCGACGCGCTCGGCGTCGAATCAGGAGAGGAGAGCGAGGAGGAGGTCGTGGAGGTGTCACCGTCAGCGCCAGAGAGGTATGAGCAACCCGGCTTCAAACGGAGGCTAGTAAATTTGAAACTTATATAGTGGATCGGAAACACCGTCAAAACCATCCAAGTCAGCCTTGAAGAAGGCCAAGGAGGCAGCACGTCTGGAGCGACAGCAGCAGCGCAAAGCGGCGGCGCGCGCCTCGAAGGTGCATAGCGCTGGACAGTCACCGGTATTGGAGAGTCCATCTCTTGTGACCGCATCTACCAGCCAAAAGCCAGCAGTACATCATGATAATGCAAATCCGAACGGCGAGCCTCAAACGACAGCTCCCGCGAACGGTTCGAATGTCCACGACGAACCGCCACCGCTAGAAGACTCCCCTGTATTCGATGCACCTGCTGTCCCGGCCCCCACAATCTCAACAACACCCCGACCGCAGCCGTCAAATGGGCAAGCATCACAGACCGAGAAGGCTACGATTGACGAGCCTAAGACGCAGACCCCTCCCGAAATGGCCCCGCCCAATACAGCTAAGACGATCAATGGCCACACGGAGAAGGCCAACGGTGATGTAGGCGGTGCGCTCGAGAAGCAAGATGCACAAGTGAATGGGGAGCAAGTCAAGAAGCGTCGAAATATGCTGACGAGGACGTTATGGACGTTCATTATGATCGGCGTATTCCTCAGTGCGTCTGGTTCTATTGCATGGACAGTCAAACGGACTGACAGTGTTATGCTTACTAGCGCTGTTGCTCATGGGACATGCATATATGGTCGTACTTGTCATGATCTGCCAAACGCTGGTATACCGCGAGGTCACGGCACTCTTCTCGCTCAAGAAGAGCGACGTGGGTGACACGGAATCGAGGGGACGGGACCCATGGAGCAAGACTCTCAACTGGTATTTCTTTGCCATCACGAACTACTTCTTGTACGGGGAGAGCATCATTTACTACTTCAAGGTATGTCCTCACGTCATTGTGTGTCGTTCTGTATCTAAATATATGCAGCATGTCGTTTTCGCAGATGCGAACCTGACGCTTTTCGCTACGAATCATCGCATAGTCAGCTTCACCTTGTACACCATCGGCTTCGTCGGGTTCGTTCTCTCCTTGAAGAGGGGCTACTTAAAGCAGCAATTTGGACTGTTCTGCTGGGTGCATATGACGCTCATGCTGATTGTCGTGTCAAGGTGTGCTCGCTCGTCTTCACTGTTTACATTCACTTGAACGCACATTCTAGTCACTTCATCGTGAACAACATCCTCGAGGGCATGATCTGGTTCTGGGTCCCTGCTTCCCTCGTCATCTGCAATGACGTATTTGCATATATTTGGGGCATCACTCTCGGGCGTACGCCGCTTATCAAGCTGTCACCGAAGAAAACTGTCGAAGGTTTCGTCGGCGCGTTCTTCAGCACGGTCATTTTCGGCGTGCTGTGGGGCACGTTCTTCATGCGCTATGATTACATGATCTGCCCTGTGCACGATCTTGGCGTCAGCGCATGGAGCGAGACACTGCAATGCGACCCGAACCCTATATTCTTGTGGAGGGACTATGTGTTGCCTCTACCCGCGCGGTCGCTCTTGTCAACTCTGGTGAGTATGCATCGTGATGCTAATGTTCTCCAGCTCACGCTATTTGTTGTCTCAAGTTCGGCCTTGACATCACGAAGTTCTCGTATGCGCCTTATCAGTACCACCTCCTTTTCATGTCCTGCTTTGCATCACTTGTTGCGCCCTTTGGTGGTTTCTTCGCTTCCGGATTCAAGCGCGCATTTAACATTAAGGACTTCGGCCACAGTATTCCGGGCCACGGCGGTATGACAGATCGCATGGACTGCCAGTATGTTTATTGCCAATCAGCTTCTCATGTGCTACTAAACGACCTGCCCTCAGGTTCCTCATGGGTGTCTTCACCTATGTTTACTACAGCAGCCTCATCAGGCAGCACCACGTATCTGTTGGCTCCTTACTCCAGATGATCGTGAGCGGCCTCACGCCGGAACAGCAGCTGGAGCTCATGTCGGACCTGAAGAGATACCTGGAGGGTCAGGGAATCGCAGTCAATATTTGAGTGTTGAGATATAATACAAAAATACTGGATCTTGCGGAGGATTGTCTTCCTTTGCTATAATGACAATGTCCGGTCTCGACTTATATTATCCTCACGTATTCTTAGTCCGACTGTGCTCATTACTGCTTACTTCAACGCTGCCAATAATGACAATTGTTTTCGCGCTTTGCATACTAGTGGGGCCTGCAACACAAGTGCTTTGTAGATCGTCGATCATTCGGATGGACATAGCGCGTCATGTTATGGCAAGCATAAAGAATGATATGCTGGGAGTCCGGCAACATTTGCGATGGTGTCCGTTTGGCATATGATTCATTAACGAAAACATACTGTCGCATACAGAGTACAAGCATGTGATACCGGCAGGACGAATGGCAGAGCGTTCATTACAGAGAGGGGGGGAGGGAAGACGGTGGCTGTTTATGACCTAGGCTTCTCCTGTCGACGATAAGGGGCGTCATCAGGAGGCATTACCATTACAACGACAGTACGAAGACAAACCTTCTTCTCCTTCCATAGCGCAAGCAGGCCGACACCAGACACCTTCACGACCTTGAAGCGGACACCAGGAATGTCACCCTTGGCCTTACCACGGCGACCGAAACCGGAAATGAGGACCTCGTCGTTGTCATCGACAAAGTTCAAGCAACCGTCGTTCTGTAATCATAGATAGCATTAGTACAGATGGCCGTGTCACTCGGGGAAACCCTGGCCCGCCTGGACTGGACAAGACCAAACCAGGCTGGCCCTAAATGATTATCGCAAGCGCGAATGAACGTACCGGCACGAACGCGGTGACCTTCTTTCCATTCTTGATCAGCTGCACCCGGACACACTTCCGGATAGCAGAGTTGGGCTGCTTAGCCTCAACACCGATCTTCTCGAGCACAATGCCCTTCGCGTGCGACGACCCTCCCGTCGGCGAGGTCTTGTAGATGTTGCCTAGGGCGCGCTTTTTGTAGGCCTTATCCGCCTGTTGGTCGCCAACCAGACGTAGTCTCGTTCAATGACTCTTCAGTAAAGCAAGTAAGTCAAGCCGACGCACCCAGCGGTTCTCGCGGCGATCATTGCGCAGCTTGCGCGCGGCTTGCAATCCACGGGGTTTGTTGGCTAGGAGAAACCATCAGAGACGTTATTCCAACAGAAAGCGAGCAGCAAGGCGACGTACAGCCCATTCTTGAGGATGTGGTCGGCGGTGTGAGGAGAGCGAGCCTATGGCGGAGATCGAAACCTAAGATCAAAACTGTTACAGTATCTGATACTTTCCCAGCACGTGATGAATGCGCTCATGTGAGACGCGTCGCGTCTAATTCGAATCGCGCCTCAATATTTGTCTCAGTTTCAGCTGCTCAAATAGCAACCCACACGTTCCCCTTATGGCAGTCGAAGAGCACAAATAAACATTTTGGCACAACCGCTTTCACCCTGGCGCCTTTTGTACGCCATTGAAACCAGCTAGAGAGCCCAAAACCATGGTATGCAAGAGTACAATCGGTAAATTATATCACGAAAGTCCAATAACTTCAAATATTCAACTGTCTACCATGACTGAGAGACGGACTATCTAGCGCTCAATCCTAAAAAGACAATATAAGAGTTTGTTGAAAACCTGTTAGCAAACGCATTACTTATGTCAGTCGACTATAGTAGTTAGAAATAGATTAGCGGTGTATGTAAATGCATACATTGATGTTGCTAGTCCCATCGTTAAAACTGCCATTATTACAAAGATGATATGAACCAAAAATCCGACAACTGTCAATTATTGCTATATATCAAAACTCGGCCATGCTTGTGCCATCAATAGCGAGTTTAGGGGCAGCGAGCGGCGCCCAGCGCACGATCCCAAGATATTCTCACGGCACTTCAAGCTTCAAGACCTGCAGTTGAACTGATTGAGGTATGGTTGAGTTGCAGACTGAAGGCGCGGTAATAGAATCTAGACTCCAGAGCGCGCGATGTTTTCGACGTTCGTGAGACGTCGTGGGAATTTATGTGACTTTGAACATCATACACTTTGAACGTCATATTATGCATTTCAACCACCATACCGCTACAATTACAACTCAAACATTCCCTTCTGACGGCAGCATATCTTTGGAAAGAAGATGATCAGTTCTGTGTGAAGACCCGTTGCATGAGAGCGCTGCACTTGATCATCATGTGCACATAGTCCTCCTACTAAGCACTCACACGGATGTCCATCCGAACCGTCTCTCTTATCTTGTGTATTTTGCTTCAATAATGGGGCTTTCTACTCACCCTCCCGTAACATCACTGCGAGTGCTATGGCTCTACGCTCAGGGATACAACTATATCGCCATGGACGCTTCCCCGTTGCGGGTGGCGTTCTCCCTGATGCTTTCACAGCCTATGAGACATTCGGGGATCCCAAGAACCGTTGCATAATATTTCCGACCTGCTACGGAGGACGTTTAGATAGTGAGTGAATGGTCAAGGCTTACATACTAGCGGCGGTGGTCAGTGATTAAACCCAGACGTGGGCTTGTTAGGCCAAGACTATATGATTGGCGAAAACAAGGTATTATATTGAGAAGGACTCGCAAAGAAGAGCTTTATTAACTCATGGCTGCAGGCGTTGGATCCGACGAAATACTATATCGTTACTCTTGCCTTGTTCTCGAACGGAGAGGTGCGAGACAAAGGCTATCCAGCATCCGTTACTAACATCTCGTCTTACGTATCCAGTCCTCATCTCCGTCGAACACGGTATACATCTCCATTTACCTGTCAATGTGGCCGCTTTAACGTTTGTCTTGTCTGAAAGCCTGTACCATACAATGGCCCATACTTCCCTGGCGTTTCCTACGAGGACAACATGTCAGTCCCCCGCGATCGTTCACAATTGAAAGCTGAGATTCCATTTCCACACCTTCAGCCGCGCCCAGTATGCCGTCTTAACAAAGGGGCTTGGCATTACCAAAGCCTACTGCGTCATTGGCTTTTCAATGGGCGCACAGCAGGTATTAACACGAAACCACCGTTTCACAAGTGCACTTCGAGCTTACTGTTGACAGGCATATTATTGGCCTGTGATGTATCCAGATTTTGTCGAAAAGTATGACGTTCGTTGAGCTGAGGTGGGCATGTGCTGATGGCCCATAGATTCATATCCATTTGTGGGTCCGCTCGCACCAGCGTCCATAATAAGTGGTTGGTGGCGACAAGACGCACTCCTTACGTGAAGCTGATCATTCGCAGTTTCCTGGAAGGCCCCAAGGCAGCCCTTGTAGCGTCTAAAGACTTCGATAACGGACACTACAAGACTCAACCCTACATTGGCATCCGCGCCTTCGGGCGGGTCTACTCTGCATGGGCCTACGGACAGGCTGTCAGTAGCTGCTCATAGCACTGGTGCTCCAATCTAAATTCGATATCCTTCCTAGTGGTTCCGTCAGCACGGTCACCTCTACGACGGAAAGTATTCCTCCCTGGACGACTTCCTCCGCTCGGACTGGGAAGGCGGCTTCCTCGATTGGGACGCTAACGACCTCCTCACGCTCTTGAAAACGTGGCAAACGGGCGACATCACCCTCGCCAATGGCCCAGGTGCAGGAGATTTCGCGAAATCCCTTTCGGGCATCACGGCCAGGGGGTTGATAATGCCCTGCAAGACGGACCTGTACTTCCCTGTGAGCTTCTAGCGTCTGATGCGGTACGCATGTGTTGATGGAGGGACGGATAGCCGGAGGACAGTGAGATAGAAGTCTCGCTTATGACTAACGGATCGAAGCTCGTGGTGATCCCTTCAGTGTGGGGCCATATGGGTGCGTGTTAGTCTGCCTGGGTGTATCAGGGTGTATCAGTCAGCGACAATCCCCAACTGATATCGTGACATCGCGTTGTAGCCGGGGGCGGTGCTAATGACGCGGACGACGCATTTATCGAAGCGGAAGTGAGGGGATTCCTGGAAGAAATATAACCAGTCGATACAAGGCCACCATTGATCCAAAATTTTGAGCTATGCCGTACTATTTACGATGAACGCGAATCATATTATGATTATGATCCGACGTTGTACGTCACACCCGACAATTTCATACAGACCGACGCAAGTATGACCAAGATACTTTACAACCATTGTGCCAATTACTAAGACCTGTCTCCGCTAACGATACAACACCATTCGATAAGACTTACAATACCTGACTGTCTTCCGCGTCAGCGCATTCGTCAAACACCGTATCCCGTTAAAAGTACGACCCTGCCCCTGCGTACGAACTTCCAGACCGAGGACTGACATGTGAGTCCTCCGGTTGGGGATGAGAAACATCCCCTCCCACGAGCGTTGCCGTCTCGCTCTGATCGCCCATGCTGGACGCAAGCTCCAAGGCCTCCGCTTGACGCCGAGTGTCCTCAATCGAGCCTGGACCGAACGCAGGGATTGGCTTCGAGTAAATCTTTGAAGCTACCGCTGCTCGTCCAGCAGGGATGGATGCTTGAAGATCAGATTGCGGTGGAACGGGTTGAAACGAGACCTAACGATGCGCCCAGGCATCAGCGATTGGCTTAGGATGACGAGTGCGTGAAACCCACTGTGTCGTTCATGTTCTTGTATCCCTTCAGGAAGACGTTTACGCTCTCCAGCTCTTCGACGACTTTCTCTCTCCGGCGTTCACGCATCTCTTTCTCCCTGTCCGTCGCCATCACGCCTGGCTGCTTCTTCAACTCTTCTAGATCTTTCTTCGCCCAAGTCAAAAATCCTACGGCGATGCCGCCTCTCGCTGTCCCTCCACTCTCACCAGCATCGACACCGAGCCATTTTCGTGCGAGTGCCGCGTGGAAGTCGGCCTCCTCCGAGAGGTACCTGCGCAGCTCAGGAGAAACCTCCTCACCACCTTCATCTCTGGGAGTCTGGTTTCTGTCCTTACCAAGGGAGAGCTTTATCTTCGATTTGGACGAGTTGCGATAATCCCCAGGTGTCTTCGCGAGCGACCGCGCAGAAGAATAGAGGGCAGAACATTCCAGATGTAGCTTGGCAATAAGAATCGGAGAGGGATGAGACTTGGGTAGTGGAGGACCGGGCGTTACAGTATTGTCGAACGCAGCCTTCGAGAGCAACTTCCGAATGGCAAGTGTCTGTGCATCCGCGAGGGCCATTCTAGAGAATATTGAGGTCAGGACGTTGAAAGAGCACGTCGAACGGATGACATACTTGCTCAACGCGATCACGACTTCCCGACTGAGATCTGGCGGGCGCGGGCATGTGAGTCCAGCAGCGACGACACGATCGCGCTCGAGCTCCCATTCATGAATGCAATCCTTCCCAATATACTCAAACAGGCCTGCGGCTTTGCATAGCAGCGTGACGGCAAACCCAAGGCGCTCATCCTTGGCTTTCCTCTCTGCGTCCGAGATAGCACGATCTCGCTCGTACGCACCCAGGGAATGGATGACAGCGCGAGCGAGGTTGGACAGTGCGAACCCATAGGTAAGTTGGGTAAAGCATAACTCAGTGGCTATGGTGGGAATAGATAAACGGGGAGAGTTGTGGAACAGCGTCGAGGAGAGGGTAGTCCTCCAACTGAAGACTAAGAAGTTATATCGTTGGCGACGGCTACATCACTATAAGAGATACCCACTAGGTTCGGTCTTGAGCATGAGCTCCCCATGGTGGACGCAAGTCATAATCGCGTACAAATAGGGAAGATAGTCATCTAAGACCTAGTAGTTCCATAATCAGCTCAAAGACATGGTGTGAACTGTATTGCAGATGTCACCGCACTCACCTTGACAAGCTTCAGGTAGTCCTTTCCTCCGTCATCTGCACGCTTGCTCTCTTTCAGTGCAGCGCGCAAGTTAGCGCGAGTCTCTGTAGCATCGGCAATCGCGGTTGTATAGGAGACCGTTGGGTCCTCACATACTCCAGCGAAGAATACAGCCCCCGTGGTCGGCAGTTCATACAAGTAGGTGGACATGAGAGAAGAGCATAAACGCGGGTTTCGTGAGACAAGCGCCAATAAGAACACTTAATTTAGCAGGGGCAGGCGGCACGGAGGAAATTGACGAAATGTGATTTGCCTGCCCCCATGCACGATGGCCTCACAATCCTCCGAGGTTCTCCTCGCCAGCCTGCACAGCGACAGCCATCTGCTGTCCTTTCTCTCATCAGTCGTCGCAGGGACTAGATATCATCAGATCTCTCCATCGAAATCGCCCACCCGAAAGCTTTCCTCGTCGACAGGCTGCAGATAGATGGATGCCGCACGATCTGCTCCAAATCTCAGGGAGACCGGCATCTGTGACTTGCCCTACGACATTCTATTCGAGCTTGTGCACTATCTGGCTGCACAAGACATGTCATATCTGCTCAGCACCTGCAGAACACTGCACAAGTATCTGCATGAAATATCCTTGTGGCAGCATTTCTCTGCGAGGTATGGCTTGCGGGATTTGAGTCACTTCCACGGGCTATCCTTCTACACCGTGTACACACAGCTCCTTCACGCGTATGCGCCTCTGTGTGGGCTCTGGGCAAGCGATCATCCCTATCGAGGCAATATTATGGAGTTCCGTCTCACAGTCGACGAGGACTATGCGGGGATTGTCGGAGAGAGCTGGGTCTTTCCCGATTCTTCATCCCCCGACACACGTTTACTCCGCCCACAATACATGCCTGTGGTCACCATCGGTTTCCAGCCACCGCCAAGATGCATGGCGGACAAGGGATCGAACGGATCCGGGACCGTTTCGGTATACTGCGATCTAGCGCACCCATCGAATGCAGACATAGATTCCTGCCATTTGTCTCGTATAGAAGTCTTGTCTTCTACTCAAGATGGCTACTTTATGCAGAATTACCGTCGGTCATTCCCGCATCCCGACTTTCCATGGGAGGGCGCGAGTTGGTATGAGGGCGAACGCGGGATGCCCCGCTTGAAGATCTCCACCCCAGTGTCTGTTGATCAGCACGAGCTCGTCCGCATCTATCCTGCTGTCCGCCTACCCCTCGTCTTCAGCACGCCCACAAAGCATCTCAAACCTCCCGCGATCTCCATCACATGCCCACATAAAGATTTCCGGGGTAGCTTCGAGCCACCTATACCCTTTGAGGACCTCACCCCCGCGCCTCCGCGATATTATCCATTGAAGTGCGAAATTCGCATTGGCATCGATCCCGAAAGCGACGAGTGGAAGCCTGAGTCACTTGTAGGGCTCTGGATTGGCGACTACGGGCCGAATGGTTTGGAGGTCTTGTACCTGTCCTGGCATCCTGATGCCATGGAGGTCCACGCGCATAAGATCACCGGAGATATTCACGTTCCCCGTGGAGTGTGTTCTTGGAAATTACAGGTGTCCTCCGAGGGAGTTGTTCACTTGGGCTTCGATATACCTGCTCGGCGAGTGTTTGCGGGGGCGGGCACGGTCAGTGACCGTGGGTTCCCGTACGTATTACTGTGTTGGTGCGCGATCCCGGTAGCTCATCTTATAAACTTATCAACAGGAGGCCGGAGCACTTGCCAGTCCTCATCGGCGTTGTAGGACCTGACAAGATTAGCGTTTGGTGGGGACCGCTGAATCATTTCCAGTCCTACGTTCGTTATAAGGGACGTGAGGATGCGTAGCGGAGGCGAATGCGGAGGCCTTCGCAGGGACGTTCTGCCGGTGTCTGGTGTTATGTTATGTCAAATGACGCTCTCCCTCTCATATCTTATTGCAGCATGAGTATAGCAGCACATTCATGGAATTCAGGCTTGGTTAGCCGATGTACAGTATACCAAGAAGGCCCGTGATTGTACAATGCAGAATGACATCGCGAGTGATCGCGAACGGGCATGGGGGTGGGGTAAGCAAGGAGTGTGGTACACCATCCTAAGGGACTGAGATAATTTAGGGATGCAATGCGTTAGATGTACAATGAATGAGAAGCGAAAACGGGAAGCGAGTATCCGCTGATATTCAAGCAACACTGGGGATAAATCAAGACTTGGAGACCAAACGAAAGCCAAGAAGAATCGTCCTATCGATGCCTGCCTAAACTAAAGCTAAATCCTGTTCGATGTCCCAAGCTGGAGGTGGCTGGCGTGCCCGACGTGCTAGGACCGGGTTCTGGAGGCGCAGGCGGGCTGCTCGGGACAGTCGCAGTCGTCGGCGTGACAGCTGGCGTGCTAGCGGTTGAATCCGTCACAGGAAGGCCCATGAGCTTCTGCACAATGGTCGATCGTATGACCTGGGAACCGTCGCGCGTATGCGTGCCCGCTATCAGCGACGAAGGCGATGAAGAGGAGGACATCACGGGTAGCGGCGGATGCGGGGGATGGGGGTTGCTGCTCCTGATTGCGCTCGTCCGGCGAGACTCCGTTACATGCGACATCGCCGAATGAACCGAGTGTCGGAAATGGATCTCGGACATGGTCAGCGGGAGCGAGTCGGTGGGAGATGGCATGCCCATTTGATCGGGGTCGGTTTCTGAGACGAACGAGACGTCTCGTGGATGCACATCCGACGGTATCGCGACAGGTGGTGGAAGAGGAACGACCCGGAGGGAGATGTCAGGGGTCAGGGACGGACGACTGGCTGTGGGCCCGCCGCCTACCGTCATAGACAGCCCCAATGACATGCGCCGCTCTGGCGGGGCTGTGCTGTTGGTGCTGCGCTCGCTGCCCGTGTTGCGCCGTGATTTGCGGCTGGAGCGAGTCGAGTTGGAGCGAGAGTTGGAAGCAGACCGACGAAGCGAGCGTGAGCGGCCGCCCGACACCGAGCTCGAAGACGAGGATGAGAAGTCAAGGAAGGAGAGGAATGTGGACGGCCGCGATTCCCCGGATGGGCCTGCTCCATTCTCATCCTCCGCGTCTCTGCTGCGAGACAGAGCCTGCATGAGAGAGTGGGGCAATGACAGACCGCCGGCACTCAGGTATCTCTCCGTGCGCCTTTCCGGCCGCCGCTGTTCCTGCGCGAACTCGACTCTGAGCGCAGGTATGTCATCTTCCCCCTCATCCTCGGACATTGGCGAAATAGCTTCCGACAACAAAATCCCTCGACTGCTATCCCGCCCGTGCATGTCTCGCGGCCCTCGGGGGCGCGCACTTCGTAGCGATGTGGAAGGGGCGACGCGAGGAACGGTCGAGATCTGCGACATCAAAGAGAGAGGCTGTGGAGTTGAGGGGAACGGATGGGGCGGATACTCGAGCGGCGTCGAGGACAGCTCGGGAAGCTCGATAGAAAAGCTCCCGTCAGAATTTTGTGACGCGTGTCGGGGACGGGTGACCGCCTTCCCCTTCGCCTGCCCTCTCTCCACGCCCCCTTCCATCTTCTCGTCGTCGTCACGGTACATGCCGATGTTGAGCACCCCTGTCCGTGACCGCCTCCGACCGTCCTCCCACATGTCGTGCTTCTCGGTGCCGGCCCCTGGTCCATGCGCGTACTCGGGCTGCGTCGATCCAGGACCGAACCATCTTCGCCAATTCGTCCGCCAGTAGCCTACCTGCGGGTTCTCGATGAAGCTCTGCTTTCTCCGAGTGATTCGTCTTCGCCACAACACGAGCATCGCGACGAGCCCAATGGCTGCTATCACGGCCAACGTTGCTCCTATTGTGATAGCTGCAACGGTTCCGCGAGCCAGACTTGACGAAGTCGAAGTCGCTCCTACAGGCGTGGCACTGTAGCAAACGTCTCACATTGTCAGCATGCAAAGACCAGGCGATGAGGAGGCAAAATGAGCCCAGCGATACACCGCTGGCGGCCAACGGAGACTTGGGGAGGAAAGTTAAACACTCACGCAGGTCCTGGTGGCGTTAAGGTAGTGACGTTTACCCCTCCCGCTAGCACAACTAAATAGCTGGTTTCCTCTCCAACTGCGGGTCCCGCATTAGTGATCTCCAGGGAGTGCATAGCCTCTGGATCGAGATCGGAGGCGTAGAACAGAATAGTTGGCGTGGACGCGGTGAAAGACGAGCGTGCGGACAAAGTCGAATAAGAGGTATTATCGAGCGTAATATTGTATCTTCCTGAGGACGGTGTCGTCAGACCAGCGAGAGTCACTGCCGTGCCTATGGAAGTGGGATGTGGTCAGTTTAACTAAACAAATTCGACAGTCACGTTGATGCACAGCAGGGAAGGTGGATATCCATCGCAGGGTAAAACGCGTGGCACAAGCTGACACGGGCGCACCGCGTAGCCATCCTGCAGGATACGTACGCGCTGAAATTTACGAAACATTCCACCACGAAAGGCGCTGGAGAGCGCAACGTGAGAGCCGGGCATCAGGCGGACGCGCCACTGGATATTATTACGCCAATACCACACACCGTACGCAGGCGGCCTCAAGGCGAAGGCGAGGACGCAAACAAAGGTGCCGTCCGCCGGCAGAGGCGGATCACGACGGCGACGTACGCAGCACAATAGCATTTTCAGCAACCCTGACTGATGGTGGTGTTCGCCTGCACTCTGGGCGTCTCAGCGCGCGACAGATACCGCCGGTGCGATGTCCGCTTTACGCCTTGGAGATGAGAAGCTCCGACAGTGCGCGGAACATGGACGTACCATTGAAGTTGACGTAGGCGGTGTCTCCCACACTCGTGCTCGTGTGAAATGCGGAGCTGGGAGAGTTCGGGAGGAGCCTCGGTTCGTAGGACCATTGCCCCCGGTACGAGATCAGGTTGTCGGGCACGCTGGTGGTCGTCGGTATGCTGGTGGCCGAAGGAAGTTGTGATGAAGTGGGCGTAGCTTGGCTGTCAAAATGGGTGAGCACGGCGGTCAAGCAACAGAAAAGGTGGTGTAGGAGAGGGTTGTCGTGACCCGAAGGAAAAGTGGAGCGAGCATGGGCAACAGAAGGCGACATAGTCGATACGATCATCCGGTTGGGACCGCCGTATGGAAACAGGGTGGGCTGAGGTCATCCCAAGGTCCAAAGGTGCGCTGATAAAGAGGAGCGAGGCAGGCAACGAGGTCCGGAGGAAGTGCGGAGGGAAAAGGGGGGAAACATGGGATGAGAGCTAAGTCTGCTACAGGAGAATGTGGGAGATGGGTAAAAATAGTGAAGGAGATTCCGACGAAGTGAATGAAGCAGAATACGGATAAGCCCACCTCCCAGAGCCGTCCATATCGATGACAGCGCGGTCAAATGCGACCACAGCGTCGAGGTTAGTGGTGCTAACTTTGCTTGACATCCCAGGAATATGGACAGTTAATACAACCTCGTGCGACGTGTCTGTGAGGTTCGCGAATTGCGCGAGAATGTCTGTGCTGGCAGTGTTGACAGACGGTACTTGAGATATTGAAGATAAGTAGTTTGTAGTGGAGATGCCGTCCAGCGATACCGAGTACGTGAACGCGCTCGAAGAGGGGGCAGTCACAGTACCGTGGATACTGATAGCAGTGCCTGCATGAAGCAACGAGCATGAGCGACCATTGGCTGTCAGACGACACGGATGATGTAGACAGAGCGATCTTCAATGATTGTTGATGCGCCCGACACGGTTGCGACGTGCATCATCAGCAATGATGCAGCATCAGTCAAAGCTCCATTACGGGGAAGGACGTGTGGGGTAAACGCTGCGGCCAAGTACTCTGACGCATTGTCCGTCTCGGGCCTCTTGGAAGTGAATGAGGGAACACGACAGCAGTGGACAAGATGCACAGTGCGCCTGGCAGTGGATCTGCAATTCTGCACTGACTCATGGTACATAGACTTACCGTTCCAGCGGATAGCGAATTGTGCACCGTCGTGTGCAGTCACATGCAAGCTCGTGCCGTTCCCGACGTTACTAACGCCAGAGCTCGAGGACGAGGGACCAGAGTCGGTGGAGAAGCCAGAATCAGTGTAGTATGGGCTCCATCCTGCCGTCAGATTGGGCAGTCCAAAAGTGTCGGCGAAAGGTGCGTATGCAATTGTGGGGGATGTGTCGTCGAGCGTGAGTGGAAAGACGGATTCTGCCATGGCGGCTACTTCTCCGCGCTCGATCAAGAGATCGCGAATTCCGTCAGAAGGGATTGCAGGCTAGAAGCGAGTCCCGCGAATGAAGAGTGGGCTTCCGGCGAGCTGGAGGGAGGGGGCAGCCGCCAGAACGAGCGCGGACGGGGGAGGGTGTGCAAGCTTATACCGCCCGGACCGCACCCTGTATATTGATGAGAGAGGCCGGCGGTTGTCGCTAGTTTGGTTGTCAGACTGATCTTCCGAGGGATGCCTCGAGGACCACTCTCTGAGCGCCCTCACGTGAGCGCGACTCCTTGGCGTAACCGTCGTGAAACGCAGTGTAACCCTCCGACGACCATGCACCTGGATGCACTTGCAGACTGCGCACTATTCTCTAGGCAAAAGACAGCCCGGAGGTCCCCCAATCACGCTAGCACCACGAGACACCCGCCGAGCGGTCGGCGTAAGCAAGGCGCGCGCGGGGCGATGCCGCGGGCCGTCCACAAGCTGTGCGGCGTAGCAAGTTTCACAGTTGGCCACACCCCAGCCGGAACGGTCAGCTAACGGAATAGCTCGTGTCCCCAAATGATCAATAATCGATCGCAATCTTTCATTTACGGCCATCTTCCGGAGGCCCACATCCGCATGTATGATGCGCACACGATCACATCCATATGCAATCACACAACTCAAAATCCCCAGACCGTTGAAGAAGTTATTAGAGATGTAGGTGTGTGATAGCTCTCTCTACCCCTTCTGGTTGATGCCAGACTTCGTCCGGATCACAGGCAGGTCTCCCTCGAGACTCCAATGGGCAATGTATCGGTTACGACATTCAATAGAGTACCTGATGGTGCCTATCTGTCGTCTGCGTTGGCTGGAATGAACAAAATCAGTCGGCATTGACGCGGCACTTTCATGCGTACACGAACCTTAAACCCGGGCGAGCTAGAGAGGGGTAGGCCGCCTAGGCCGACATAGCTGGCAGTACTACTTCGGCTACAAGACAAGACACAAGACATATATAGGGAGCACCGCCTCGTGGATCATGACGTATCAGAAAGCGTTCTAGATTCCGGCAGCACCCACCGCGGTGGTCCGGCATGATTCAAATCGAGCAATGCGCACGAGTGTTCCTTTTGAACAACTCAAGTCTGACTAAAATGTAGGGCTATTACTCCAGTGGTCGGCAGCACTGACGATGCGATATGCGGAGTCTGATGCGCTTTCGTCAAGACCAAACGTCCAGGACCAAGCTGATCAAGAGCGTCGGCTCGCCAAGTGGCACTGTTGGATACAATCTGTCTGTTGCGGACAGGTAAGTAATATTCTTGCGGCCTGGAACGGGACATCTGACATGACCAACACAAACCGCGTGTGTTTGTCGACGTTAGTTCGCGCAAAAATGAAGCAGGGGGGCCCACTGTCATTCTTGTATGCAGACACTGACATGGCACTGACTTTGACTACATGACAACTGCTATCGCTTGTGATTGAGTAGCAAGTGGCCTTTATGGTGGCGTACAGATAGTGCGCGTGAGTCAGCACATTAGCCTGCTGCTTTCGGCAGAAGGGGACGAGTGTCGCCACACTACTCGTGGTATAATCGGACGCAGCGTCCCACGATGCAAGCCGCGTTCACACTGGGCTCGACAGGAGTCAGCCACTGAAGCTTCTTGTGAGTGAGTTCAATTCATTGGAACGCGATACCGAAGATATGCTGGAGCCCTGAGCTCCCTTGAATAGGTTAGTGTCCATCTGCGGCGGCATAACGACCGACGTGCTCACTACGCTTCTCGTGTGGCATACGTAGAGACCAGAAGTGCACTGTCCAGTCGTTTGACATGGACGAAGAAGACCTTCGTTACTCTCATGCAATTGTACGTGGTATCAGATGTGGTCCCACAATAGAAACCCCATATTTGGCCCTGTCCAATGTGTCAATTGGTAACCGCAATAGCGCAGGCACTGCTGATCTGCTCCTGGCTCTAGTTCGACTGCTTCATGTGTATACACGCAGCGGTGTTGACCATGGTCGTGCCTTCCAAGTGTCCTGAAACTTGCGCACAATGCAGAGCATCCACTGGTATCACGAATATGATGATTATTTAGTCACCGCACTCCTAGTATGCGTACCCGCCACAGTTTTCAAGCTATAATAACGCCGCCCTTAGGTCCAAGTCCAAGTTCCAAGTTCCAAATATACAGTACCTGAGGCACATCGAGACACCGTGCCGCTGTCCACGCTGTCTCCGATGGATCGGCTTTGGACGCCAGGGTCAGGGTCCAAGACAACAGGCGCTTGCTGCTAGTGTACTGCGGAGATTCAGATTTGACAGATCGATTGATGACTCGCAGATTCACGACAACGGGCGTCGAGAGATGTAAGGTTATCGAGGGCCGATCGTCCGGAATTCCAGAAGGCTCAGGAGCGGACGCTATAGTGCTATTGTCCTGCAGAGAGTTGAGCAAGTTGAGCGGCGCTGCAGCCCTTGGTCTCAGACAAACTAGGATACGTACCTCTAGTCCAGTCTGTACTCAGGTCTTCGAGCTTCCTGCAGCAGATTGCGTGAAGATACGACGTCGGACCTGATACATCACAGTGCCGCCTGTAGGTGAATTTTTCCAACAAATTCGGTGCCATGATTTTGAGGATGTGAGCACCCCTTGCGTGCCTCGCGCGAGGGGTGGATAATAGAACCGTGTGTCTATAATGCTCAGCGCCCGACTACATCGGATTAGTTCGCTCACATGCATTCTGTTTGGATTCCCCCGTAGTGTTCGATGCGACCATCGCGCTATATTCCTGTCTCGCATCTACAGTCAGTAGGCCACCCTAACACGAATGTGATGTCTTTTTGGTACGTCCAGAGAGCTAGTTACTAGCTATCAGGAGTGACGTCCGGGTGATCCTAGTAGATGTGCTGGCCTTTGCTGAAACGATTGTGCTATGAACCCGCCTTTTCCTCTAGGGATCTAGTGGCAGTGCGCGGAGCGCGGGCCCACGTGTGCAGGACTTCGGTGGAGAAACATGAACGGCTTATACCCAAGGAAATGACTTCATAATTGAATCAGTAAGAGGAGTATACGAGTGGAGGCTGCTCGTTTCTCTGCCCATTTCACCTGCGTTGTGAAATGGCAGGCGATAGTATGCGCGCTCATCGTGCGAGCTTAGACAGGGTGTGGAATCACTGGGACAACAGGAAGTCTACCTTGCGTTTACAGATTATGCACCAAACGTTTCCATACATGTGCCTCCAATAGCAACCATCAACGCTATCCGTGAGCAAATGTAGTTTATTCCTGTTCATAACTGGCAGAAGATTGCATGAGCTTTCGGTTGGGCCCCCGGGACTGGTTGACGGAGAGGTCGCTTATGTCCCGCTGCATACTTTGATTAAGTATAAAGCGTATTTATTGCCCCCAAGGGAAATGGAGACGTGATGTAGCCTTGGAAATGCGATGTGTGAATATTTTCGCAACACTAAATGAGATTCTTCTGTCTCAGGTGACTTTTCTCGGGTTGGAACAAAGCTCCATAGTGTACGCATGCATAAGATAGAGACTATGAAGAATCTGGAGGACTCTTTGGAGCCCTGTGAACCGAAGCTCCTTGCGCGAGGTATCCTGGGATGCATTTCTCATGGCGCACCCCTCGTCTTGCCAGTGCTACATATGATGCAGAGTCATAACTCGAGACCTCTGCTACTGCACCCGCGTAGCATAAAATCTCTGTTCCTTATCCAAACGTCATGCGAGAGGACGTTCAGTGTCACGATAAGAGACTACAGAACGTCAGGGAGCGCGCAACGCGCGACATTTCATACACGTGATCGCGACTGATCGGAACAAACCAGACGCGCATTACGGCGGGCGAAGCAGCTCTTAAGCAGACACTCCAAACCCGACTGCATTCTGTCAGGTAGTGCTCAGTTGAACATTGCAGGCAGCTAGTTCCCCAAGAAAGTCAGAAACTGCTCGACCACTCTATACACACTGATTTAATTTGCTGACACACGCACTGCCTTTTCATCACATCTGTCAGTCCTGTACTAGTAGTCCAAGACGCACGGCTCGTTTTCCATTCGCAGTCAAGACCGTACTAGGCTCTACCACCAGCTATGGCATCCTCGTTCCGCCGTCGGCGCGTCGTCTGGTCTACGATCATTTTCTCGGCCCTCTTGCTCTTCTACGTAAGCACGCACGACATTGCTTCCCTCTGGTCGCTACCGCAGTCCCTCAAAGACTTTGGTTTCTCCCCGTCGTCCTCGCACGCCGGCCAGGTTGCGCTCGCGAAACTCAAAGAGGTCACACAGCGCAAGGCTCAGGCGTCTGAGATCCATGGGCTACTATATTTCGTCTCGGAATATCCTGAGCGACGACTCGATGAGGACGAGGGCTACATCAACGTGACGGGCCTCGGACGCGTTGAAGTGAACCCAGACGACAGTATCGGCCTGGACGTGTACGCACCGGACGGCGACTCAAACTGGGAGAGTCATATGAAAGTCCTGAAGGAGGAGCACCCATTGGTCATCTTCAGCAAGACGTACTGCCCGTACGTTGTCGTAAATCAGTCTTATGCGTGCATCTCCCGACCAGTAGAGTATCACTTTAGCTTCTCGCAGCGTGCGAAGTCGCTCCTCCACAGCTACGAACTTGATCCTCCGCCAGTCGTCATCGAGCTGAACACAAGATCAGATGGTCCAATGATTCAGAAGATCCTAGCGAGACTGACGGGCAGGCGTACAGTTCCGAACATTCTCCTGCAGGTATGCACCACCCGCACCCAGCTGACTGTGTGGCAACTAACAGCAACCTTCAACCCAGGGCAAGTCAATAGGTGGCTCCGACGATATTCATGCACTTCACGAGGAGCACAAACTCAAGGACACGCTCGAAGCGGCTGGCTTGGAAGTCAGTGGCGTTTGGGCTGGACTGCAGGTGCACGCGGCCTAAAATGTAAGATCGCCGTTGTCGTTTGAGTAACATGTACTATATTGTTTCGTCGGAACTTTGGGATCAGAATTTGCGGCCAAACGTTTATTAGGCTGTACATTGTGAGCTACGAGAACAGCTGCTTCCAAGAGCCAGAACCAACCAATGTGACTGGACTATGCAAATATTATAGTTTCCTCATGCTTCGTGCCAACGGAGGTCTGAAATATCTTTTGATGGGTTCTGGGTGTATTACATCACCATATGGTCCTTGCGCCGGTCCATTTCTAGATAGCGCTACATCCGAGATGAAGACGAGGCCGCTAGCTGCGATCCACTAGATGCAGTCGATGTCCACCCGAGTCTAGCGATGTTGCTGTACCTCTCCGGATAGCATGAGGATTCAGCGCTCAGCGACCCCAGTAAATTGTAACTGTTGTGGCAAGTCTTCACGATACTCATGACATGACAGTCTTCCGAACCTATGTCACGCCTTGGTCATGCTGTCCCGCATGTGCTACCCGGCCGCATAGGTCGCCGACCTCATTAGTTCAACTTACGTGTGAGACATCACCGTTGGAGTGAAACGACACTGACGAAGTTAAATAACGCGTTATATACTAGACACAGACAGGACAAACAGTACTGCAAGGAAACAACAGCGAGCCAACGTAGCAACGCAACCAAAGCAGAAAGTTCAAATCCCTAAGCATCATCGGATTCCGTCTGAGGCGTCGGAAGAGTGAGTTTGTCCTACAGGAGCTACTGTAGCGATAGTACCTGCATCCACTCTCAGTGCCTGCCTACTCCAAGAATGCCTCGAGCGCCTTCATCGACTTGGCAGCCTCCTCCGCCTCAAAGGGCAAATACATATAGCAGTGCACTGCGTCCTGCGCCTCTCGGTATACTACGTTCGCGTCTCCTAAATCTCTCTTCATCTTTTGTGCCAGTGTGTGAGACATGTCCAGGAATCTCTCGGCAGTACCGACGTCGATGAACGTCCGCGGAAAGCCTTTAAATGACGCATGACAACCTGGATGTAGCGATGCGGGGGAGATGTAGGGGTTGATTTCGGGAGCGTTGGGAGGGAGCTGGTGGGTATACGCGCGGCGTGCAGCGCCCATAAGCCCCGTACGTAGGTCGGCCAGATAGTCGTACCAGAAAGTGAGCGCGGAGGATCCAGGGGTCTCGTGCGACGTGCCGAGGTCGCACCACGGCGATAGGAGCACCATGGAGTAAGAAGGGGGCGTCGGCGGCAGCTTCATACGAGTTGAAAGCTCAGCGATATTGTCAACGATGTACCGTGCCAGCGCAAGAGCAAGATTGCAGCCCGCAGAGTCGCCGAGTAGTATGATGTTCTCTGGTGCGAAGCCAACTACATCAATGAGGTAGTGGTATCCTGCGATACAGTCTATGAGCGCCGCGGGGAATGGATTGGCATACGACGCGGGACCTGTGAGTCGGTATTCTACCGCGAGTCCGCGCTTCGCAGGAGAATGACGCAGAACCGCAGGGACACATGGCCCCGTCATGGTGTGAGGATGTGCGGATAGGACAATGAAGGCACTGCCATGAAAATAGAGAACAACCTTTTCGCCTTCTTCCGGGGGCGCACCGATTGGCGTATCGCAGCCGTCTTTGTCATACCAATACCCTGGAATACTGATAGGGCGGACGTCGGCTTGCTCCGCCCAGCGTGCGACGTCGCCGACAAGGAGTCGTGGAGTAGGCTCGAGCCAGACGCTCTTGACGCTCGGAGCATCTGATATCGCGCGATGGTCAGGCACTTTGGTGATTTGACCAACTCTGCATGATAAAGAAGTAAGGCGGTGCAGATGTATTTTCATCGTTGCAAACGCACCGTTCAACAACAGGTCCAACGACGGACCAATGACGAGCATAGCTCAGAAGGAACGTCTTCTGAGCCGACCAAGACGGCCTAGGACGCACGATTCGAGGTATGGAGGAAAGTGCCCATAATGGCATGAGGAAGAAGTAAGTCAATGCTGACTGCAGAGCGATGTAAGTGCTCCTCCAGGGCTCGTGTTGGACTTCATAGACCATATTGAAGATGTTCTGAAAGTATGATAATGGACAGGGGAGGCATCTCACCTTTATGACAGTTTTCGGTGTAGCGACAGCCACGGCGCGCAAGGTCATATCAGCAATTCTCATCGCTATGTGGAGGGTGCTACTCACGCGGTCACAGGACGTCAAGCTAAATGTTGGAATGGAAGACAGATCCACATCGCTCAATTGGAGAAGGATCCGTGAGTATACAACCACGCACCATGAAGGGAAGGGAGTTCAATGAACTCTACGCTATCTCTTTGCGCAACTTCGACTTCCCTTCAGAATGGATGCTTGTCATCTGGTCTCAGAGAAAGGTTTACGGAATAAAACAGATAGGAGACACTATTCCGTATCGTTAAACCTGATGAACTCGAAGTGTGCGTGAGCGGCGGCCGATGCTCGATGACCTCCCATTAACGGGATCAAGATAATAAGCCCCAGAATGTGCCCAAAGGCCACCGTGGGGAGTGTTAACGTTGTTCTCAGAATAGACAACACAGCATAGCGTAATCACCTTGTAAATTGTGGGCGGAACATTTTGGGAGCTTGCGCACGGCGCGAGAGCGAGATAATCGCGGGTAGACAATGTCTGAGATCTGAGATCTCACGATTTGATCTTTCGAGCTGGCTGCTGCTCAACATGAGCTCCGAATGCTTCAGTAAATCGCCAAGGCTCAGGGACCTGTCTGCAGCGTACAGAAGCTGTTTGCACAGTTAACGAGCAATGCTTTGATAATGTCAAAGGTATTGTACGATGGACATCGAATAGTAAATGGTCGAATATATGCATGATTTAATTAGTAAAGCTAACACACACAGTAGGGTTTAAGTTATATTCCAAGCATCACGATCGTTTTTCAGGCATAGGTTTTTCCGTTGTCATTTCGTGCATACTATACCACAGTGTGGAAAACGCAGGACACGCTACATCGTTCCAGAAGCCACACATTCGCACGCACAGCATAGTTGCATCAATTAGGCGGCCTTGGTGCTCGCCCACATTTGAATGTTGCGGAAGTAGGAGTGCGTTTCCTTCGGCGTGGCATAGGATGAGTCAGCTCCTGCAGAATGAATATCTCGTCAGCATCGCGAGTGGATCGAAAAGGCAGCTGGAAGCCCACCTCCAAAGAATGTCCTAAGCGATGATGGTTGCAAAGCGTCAGGAAACAAGCAAAATATTGGCGGATAAAGAGGACGTACGAGAAGTAGAAGCCACTGATATAAACATCATCGCTGTTGCGGTACTGCAAGATGCCCTGACTGATAGCTTCGACGTTGTTGTGACTACTATTCAGTCAGCTGAAAGCTCTGGGCAGAGCATGATGGATATACGCACTATAGCGCTACCTGACCATTGGCAGTGTCAAGAGGGTTGTTCAGACGCACAAGCATTGTAACCCGGTTCCACCTAGAGCGTACCGAATTGTGAGTTCTTGTTGTCGCACAGCCCATCAGGTAGTAGGAAGTACGAGTACACTAGATATTGCTGCGTTAGCTTCAATCATGAACAGAGACAGCCGTAACTAGCCTTCGCCCTCCCCATGCGGTCTCCACATCACCCTGCTGCTGAAGCAGTTGGAGCCATCCGCAACATTGCCGCCAGAACATCCGTCTTCTTTGGGACCACCCCTAATGCCAGGGAGTTTTCCGCCCTTGACTCAATCGAAGTCGGCATTGAAGGCAACCTCGTAAGTGACGAGCATCGATTGGAACTGCGCTGTATGCTCAGCATTTCATTAACCTGCTGGGTGGTCAACAGCGTACCTTCTCGTCACCCGGAGGGCTCCAAAGCGAAGTGAACTGTGCACCTCCGCCGCCCTTCGAGTAGCTGCCCTTTCCGTAGGTGACTTGTAGTACAGGCGACTTCGAGTGGGAAGAACCACCAGGGAAGGGATCGGCAACAAAGGAGATATCTTCACCGTCATCTATAGTTTTGTCATATATAGGCCACGATGAGGTCAGGTACGATTTGGTGTCAAAATTGGACAGAGTAGCAGTTGGGAACGGCAGATGAGTGCTGGTTGTCAGCGAGTAGCTGGATGCAATCGCTGACGGAGAAGCAGTTTTGGCAGCGCCGCAAACAGCTGCCAAAGCCAGAAGCCTTTTCCAGGCGAGAGATTCAAGCATCGTCTTGGGTTGATGGAACCCTATGAGAGGCGAAAGCTATATACACTGCACACCACCGCCGTTCAGCGCGGACGCGCGTGCAAAATTGCAGGTAAACCACTTGGGCGGTGTTGCAACTGGATCAAATTTGTTGTCTCGATGCGTGCTCCTCGCCTATGTGTGACCGCGTTACGGCAGATCATAGCATCATTGCTGGAAGTACGATGGCGATCATGTCGATTCGTCGGGCTGGTCCGAAGAGCTCAGAAGAACACCAGAGATTACACAGTCAACACCTTCACAGACACAAACTGGCAAAATAAGCGTGAAACTGGGCTGGAGACTGAAGATCTAGGGAAGACAACTTGTAGACATTAGCGCCTACGTGGGCGGCTTCGATCTTCACTCATTGTTTCAACTCGACGCCAATACAATGACGGCACTGGGAGTATGAAGCTAGTTTCTTGCAGAACAGCATCGAAGTCATCCACAAGGCCCAAGCGAAGCTGGCCGGTCCCACGCCCATCATCCATGGTGGCAGATGATGCTTTTGTCAATCGTCGCCGAAGAAACATCGCGTTAACATCGGGGGCCTTTTATGGCACTGCAGGGCTTTGTCGTGCTCTGACCACTCTGAGGTCAGAAGCCAACGACGAAACTTTTTCTGCCTGCGCATCAATCCAGTTCTCACGACTTTCGGTCCCGGTGATGATTGTGTACGCACTGATGTGGCTCTCGTCGTGATGAGCCCCACTTTCAGAGCATTCTTCGCTTATACTCATCCCTAAAACACCTCTGTTTGGAGGGTCTATAGAGTATAACGACTGCAGTCACCAGAGTTGTCCAATCTTACAAAGTGACTGGCAGGTGTTGACATAGAGCAGTCAAGCATTCAGAGACGTTGGATCCTTCGGATAGCGCGCAGAATAGAAGATCGTCTGAGCGATAGATACACCGTACAAGCTAGCAACGACACGTAATCAATATGAGCGCCGCGGCATTGGAGGAAGCATAGGTAAAAGGAAACGTACAAAACGGGGAATGCTGTCCAGCAAAGAAAAGTCCGGTCCAGTCATTGCTGTTGAAACTCGGCTCCTGCTCTCGTTGCTCACAAGAGCCGCGGCAAGATGGATGAAGTCATCATGGCGCCTATGTTCTTGGATCTTGCGCTCATACCGCTACTCACGATCACATTGCCCACGCATTCATCGCCTACAAACCGGATCCTTCCGAGCGCAAGTTCTTGCACCTGGACGAAGCCCTCAATATTACGACATATACTACTCGAGTTACTCTGATGGTTCGCCACGAAATTGAGGGCGCATTTGCGCAAATCCTCTTGCTGAGGGAACTCTTCTCCATACGCTTTACGCGCAGCGAGCCCTACAGGGAGACCGCCGACCGCATGAAGAGCATCTGCGAACGCATTTTCATAATCGGTGTGCCTACCGAAGACACCCTACTTTGCCTTACCCTACACAACGCGATGTCCGGAGATCTCGAGAATCTCCAGTCTCAGATCACCACTGCCCTCTCCGAGCAGACTAAGGCGGCACCTTACACCTCTGACGACATAATGTCGCGCCTCGAACTCGAGTGGCAGGTCTCCACCGGCTCTTTGCCTGGCTTGTCCCTCACTACGTCTTTCGCCACTGTGCCCGCTGCTAAAGCGTCCGCCAAGCCGCGCAAAGGATGTTCCCACTGTGGCATGTCGAACCACGAGGCTCTCGACTGCTTCCAACCTGGCGGTACAATGGAGGGGAAACGTGGTCAGGTGCTCGCCGCGAAGCGCGCTCGTCGCGACAAGGTGCGCGGAAAACCATCTACTGGCGCAAAAGTCCTGCATGACCCCACTGGCCGTGCGTTTGTTCTTACGAAGACTGGCGACGCTCTGTATGTCGACACCGGCTCTTCGTCTACTCAGATGCCCACGGTTGAGTACACTGGCTTCGCGGCTAGCCCTTAGACTCCTCGACGCTTCTCACACCGGCCGACGCTCATGAACATCTCGTCAATCGACTGGGTTCGCCTCTCGTACAATGTCCCCGATCCTGCCACTCTCTCTTCTCTCTCTCGGCGGATTACTCTCGTTCCCCTCCTGTTGGCTCGGCTCCGTTTTTCTTCAATCCTGGCCTCCACTCTTACTCCCTGCAAGAGTGATTTCTGTGTCCTCTATCCCATCGCTCCTCGTGGCATTAGGGGCGTCAACGACTCAGTGTTCCATGCTTACGGTGTGAGACGCGTCAAGTTGCACCGTGGCAAAAGGCGTTTGCCTCTTCTCGACAATGTCCTCTTCGTCCCTCACGCTACGATCCATCTTTTGTCGATATCGGCTCACTGTGGCTCGCCCTCTCGCCCCCGTGTCGTGTTCGATCACAAACTTGTTTTTCTATTAGACCGCTCTGGTGCCATCCTCGTGTCTGGTCTTCCCTTCTCTCGCCGTCTCTACGCTCTCGCCGGTTCGCCTTCGTCCATCGACCACGCTTCCCTTGCTGTTCGTCCGCCCACACTCGCCTCTTGACACTGTCGTCTCGTTCATACCAACTGTCGAACCGTATATGACATGGCCCAGGCCCAGCTGTCGCCCGGTAAGCCTGCCGCACTCCCTGTCGCGCCGCCCAAGTGTGACTAGTGCGCGTACTTAGCAAGCAGACACTCGCCTATTCCTCAAGTGCGTGTGTGTGTGTGTGGGGGGGGGGGGGAGATCGGGCTACTAGATGGCTAGAGCTAGTGTATGCAGACTCGATGGGTCCGGCCGACGTACATTCCACATCTTGCCGACTATGTGCTCTCCAGATCATTGACAATTTCTTGTCGTATTGTTGGTCGATCCTTCTCCCGTACAAGTCTGTAGTCCTCTCGAGCTTGGGCTGTCGCATGTGAGGAAGAAACAACTGGATGTATGCTCAGTGCTGTTCAGATCGACAACGGCGAGCGCGTTTCTAGGGAGATACTCTCCTTGCTTATGGACAGAAGCATCACTTTGCGACGCACATCTCCCTACCGTTCGCGTCAGCGTTGGTATCAGAGCGCTCTGGCATGACTCCAGAATGAGAATATACTCCACTGTGTGAGGTTACAACAAACGATGATCAGCATAGGACATAGCTGGTTGATCTTACCTCCCACGCCATCTGGGTTCCGGTGGTTGGAGGGACACTTGTGCTCTCGGGCATAACGATCGTGAAAAGTGATGATGCAAAGCCATTTAATGCGTAATTCGTGCGCAGGGAGCCGCCGTCATGTGGGTAGCAATATGATTTTGTCTCAGGCTTCATGATGAAGAATTTTGATCAAATGATGTTTGTCTCCCCATATGACGCCGGTTCCCTGTATGTTGCTCTCGTCTGGGCATAAGTAATCAGTCGCAAGTCGTAATAGCGGCAATGATGATTGCGAATTGATTTGATTATCAAAAGATTGGGGTTTTACTATGGTCGTAAAGCAGTGTCTCGTTATCCACACGCTCATAAGCGCTCACATTCCTTGCGACGCATCTATGCCTGCTCTTCGTCATATGGAGGGAGCCCCCACTCCTTGGGAACGAAGTCCGCCAGAGAACGAAGTGTCTGATCGGGCCGTTCCACATCCAATGTCGGTCCAGAATCTCCAATCGTGAGCAAATTGGCATCCGGAACCCAAACGACTATACGCAGATACACACATGAGCGACACTGTCGCATGCCAGAGAGCACAGCACCACTCACCATTCATCCCGGCGCTTCTGCCCGCCAGCACACCCGGGATTGCATCTTCGAAGACAAGCCCCTTCGCCCGCTCCAGCTTCTGCTCCTCGCTCACTCCCGCCTCTACTGCCTCGCCTTCTCCGACCTTCCGCCCCAGGCACTTTTCCGCAGCGACCAGGAAGATGTCCGGGTGCGGTTTCCCGCGCCCGGGCCGCACAAGTCCGTCGTCTGCGCATACAACGCGGCCCTCGAACGCGCCGAAGAGCACGTCCATCAGGTGCGCGCTCTTCTGCGCGTAATTGCGTCGCTGAGAGCCCGTCGCGACCGCGATGGGAATGCCATGCCGGCGCAGGTGCTGCACAAGCCGCACGGCGCCCGGGAGAGGCTGCACGGTCGGCCAGAGCGCGTCCTGCCCTACGCGGCGGGCGTCGAGGTAGACGTCGATGGTAAACTCGGGCGGGAGGTCAGGAAAGAAGGAGAGGAGGTGCGCCGCGGCCTCGCGCTCGGCTGGTTGGCGGCTGAGTGCAGGACTGGCAGGAGAAGCTCATGGGGCGGACGTACGCTTGCCCATGAGGCCAGCCTTGATGTCCCATGTCATCTCCTTGCCATACTTTGCAAGGATACCATCTGTGCACCAGGTACACACTGCCTCCTCAGTCCAGATACGATAAACAGCAATGGCGTACTGGTCACTTCTGTATAAATCCTCTCGGAATCGATGAGGAGACCTGCGCCGTGATCAGAACTACTCGCTGCTGATGGACTGCGCTAGCACGCACCGTCCATGTCGAAGATGACATACTCGACGGGTGGGCGTTGAGTCATGGAAGACACAGGGAGAGAGCTACAGGCTGCGATACGATGGCTCTTGCACTTCGACGAGGGACAACGGAGATGGTGACGGACGTTTGCAGAGACATCGATGAATAAACATCGAGAGTTGCGGGCGCTACCGCAGAATTCATTCTGATAACCGTCGATCGCAGTGAATGCGAGGAGAGCAGTCGAGCAAAGATGTGCTCAAAAATTGGCCGGCTACGATTGACAAAAGCCCAAGTAACTATATCTACGAGCAAGTTGCAAGCGCCCCAGGAATAGTGGCGTAGCGGTCTACAGTGGATGCAAGAAGAATTGAGGCCAGTAACATAACAATGCAGCAGCGCCTGGATCCTGGTGCAAGTAGTTTAGTGTAATAAAGTATGAGTGAATAGATGACGATAGTTATACATCCGCTATACAACCCCGATGTCAACTGCTAAATGCCCAAGATGCAAGTAATAGGTCGGGCTTGCAGCCACCGGCACCTAGTAGCAAGTGATAGTCCGTTTCCAATAGTGGTCCGATGCTGAACATGCATATGTATGTGCGTGCGCGAACGTGAATGCAAACGTGAGTGCCCGCGTGATGTGTCCGCAGTCCACCTGCGCAGATTGCAGCAGCAAGCCGCTGGCCCGCAACTGAAGAGCGCAGTAGAGCTTAAAACTTCCTCTGCTTCTTCTTTGCGCCGTAGATCTCTGCGCCCGCTGCGCTGATCATCCGCTGCAGCTCGCCCTTTTGCTTCAGATACCGCAGCTCCTCCAGGGACCCTTGCACTGGGCGGCCGCCGATGAGCAGGATTGGCAGCTCAGCTTTTGATGTGAGACGGAAGAGGAGGGGTGCAAGCACAGACTCGTCCGCTACATATGGGAGGAGAAGGGGTGCACAGTAAGGATGCACAGAAAGCGAACACGCGTCAGACAGTTCAAGCTTCAGCCGTGATGCAGATACGTACTTCGTTGATCAACTTCTATGATCGTTGGCGATGGGCTCAGGTACATCTCTGATAGCATCTGCTTGATTTCTCGTGATATAGGAGAGTAGAACTGCGCCAAGCAGTCAGCACGCACGCACGCACGCACGCACTGGCAGACAGGACACAACGACGCACCTTGGAGTAGAGCATGACCGGATTCCGCGCCCACACTTCGTTTACGACCGTCTGCACCTCCTCCACCGCCTGCACACTCCGCGTGTCAAAGTCCAACACAAGCTGGGGGTCGATTGGGCGTGACGGATCGACGAAGGACGGGATTACATTCTGCGGCAGGCTCGCGATGAAGCTCGACACCGCCGCGAGCTCCTGTGCGCTGTCCAGCTCGATCTGTGGCCGCTCCGCACTGCCCGCCGAACCTACAGATGCCACGCCAGCCGCATGCTTGTGTCGGAGGGCGGCGAGGCGGTACGCCTCAGACGAGATTCGCGAAGGCGGGTGGCGCGCCCCGTCAGGCTCGAACATTGGTATTGACGAGAGCGACGGCTGTGCGACGAGCAGCACGTAGACGGACAGCACGACCAGGGCAAAGAGCGCCAAGAAGGTGGTGCGGTACCAATAACTCTTGGGGTTGCGGGTCGTAAGAGAGCCGAAGACGGCGAGGGTGGGGGTCAGAGGCGGGGACTCGAGCGCGAGGGGGCTGTTCATGGCGGGATATCGCTGCGACTGAGTGCGTCGGTGGGCCATGGGGTGTGGTACAGAGATTAAGAAGGCCTGAAGAAAACAAAGGAATGGCTAGGCTTGGATAATCTACGGATACGACGGTCGACGGGTCACGGTCAGGAACACGGCCTGAGGTTGAAACCCATTGATTGCACGTGTTGTTCCAAACAAGGATGTTCAGTATCCAAATACGGTAATGACTGAGACATATTTGGATTATCGGGCAATTTCGACCCCCGTTCCTCGGACATGACTCATTTGTCGTCGCCGCGATTGTAACGTGTTCTTCTACCTATTATTTATCTTTCTCTCACGGCGAAACCAACTGATGGCTATCTGCATTCAACATAGATGATCATGAGCTCCTGCGCGAAAACGAAGACGACTCTCGCTGGTGTTGCTATGTTCGTTAGTAAACTTCTTATCAGAACACTGGGCCCTCTGGACTTCAGTGAAACTCTTCTTTGCGTGTCTGTCTCAGATGTCGGCATCGTAGCCTCACGCTGATAGTCTCAGCTTCTGTTCATATCGCGTGGCTGAAGTATCCACCTCGGCTTTCTGACTTGGTTGGTGAGTACGTCAGGCTAAAGGTATGCTGTAGGTCGGCGGGCCAGAGGTCAGCAGGGTGCCTACCGTCCGGTGATGATTACTCCAATCAATCCAATCGACCTGACTGCCAGATAATTGCATCTAGGCATGTATTGCATCTAACATTTTCACGAATCTGGGTGCTTCTGACATCGTGCATTTAGGCATGCCCAGTGCATGCACCATAACAAGTGCGGGTCCCGCGACCCCAACGTTCAAATTCACTTCGCTTTTTGTCTAAACCCTTGTCTCTCACGTAATGCTTGCCTCACACCTTCTCCCGTCGCGTCTGTGGTCGAAATTCCCTGATCATCTATATTGACATCAGCATGTGCGGTTCAGATCCTCTGAGATCTTTACGCACGATTGTGACGACAACCGGAGGCTTCGTCCATGTCGGATTGCCGTCGCCTAAGGTAAAGGTGGACACGGTTTGGAAGCCACAGTGCTCGTAGAAGCCAGTGTTTGCCACGTTTGAGGATATCAGCCAGGTGTCAAGCCATTGTGCGTCGGCCTTCTTGCCGGAGGTGAGCCAAATCACTGTGTCAATATACGAAAAAACGCAGCGACCGTGAGCAATGCTCGCCTTGTCTGTGACGGTGGCCACCAGCGCGGTGCCATAGCCTCTTCCTTGCATCTTGGGGTCCGTCGCCAGGCTCTCCACAGCGTACATATGCTCAATGCGGTTGCCGAAGGCCTCCTCGATAGCATCTTCCACCTTCTTATTCAGCTCTTCTCCCCTCTGGATTTTCCGCGTGGAGAGGTGGATACTTTAGCATTGCTGGAGCTGTCGTTACGTTATAGAATGCCATACCCTGTTCTGTTCTACAGACTTGCGCATGGGCAGTCTAGCCCACATAGCGAGCAAGATCTTGCGCGTTCGCCCGTCAGAACCTGGAGGTCTCCTTAAACAACGACGGCATTGGTGGGTAAGCACCCGTATTATGAACATAAGACATTTCACCTACATTTGGACAGTAGCAGCGCCTCTTTCGACGGTGAAACTGCGCCCTGAGTAGATCTCGATTGCCAAGCGCGTTCCCATCTTCACGCGGCGCAAGATTTGACGCAGATGCGACATACCGGCATCCTGCGTGTCAGACGAAAAATCAATCTTTCGAAGCGAATGTATGAGATACAATGGTAAGCACCGGGGCATCGTCGAGGTACAAGTGCATTGGGTCGTGAGTGCTCGCGGCGGTCATAGCGCGGACCGCTCTTGGAATATCAGCTTCAGAAACACCGCGAGGTCAGCCGGTTGTTGATGTGTGCCCACCCGCATTACTCGGAGATGCTAGCAGAGGATCCAAAGGCGTGTGTAGCTACTCACTGTATCTCATTGGCTGAACCGTAGGCTCGCCTATTGTGTAAAGTATATGTTCATAGCTTTGTGGGATGAGGTTGTAGGCTGCCTTCATAATAGCTACGAACACAATCACTGAGAAATGGGAGTGAACTGGACTGGCCGTATCAGAATGCTCTAGCAGACATTTTATATGATGTGTGCGAAACGGCGGATCGGGAATAGCACCCGATGTTTGACTGCGCACAGGTCAGACGCTCGTGATGTCAACGTCCAGTCCTTTGGTCACAATGACAGGAAACCGCGGCGCAGCGATGCTTGCGTGTGCCCAAGCAGTGATTGCCCTCTATATGACTGGTCATTTGCCGGAGAATGTAAGGCGCGTGGGAAGCTGCTTCTTTCACGGGATATCCTCAGCCTATCATGGGACAGGTACTATCATCAGTAGTGAAGATCGCAAGCCCAAACCCTCACTGCCGGCGGACACTGACACAAATCGATCGGCAGTGATTCTGCACGATGTGGCGGAGAACCGAGCGCTGACGGTGAGATCTCAATCACGAGACGGACCTTTGAGCGCGAAGTCTTGTGCGCGAAGCATTCGTGCACGCATGTGCGTACGTTTCTTCACATTCTCTGTTTGATTACCTCGTCTCTGCTGTTCGGACTATTCATACACGCGATACATGCTCATTATTTGTTTTACTTTTTCGACTCCAGGGCTTGCGAAGACGTAGGTGATTCGAGGGTGCTGGCGACAACACGCTCCTGAGGGTGGCAAGACGCGGATGTAAGTATGGCATTGATCGGAGCACTCTCGAGCAGCTGAGTTGGTGCTGATCGCGGACTCAAGCAACAATCGTCGAGTCTAGCTTGTGCTCACGACGGAGCTCCCATCATGTTTAGGGAGGCACCTTGCCGGTTTGGAATTCATCATTGTGATCGGACAGCTGAGGTGTTCTTCTATTTCACATGCGCCATTCTTTTCCGATGGCTGCTGACGACATTCCTATCTCTGATTTTTCCGCTTTTAGGTAGTTGATGAGATGCTGAAGAATCAACTTCCAATTTCATTATAGACTGCGACTGGTCAAGAAAACGTGCCTGAAACGCGCGAAAAAGACGCCTAGTATGTCTCGAGGAAACCGTCCAAGCATTGTCATGAACTCACACAGGGCCGTTGACGGGGATGTCGAAGGCGGTCGGGAATGGTAAACACGTACCAAATAAAGCTTACCAACGAGCATTCGCAGTGAATGGGAGACGCTCAAATGTGACGTGGAAGATTGTCAAAAAGGTGGTACAAACTGAATCAGGTGATATATGGAAGCTGTGTTATGTATATATCAACGAACTGTATAAGGTGAATGCGATGCCATCCTCGACCGGTGTGCATCTCACCCGCCTGTAGTCTCAGCGACGGTTGGCCGCATAGTACAACCACCTTCCGGTGAGTTCCGACAGACAGTACACTCATGATGCATACGGATGTCTGATACATAGGACAGACAACGCATCGTGACGCTCTGCACGCCATGGTGTCTCCCTTTCCGACGGAAATATGGTTGGACATCTTTAAAGGCCTGGCCGAAGAGGGCGAATACGACACATTGGAACGATGCCGAGTGGTGTGCAGAGAATTCGAGCCGATGGCGCGGGAGTACCTAAAAAGCCACATAGTGTTCAAGAGCATAGAGGAGGTGGAGCGCATCAAGGTGGACGCTTCAGGCGCTAGTCGGATGCGGCGCTGGGGTGGGCCGGCGACGGTGCTCATCATGGGCTGGCCGCGGGGAGCTATTCCACATCTGGCGACGTTTGCGTCTAGGCTCGGAGGAAGATGGCTTTCCGTTGACACGTTGAATATCATCAGCGCGGTGTGGCGGGCGCGGGATCTCGATGCCGACATCGTCTTTCGCGATCTCGCCCGGTTCTCCTCGATCGACCGCCTATTCCTTGATCACGTCGCCTTTCCGTCGATTCTGATCTTAGGCCGCCTCCTCTGCGCCTTACCCCGCCTCAAGTCCGTCAATCTCACCAACGTAGAATTCAATCAGCATCCCTTTGAGACTGCCGCCATCTCTCGCCTCCGTCTTCTACCGAATATACAACTGGAAGCGCTCAGCCTGAATTATTGGGTCATCAACGAGGAGCCGAGTCCCTCCTTTGTTGAATTTGTCGACATCGTTGCTGCCATCAGTAACCGCGTATCTATCGTTCCTCTTGACGAACTCACGCATGGGTGTCTATGGAGCACCGTTCGATCATTGCAGCTTTGCAACATCATCTTTCCCTCAGGCGCTACATTTGCCCGTCTCCTTTGCGCCCTTCCCGCACTCGAAGACCTTGATATTTCAGGGCCATGCACGTTTATGAAACACGATTTTGACCTCAGAAGTGTTCCTCCGCGCCCTGGTTTACCAGCGCTACTAGCGGCTGTCTCGCTGACAACCGACGGGCGACAGTCCGACTCTCGCTCCGTGGTCGACCTCGTCGACTTCTTCATAACTACTGGAATCAGTAGCAACCTTCGAAGCATTATGATTGAACTACCCCCATCTCTCCGCGTGGCAAGAGAATTCGATGCCGCGCTTAGCAGACTCCTCAAACATTCAGCGCAATCACTCCACCACCTTTCACTCGACTCATCCTTACCCTGGTGGATATCGAACGACACAGATCAATGGTTGCATGCAGAATACAGTGCAGGTGCGTCCCCTGCTACGTGCTCTTTTCGAGTCACACGGTTACAATCCGTATGTGTAGCCTCATGCCTTGACGTTTCTGAGAATACGTGCCTCAACAGCCTTGACCTCACAGTTCAAGTCACTCCTGAGAATATATCACATCTATGTGCACCGGTGGTCGAGATTCTGTCACAGGTCACGTCCAAGCATATGTCCAAGATTCAAGTGAACTTCAAGTCTTGTTATCAACCCAGCACAACGCTGTACGTAGATCTGGGAAAGCTGATGGATGGGCTCCGGGTGCTTGATACGGTCCTCTCCAAGCCAATCTTCGACGATCTGACTGACGTTGTCGTGCACGTCGGAACGCTTCGCGGATCGGATGTAGGAGATGAATACTCGGTGCATGACCTTCGCTTGTGCTTGCCAACGCTTGATGCTCGCGGGATTCTGGGGTGCGTATCCTCGCATTTTGCGTACTTGCGGGTGCAATGACGATATGTTTATTCATAGGATATCGTTGAATGACATCACGTACGCCGTATGTCGAGTTCATGGTCTTTTCAGCTCGCTGACACAGCTTGTCCAGGATTGGAATTCACCGGGAACAAGGTATCCATGACTGGAAAGGTCACGCTGTTGAGAGGGTTGATGCACAGGATGCTGTGGTAACTAATGAAGGGACTAGTGCCGACGCTGACGACGTCGGGCGTACGAACGACGCCACAACCGGTGCAATCCCGCATGACGACTCGGACGTGGCCCTTGCAGTGTCGTAACCCACCTTGATGCCATCAGCTACCTGTGCCGATGCGCAGGCACCTTCCTCGTCTCACTCAACAGACGCAGGAGTATCCGCTGAAGAGGCGTACGACGATGAGCACGATGCAACCGCCCGCTGCGTAGCTTCACTGGGTGACTCTGTATCAGACGGCCATAGCGCGTCCGCCGGTGCTTGCTTGTTGATGAGGGAGCAAGTCGCTCTCGATTCTTTGTTACCCATCGCTGTCGACTGATCGACATGTATACAAACTTAAAGCTGTAATGATCTCACAAGGTCAGTATATATGCGACAGTAGCACGAGAATCAGCAACACCCAGAGGGCATGACGCGACCAAAGCAGGGGTCAGCGATGTTCGGATAAGATAAAAATGATATGCAAAACACGACGGTATCGCGACTACTTACTGGGTACGTGTGACGTTCCAGTCGCTCGTCTGCACCAGCTCGCTCGAGGAGGAAAGTAGGAGTTCTGGGGAAAGGAGGAAGTTGTTTTTTCGGCATTGACACCGGATTATAAGTGATACAAGACCCAAGAACACCGATGACATCTGAAGAGCCCTAGAGCACATAATGACGGAAGGGAAAAGAGAAAACATCACAGCTGTCCGATCAAGTAAGAATACTAACTGGGTAAGGTGCCTACCAAATCGAGACGGAAGCCCAGTCCGGCACGAACCGGCCAGGCTCGGAGTTTCCAGTTCGAGGCCATGTGCTTCTGCTAGCCACACGTGCGTGACTTCGCAGGTCCTCTCTGACCTCCTCCCGACGTCACATAGGCGGTGGACAATGACCTCTGGGTGCGCATAGGTATCATGGTGAGATAATGTCAAATTGCACTCACTTTCAACAACTCCATCGCAGCCAGTCATGCTTCAGCCATTTCCACTGGAGATCTGGTTCCTGATCATTGATGAACTTGGTGCGGAAAGCGGGTACGACGCATTATCAGCTTGTTCAAATGTCTGTCCGGAGTGGCACGAGAGAACGAAGAAGTACATTTTGCCCGAGATGACATTCAGGACACAGGAGGAGGTTGCAAGCATCAAAGTAGGGCGGGGGTTGGGCTGGGGAGGACCGAGGGAAGTATGCATCGAGGGTGGAAGGCGCAGCGATGAGCGGCTTCCGATTCCACACCTGAGGACGTTCGCATCGAGGCTTGCACGAAGATGGACTGGCGTAGAGACGCTGAGGATTGAGCGGGCGGAGTGGCGGGTACAGGACCTGGATGCCAACACTGTCCTGCTCGATTTGTCTTGTTTCGATTCGATCACACAGCTCCGCCTCCATAACGTCACGTTCCCTTCCTTCCTAACGTTTGGCCGCCTCGTCAGTGCCTTTTCACGCCTCGAAGAGCTTGACGTCTGTGATATAGATATTGTTTGTGATATAGATATTGTCAAGGCTGCCATCGACGCCCAAATGTTCTTGGCCCTACGTCTTCTGCCCGCCACCAAGATATACAGACTGACCCTCTGTCGGCCTCGGAGGATTCTTTCTTCCCCGCTTAGGTCCCAGCTGCAAACACTGGTATCTGAGGAACTCGCCGAGCAGCATGATGCTCTTGCAACACATTCTGCTGGGTTACTTCAGTTGGTGACTACCCTCGTCAACCATGAATTGTTCTTGATGCAGGATAGACATTCACGGTCAAACACCACCACCAGAACCACCAGACTTTTTCATTGCCGTCTGCAGTCCGTCAAGAGCATGGTTCAACAACTGATGTTATGGAATGTTACTTCTCTGACGGCTGCACCCTTTATATGCTTGCTGTGTTCCCTTCCCTCCCTCCAAACGCTCATCATTGAGGGGCCATGCTTGTTTTCAAAGCACGGCCTTTGTCACGAGTTGACATGGCATCTAACCGTTTTTTACTTTTTCCTTTTCGCGGGCTCGAACCTGCAACCTCTGTACTACATACTGGATATGGATGCATCATTATCTACTGTACGATTAGATTAGATGGGGTGGCAGTGCATGGCACAGCTCGGGCCCCGCTGACGCAGCCGCTCTGACTCACTGGCCCCTGGAGCTGCGTTAGCATGCTGTGCACGGACCAGCTGCGTACAGACCAGTGTGCACAGCCTGCCCTTATCTTCCCCTGTATATAAGCCGGCCTCTGCTGCCCTAGGGACCTTAGTTTCGACCTCTTGTCCCTAGGTCAGGAAGCCCTCATTTGTATTTCTTTCTTACCTTACTAACTAATACATTTTCTTGTCCCTAGCCTTAGGTTTGAGCTTTGCTCACCATCGCTTTGGTGAGAACTAGTTGGACGCCCCCAGTTTTAGATTTTCCCCAGTCGCTTGACCCCAAGTCGTGACATTAGGTCAAAACTCCACAAGCTGCCGGTGTCCTCTCGGGACTCCCCACACTCACTTTCCTTTCCCACAGGTTGGGTGGTGCGCACCCCTACGATACTCTACGGTACATACGATACATAGATAGCCCTAGCTTAGTACAGCCATTTTTAGTACATGCACCTCCCCATCCTACCCCCCTCCATCGTGGCTACCTGTCAAGGCCAACTTCACGCCTTCAACTCTCAGGACCTCGTCGATGTCTACATCCCAGACGGCCCTGAGACTATCATCTACACTTGTGAACAGCAGCTGTGCCCCAACTGGACACCCCAATCAGTCGCGCAAGATTACTCGCACTACAAGGCGATCAGAAGGGCCCAACATCTGCTTGGTCTCCGCAGCACCCTAGCATCTCGATCGGCCTCGTGGCATTCTCGCCCTGTCTCCCCCAGCTCTCGCCTCCCTCAAACTGTCACCGGTCAAGTACAAGGAGATCTCCCTCCAGACCCTGCGCCAGAGCCTGAGCCTGAGGAGGGTGCAGGTGAAGAAGGAGTCTCAGAGTCTGAGTCCGCAGATTCTGCTCGGTCCGCCTCGCCGACAGCGCTCACCCCCGCGTCAGCAGTCCCTGATTTACGTAACCCCCCCACCGAACTTTCTCCAGCGCCTTCACCGCTGACTCCGCCAAGAGGCCGCTCGCGCACTCGCTCCCCTCATAGTCCGACCAGCGGAGGGCCATCACAGCTGCCTTTGCCCCCGCAGTGTCCTCCATCCCCCCCGACGCCGATAATGCCCTCCCCTGCAACCGCCCCCGATAAGGAGACTTTGAAGCTCCTCCTCCCGCTCCGATACGATGGCAAGACTGTCATTGAATGCGATATATTCTTGTCACAACTCCGCATCTATTGGTTGATCAACACGTTGTTGACCACCATCGAGCTCAAGGTGCAAGTTGCGTTGAGCTTGCTTGATAGTGACGCCCGTGCCTGGGCCACTCCTTACTTTGCCCAACTCGCGTCGGTGCAGATGGGTGTGCAAGGGGTCACGACCCTGTTCCAGAACGAAGCAGCCTTCACTACCGCCTTCAAGGCTCCCTTTGGAAATCTCGACGACAAGGCGGCAGCACAAGTAGAGCTGGAGAAGCTCTGCGCGGACAAGTTGGTCCGTGAAAAACGCACCGCCGTGGAATTCTCTGCGCTGTTCAAGGGTCCGGCGGACCGCTCTGGGTATGGGGACCTGGAACTACGTGACAAGTACCTGAGCAGCATCCCCTCCCGCATCTACCGCAAGATTGAGCTCGAAACCTTCACCACGTGAAGAGACACTGAGAAGCGCGCCACTGAGGTAAAGCAGATCCTCGACATCAGCCGGGCCCGGCGGCCCAAGCTGAACAACTTCTTCTCGGCCCGAGGTCGAGGATGTGGAGGGGCACGTGGTGGTGCACCCCAGTCACACGCAGCTTTGGCCAGCATCAATGCGGCCATCGGAAAAGGAGACTTCCCCAGCAGTTGTTTCGGCTGCGGGAAGCAAGGGTACTGACGCTTTGAGTGCCCCAACTGTAAGGACAAGCCTTACACAAAATGCGCCGACACACGGGCTACAGTTGCCTCGGGTTCCACCCAGGCTGTGACAAGCGCCCCCGTCGCTTCATCCTTGGCGAGTACAAGCGCCGCTTCAGCAAAATCGGATAGTTCCAATATCACAAAACCTATAAACCCACCTTATAGCTTGATGGTAAGGGGGGGAGATAAAGCACTTAAGTGTGGGGGAGGTAATGCTGTTAAGCGCAACAACGAAGTGAATAGAACTGGGGGACAGGGTGCCCCAGGATGCTGCCTTATATACATGAGGGAAAACCCCCAGGGACCGGTAATGGACCCCTGGTACCTAGCTGGGTAAGGATTACTAAGTATCATGTGCTCTATGATGTCATATATGATGTCATAGTCTGGCCCTGCCCTGCCCTGGGCCTAGGGTCCAGAATTGACCGGCCTATGGCCTAGTGCCTGAGCCTAGCTCCTACCTATGATGTCAGAATGATGTCATGGTCCAGAAGGAGTCTGGTTTCTATCTAGAAAATGTCGTGACTTAGGGTCAAGTGACAGGGGAAAACCAAACAAAGGCGCTGGGGGCGTTCGAACTTAGTTCTTACTGAAGCGATGGTGAGCTGGGCTCAAACCTAAGGCTAGGGACAAGTTAAGTTAGCATTGGTAAGTGGGTAAGTAAGTACAT